TTTATAAAGTATAATATAAAGATTAAGTTTATATTAATTATTAAGTAATAGATTATATTTCTTAATATAATAGGTTTTTTTATCCTATTAACTATATTGGTAAAGGTATAATTTTTATATTAGGTTAATTATATTATTAATTTATTAATTTTAATAGTTATAAAGTATAGTATAATATATAAATTAATAAAGCTAATTAAGTTTAAAAATATAAAAATATTAATATTATTATTAATAATTAATATTATTTTTAATACTTTTATAAGGCTATTAGTTTAATTTTTATTAATAATAATAAATAAAGCTTTTATAACTTTTTTTAAATAATTATTCTTTAATATATTATTTAAGAGTTTTTTTATAGCTTTAGTGTTAATGTTTTTAATGTTAGGTTTATTTTAGGAAGTATTACCTTAAGGTAACTTTTATACGAATCCTTTAAATATTAAAAACATTAAGTTAAATGTAGCGTTAATAGAGTTAATAGAAATAGGTTAATTTATTAATAGTAAATAAGTTATAAAAATAGTATATTTAAGAGATTTAATAATAGATAGGGCTTATAGTAATTTTTAAAAAGATGTAAAAAGTATAATAAAGTTTACTTTTTTTTCCTCCTTTACATTTTTATCCCCTTTAAGTTTTTTTGCTTTATTTTTATATTATTTTATTTATTATAAATATATATCTTTATTTTAATTTAAAGGTTTAAGTTTAAGGTAAGTTATAAAATAAAAAAAAGGATATATTTTATTATAATTAAAATATATCTTTTTTTTATTATTAAGTTATTATTTAAATAAAAAAAGATTAGCTTTAATAGTTAAAAGGGTAGTTTATATTATTTATTCCTTTTAACTTTATTTAAAGTATAATATTATATTAATTGCCTTTTTTAGGGTAATTGTTATTTATATTATAATTTTAACTATATTAATAATTAGAATTTTAAAGGTATTAATTTTTTAAGTTATTAAAAAGAAGTTAAATTTAAATTTAAAACTATTAATAAATTTTTTAATAATATATAAATATAGTTAAGCTAAAGCTAAATTAAACTTAATTATATTTATTTAAATTTATTATAATATAATAGTAAATTAAGTAATATTATTAATGGATTTAAATATTATTTTTTTTTATTATTAATAATATTATATAAATTAAACTTTTCCTTTAAGCTTATAATTTTAATATAATTTATTTTATAATAAAGTAAATATATTAAGGGGCTTTATTAATATAAATTAAATTTATTAATAGGTATTTTATAATAGTTTACTTTAAATTATAACGTTAATTATATTATATTTTTTAAATTATTTATCCTTTTTAATAAGGAAGGTTTTTTTACCTTTTTTTTCTTTTTATTAAAGGGTTATTTTATAAAGCCTTTTTAATAATATTTAAACGAATTTATTTATATTAAGTTTTTTTTATATGTTTTAATTTTATTTTAATTATTATTTTAAGCTATTAAAAAGGGCTACCTTTTTAAACTTTTTAATATTATTTAATAATATTTTAATTAATTATTAATATTATAGATAATGTAATAATAGTTAATAAGGTTAGTTTAATTAATTTAATAAATAGGTTAATAGCTATAGGGGGTTTTATAGTATAGGGTTAAGTAATAATTAATAATTTTTAATTAATTTCTTTTTTAAAGTTTAATATTATAATATATTATTAATATAGATCTTTTAAAAGGGCGTTTAATAGGAAAGAGTTTAAAAGGTAGTTACCTTAAGAGTTTTTAATTAAAATAAAGGGTAAATTTAAATTAAGGTTTTTAATTTAAAAATTAATATTAAAAAGGAAGGCGTTAAGGTTAATAAAAAGGTCCTTTAAGGTAATTAGTTTTAAAGTTTAATAATTAGGTAGAATATTAATTTTATAATTAAAAAGATTTTAATTATTAAATATTAAGGGGTAAAAAGAGATTTTAAATGCCTTTAATAATAATAGTAAAGATAAGGGTAATTAATTAATATAATTTAAACTTAAATTAATATTTTAATTATTTATATTTTTTTAATTAAAAAGGTATTTAAGCTATATTAAAACTTTATATATAAAATAGGAAAAAGCTTAAATATTTAAAAAATAAATAATATTAAATATTTAAAGTTATATTTAATTATAAAGGTTATAATAAATATTTAATAATATTTTTACTATTAAGTATTAATAATATAATTATAATTATTCCTATAATTATTAAAAGGAGGAGGTTAAATTAAGGATTTTTAAATAATTAATTATATATAATTAATTTAACCTTTATTTGTTTTAAGGAATTAATAGGTTAAAATTTCTTTAAGTTAGCCTTTAAAACTTAGCTTTATTAATTATTATTTAAAGTAATAATATTTTAACGTAATCTTTATTTATAGGATTAATAAAGTGGAATTTTAATATATATTGTTATTTTGTATTTATAAATAATGGAGGGTTAGAAATAAAGTGTAATTTTAACCCTTAATAGCTAAAAATACGCTTAAATAAACGTCTAGGCTTATAATTTATTAAAAGTAATATATATAATCCTATTAGATTATATAGAAGTTTAAATTATAATATAATTATTTGGCTAGATAAAGGTTTTATATATAGATTCCTAGCATTCCAGTATGTGGAATGTAAGTATTACCGCCTTCCCTTTCTGACATAGCCTCTCTGCTCAACACAGTGACGGTACAAGCTAGTGTATGGGTAGCTTTCAGCGTGTCTTTGACGTTCATGTATGCATTCTAACTCCTGTCACAGAATACTTGTGAAGGCCTCAGCCTGTTTCCTAAACAAACCATGTTAAGAGTGATACGGTGAAAAGCTATCTGAACGCTTAAGCTAGCTGTATGAGGCACGGGCTATAGAGCGACTCGGCCCTATCTGTTTTCACGCACCACTTATTCAATTACCTTAAAATAACTCTATTGCTTGTGTTCATCACTTTTTATTTAATTAGTCAGTCAGCTATATATATTATTATACTTATTGACTTAATGAAGTAAGCAGCCTTTATTACTAAAGGGGCTTATATCTACCGATATATGCAATACCTAAGTATACTTAACTAGGAAAGCTATTATAAACGCTATCATTCAACTCGTTTGGAGGAGTGGGAAATCTTATGAGATTGCATTTCGAGCGAGGCTCGCTTACAATATTTTCTATTCTCTTCAGTATATGAAACGAGCATTCGCTTCCCGACAGATCGGGGTTCGCCATTCCCCTCCTAAGTCTTGCACGGACTGATCCCGAGCAAATCTTCCTTGCCAAGGTATAGGTGTTCACAGACTATGATACTATAGCCTCGCGGCACAATAGGCAACGATATCTGATAATCTAGACACTGTAGCCTTGCGGCGCAGTAGGTATTGATATCAGGCAATAAAAACCTGTACCTTTGCGGCGTAATGACTAGCATTATCTGGTGATATAGATACCGTATGTTAGACACGTACAAGCTGATCATGCAGTACGCCTTGCGCTTCGGTTGTACAAAAGGCCATTGCAGGCTGTTCACGATGTTCAAAGACATGCAGGCAGTATTGGAAAGCGAGGTTGTACAGACTTCGCTTCATGACACAAGCCAATGAGACCTAGGCGGTCAGGGCTGGCAGGCTAGTTGTATATAGAGTCGAGTCAAGCCACCAACAGCCGAGAAGGAGTTAGTTGGTCGAGGACTCATGTAGCCCTAGTTGATCATTATGTTGTGAGTAGCATCAGGTTCCAAGCCCAGATCTCTGCCCTTTACATAGTCGTTGTGTCGCAATTTGTTAAAACGACTACTTGAGATGAGCCATAATCGCAGGTGCAAAGAGAGACGCGGAATTCCATCGTCAATGCGCCTAGACGCACATCGTCGCCGCCGAGAACGAGTCGTAGCTGGGAATAGTAAGTGGTGCGCGCATCGCCGAGGTTACCGAACTCGCGTTGGAGCGGCTGGACTTTTCGTTTACGAACGCGCATATGAGACTTTATGACTTTGCAGAACTACTACAAATCATGAAGGGCCTACGATTTCTCAACAAGGAGCCATTAGTTGAGAAGTTTGCTTCCCTTGCAGAGCAGAAATTTGACGCTCGAGGCGTCCGAATTCTGTACGGGTGTGCTCTGGCCAAGGGTTCTCAAATGGATCTTAACTTTGGTACCTACTTCAAACAGGGATTGAAGGATTCTAGTTTCCTTGAATAAGAATACCTAGTAGGTGGTTAATTGATACCCTGGGTATTAGATAGCATAGAGTTTAATAGCAATCATTGTTTACCATACTTGAGTTTTTGCTGGTGGTGATAGTAGTAGACCAACATTTCGTTCTTGTAATGGATCGGCATTATATATTTACAAGCGCATGAGCTGTTACCTTGTCTCATAGCAACCCAGTTTTTCATTCCAGTCGTCTTTCCAAGTATATTGCCATATCACAGTACCTGGTTTAAGATCAAATCTACTCTAAAAAAACAGTATATTGCACTGTTGACACTTGGATAATGTTACACGTGTAACCTCTGTGCCGGTTGAAGAATGCAGTTCGCCTTGCACTTCGGCCGTACGAAGGACCATTGCAGGCTGTTCATGACCTTCCAAGACATGCAGGCAATATTGGGCAATATTGGAAAGTGAGGTTATACAGACTTCGCTTCTTGAAACAGACCCTAGAGACCCAGGCGGTCTGGGCTGGCAGATCATTTGTATATAGAGTCATCTCAAGCCACCAACAGCCGAGAAGGAGTTGGTTGGTCAAGGACTAATGCAGCCCTAGTTGATCATTGTAATCAGAATCCTCAGTTCCAAGCCCAGTATCTCTGCCCTTGTTATAGATAATGTTTCGCTCTTCTCAAGAACATTCTTTTAAGGGGTTAATGATCAGCCGAGAAATTAAAAATCTGCTGAAGAGTGACAAGGAAATGTGGAAAAGAGCAAAAGATTTGATATCGACCAACGAGGGAATCGAACCCCTGGTGCCTAACGACGCTGTGAAAGTATATTAACGCTGATGAAAGTATATTGATGCTTCGCTAGGCCGTACCAACTCGGCCATTCGTTATATTTATTCACTATAGACATAATTTGCTATATGTACTTTGATTTTAGTGTTCCAAGGCTCGATTTAGGTTCGGTATAGCCCACAATTCTCATGCATAGCTAGACCTTGTTTAGTGGACGGTTCATAGGGTCATCCGGGGTTCGTAGGCTCGTCGTTTTCCTAGGGGCTCTCCTCTTTCTCTTGAGAAATCCTGTCCGCGACGTTCCGTCTCTGCCAATCTAACTTAGCTCTCCTTTCCATCTCGAGCTTCTCCTCCTTCAATGCGATACAGAATGCGGATCCCGCGCGAATTCTCTCACCCTTCCACAGGAAAACGAACGGGACACCGCTCAGAAGTAGACTAAGGCCTCCTAGCAAACTTAGGGATCCGCTTATACCAAGTTGGTCGAACATGGGTGTGGTGGCGAGAGGAAGTAGGACCGCTAGATAAGATCGGGAGGAACTGGATGCAGCGCTCGCGCTCGCGGCAAATATCTCGTAGGCGTCGGTGAGGTAGTTGAGCATGCCCATGAATATCAGCTGATAGCCCACGCCGAATCCCACGCCCGCTAAAGACGGGACAGCATAATGAACATCCTCCCTCGCCGAGAAACCCAGCCAAAACAGCGAAATTGCGAACAATGGTCCTCCGATAGCTGCTAAGGGGACACGGTTGGATTCCTCTTTCTTTGTCCAAGGGCGATTGCGCTGTTTAGATTTGCGGAGGAAACTGCCCCAAGCGAAGAAAGTCCCGAGGGCTAAGATGACGCCTCCAATGATGGGCAGGAACAGCAAGCCAGTCACGCCGGGTGATAGTCCGTACAGTTGCTGGAATATAATGGGAAAGGCCCCGAAAGAAATGTAGAATATCTAATGAAATCAGGCGTCAGTACGAAAAGGGGAAGTCTATTCAACAGATTAAGCCTTCTTACAGCGTATACAAGAGCCAGGTAGAGACAGGTAGAAGACACGATGGTTTCTGTCAGGATCATACGAACTGGTCTTGTTAGAACCCTGGTCACGACTTGTTTGATGTCTTTATCCTCTAATTCAAAAGCAGCGTATACTTGCGCTGTGGGGTCCGCTTTGCGAATCTTCTGAGCTCGCCGACTCAGAAGAACGGGTGCGTATGTTTCAGGCAGTAGAAAGATCACCGGAACGAGAGTCACGACGGCGTATATTAGAGCAATCCACTGCCCCATTTGTATTAGTAAGATTCATCTCCGATGAGTTTGGGGACATGGAAAGGCACTCGTAACAAGGCTCTCATTTGAGAAGGCGTCTATAGGGCTTCGACGGCCTAAACGGAAACAGTAAATGCTAATATTAACCTACAAAGGACCAGCGCCAACCGATAGTCGTGGAGCAGAATCCCGCTATGATTGGTGCTATGAGAGGCCCCCAAATAGTCGTCTGTATACAACATCAGCAAGGTCGATCCTCCATGGCATCATAACACTCACCGCCATGAAGAATGCCACTGCATCACTTAAGTTAGTAACCGTTGAAATGATATGCGGGAGGCATTTGCGAGCCAAAAAGGGGCTTCAAGATTCTGAATGTCACAAACGATAGAGAGACGGCTCAAAGGTAAGTTACTCACAAGCATTTCCCCTAGTGACAAAATCCTTGCTATAAAAGCCAAATGTTAGAAGCCAGTGTTGATTTGGATGCTAGACAGGTGCTCGGGAATCGATGGCATAAGGAAGCGAGCATTTTGTTAAACCTGAAACATAAAGAGACTGCAAGATACTAACTAGATGTCTGCAAGTTGCCCAGTGACGATAGCGATAGGAGCACTACCAAAGGCTCCGCAGAGAAACCGAAAGACAAGAAAAGCCGGCCAATTAGGGGCGAGGGCGCAGCCTAGAGTCCATATTGTGAATAGAGACAGAGTTATGATGGTAAGATATCGGCGCCCGAAATGCTCACTTAGCGGCCCCCCTATAGCAACTGTAAGCTACTTGGTCGATGGCAAGAAGTTTTCAATCCCGTTCTCGATGCGGGTGCCTTAGGCTTACATAGTAACGGCCCAAAAACGTAGCCTATCAGAAATGTTGAGATGGGCAGGACTTTCTGTGTGTCTGAGGTGATGCCCCATTCCTGAGTCATGTACGGGATTGCCATACTCGGCAAGCTACTCCCCATGGTACTGTTGATGACACCCGCCATAGTCATTATGAAAATAGAGAGCTTGCGCTTCTGGAAGAGGGTAAGTCGATGTCGAAAAAGTAAGGAGAGGGTTGACTATGATCAGTGCATACATTTGACCAGTTATATGGGTTCTCCTTGTCATCTGGTTCCCACGAGATGATTTTCTTTTCGGTTGTGTCATGTATGGAATGGCAAGACCATCCTTTATTCGGCTGGATTCTATTATCTGCTTCCTCGATCCTATAGCGATATTCTGCATCTTGGTTACTTATTATACGGATGATATTTGATGCCTGGCCGCGGGTCCCTTCTCTTTGCATCGAAACTCCATTTGAGGAACGTCGTGATAACCGAGTAGAGACCTCCTCGAGCGACTGAGGTAGATCAAGCGACTCTGAATCTGACATGTTGCTGTATGGAGCAGCTTCGCCCCCGTTACTGACAGGATAAAAGACACAAGAGAATGAATAGCGCTGGTGTAGGACAAGCCGAGTGCTCTCAGCTTCAAGAAGTGGAATAATAGATTCTATGGGTTGCTAATATCAAGCCTTCAGTAGATCAGAAGGGGTGCGTTCTCCAAGCGTTGGAAAGAGGGTGGAATCTCCAAAAGAAAAAAAACACGAATTCTCTACTCTCTTCGAGTCGTCAGAGCCGTCACCATCCCCGCACATAACAACTCGTTCAAATGTCGTGCAAGGGCGGCACAAGCCATAGGCAAACGCCATGGCACCCAATAGCACCTGATCGTTATTGTAGATTGTGTGCATTTTTCAAAGGGCGATTTGTGGGTTTCCGATATCGACGATCGTGGCATCCTATCTCGCATCCCCACTAGGCACGCTGATTTATAAGAAGCACGAACGTGACGTGATAGCTACCTGTGTCGGTCGAAACAGTCGAGCAGCAGCATCCCCAATAGGTATACAGCCGGATGTCATTTACCGGGCCCGGTAATAGCGCGGAGATGGATGGAGCACCATATATTTTTCGGTTGCGGGCTTGGTACAGTTCACGATCACCCCGACCGTTGCCTAAGTAGTACCGGTATAGACGTGCAAGGTAGCCGATACCGGGCAATCAGGCCGATTTTTTATATTAGCCTGGGATTTGGTACTCAATTATATGTGCTGGAACGAAAGATTGATGTTACTGTGCGTGACAAGTCATCAGCACCCCCTGAATGGCTCCTTATGGCGAATCTACTAGGCGCAAATGTAGGTGGTAGGCGCCTGTTCTCTTCGTGTGGAGACGAAATGGCGGTTTGAATACAGTTGCTATCTCGTCCTCACGGAATTATATAGCTCATGGACATCTGAAGCAACGAGAATGTGTAGATGGAATACGATATGCTTGAATAGTGGAGAGGGCCACTACAATCTGCTAACGGCTTAATCGAACCTTGAAAGTGATCCACATCGGAGAGGAGTTCCGGGAGATACACGCATTAGTTTAGTATGGTGTAGGCATTAGGTTAGCGGGTCTGCGAGTTAATCACCGTGTTAGGTTAGGGATGGGACTCGATTCATGGAGCTCTCTCAACCTGATTAGGTTCGTATGCAACGACTTTCCTAGCTAGAACAGCGCCTTGTGTGAGAGAGGCCCGTGTATGTACAGTCTGTATAACGCCAAAGGAAGTGTTGTGGGCTTCATCGATCGGTGAGCAATGAGGCCAATTAGATCAAATCGGGAACGGGATTCGACAAGGGGAGGTCGGGAATTCGATGCCAAGACGAGATACTCATAGATCCTCAACTACCGAGTACGTCTACGGCGCCGCTGCTATGGAAGACCCGGCTGAGGTGGCTCTAAAGCAATGTGTATTGAATAGCAATGTTCGTAGAAAGTCACATTAAAACTGATATCTGCTAGCCGTGATCATAAGCTGGAGCTACTTTCGTTGCAGTAACCTAGGGTCCAAGTCAGAGTCTTGTTGAAGCACTTCGGGGTAAGGTGGTATTTATTCCGGTCCAGCTGACAATATACTCTAGGTATTTTAGCACAGACTCCTGCAATATATGCAGGTCTATCGCGTTGCTCTGTTGAACCAGTGTTGCAACGGTGGCCTGGAAGAATTGTGCTGCCAAGAATACTATCAATTACCCCCAGGGCGTACTGGGATTGATCCATGTCGCGAACAGTCGGAAGAAGCGGATATTCTCTGGGACCATGGCAGATTTGATTATGAAGCTCTCGTAGCCCTTGATAATCGTCTAATTTCTTTCTCCTGGTTTTCGTTCCACTTAGAAAAAACTGGTTCTTCTAGTTGTGTATCATTCTAGCCCCGGGACGGATCACCTCCTCACATCCACAGTCGCTCTCTGATGGTAACGAATAACGATCTTAACGAGCTTTCCTATCTAGATTGTAGATGGAAACGGCAATCCGATATTAGACGCAGCACTTGTCAGTAGTTGTTCTGTGAGGACTTTGTCGACGGCTCGTCTTTCGAGTTGCAACGGAAGGATGACCATATTTCTAAGAGAGTCGGTGAAACCCAATGACTTGTCCACATCATATTGGGGCACACCGTCCGCGGACTATGAATGCGAAGTCGGCGAATACACTTCGAAGTGACTATGTCTCAAAGTATGAATGAGATACCTCCTTTATCTTGGGTTGAAAGTTCGTGGCCAATAGAACTGGCAAGTTGTCTGATTTCACGGATGGCCATTATTGGCGGACCTCCTACTGCAATCATCGGATGGTTCAGTAGAAGATGGAGTGGCACCGGGGCTGGTAGTTGCTTGAAGCTCGAAGAAGCGTAGTGTCGGGGGCGCATTCCGAAATGCTTGCTTCCCTAGCCTTCTTTATTAGCCCTATTATTCGTTTCTTTGATCAATCACGTCATAGGCAGAGCTATCAATTAGCACGAGATTACAAATGGCACTAATGTCTGGGGAAATCCCTCTCTATTCAATATGCAGTTAAAAAATTATAAAATATAGTACGCGAAAGTAGGAGGGGTTGATTCAGCATTGAGCGTCAAATGCCACACCTCTTGCTCGGAACCGACCATCTCCGCAAAATAATCCCTTTATGAGTCCGCATTCACCATTCGTGCTTTGCACCAATCTAAGCCTGGGAAGAGAAGCCAGGGTTGATGAGATCAAAGACACGGTGGCCGATGGCGCTGTAGCCGGGCACGAACTGTTACATTGAGTTAGCATTCCTGCTTTACGCTGAGGTGAAGCCCAGATGAAGTATATATCACTTACAGCAGTTCCGAAGGGCTCGACAATGGTGTTGTAGGTAGCCTCGGGCTTGGTCTCAGCGAGCCAGACCCAGGTAAGGTTGGTACCGTATCCAATGTCATCAGCGGGGAGACCCTTGAGGATAGCGTTGTAATCCTTCTCAGGGATGGCGGGGTTGCGCGAGCCGGGGTTGTCGTAGGCGATGCTGGACAAGATGTTGGCAACGTCCTTGTTCTTGCCAGCAGCAAGACCAGGAGAGCCGTGTAGGGCGATACCGTCGTGGAGCTTCTCAAGACGGTACTCGTCCCACTTCTTGGCATCCTTGTGTCCCTTGACGAACTTGACGGCACCGAGGGCACCATCGATCTCGAAGCGCTTGTCACTGTTGGATCGTAAGATTTAGGCTGTGCTGTGGGCAGGCTGAAATCAAGAGAGCTACTTACGGTGAGATCCAAGGGGAGCCAGGGGTCATATCCCAGCCCAAGTCATGGAGGATAGTGGAAACGGCGTGAAGCTCGACATCGACCGAGTCCTTCAATGTCTGGTTGGCATTGAGAGCGGCAGCACCGAAGAGCCATGTTCGCATGGAGTGCTTGTACAAGAAACCATCGAAATTGCGGATAGTAGCTCGGGCATCGCGGACGATGTCAGTGTCAATAACCTCGACACCGAACATCTTGGTGGTGCGGTAGTGAGGCTTGTGAGGGTGCGCGCAGGCGGCCTCGGCCATGGCGGCGAGAGAAGCGACGATAGCAAGGAACTTCATTATGAATAACGCTGAAATGTACAGGCGAATTAAGAGAAAGTGAATGAGAAACGAAGAAGACTGAAGAGGAAAGTAGAATGCGGTGATGGGTGGTAAAACAACATCATCAAGTCGGCCGGACGAGTGTTTATATACACATTTGAAGCTATATCGTGCCCCTTACCAACTCTCAGCCATGCTGACTGTCTCAAGTCTGAACTCTTGGTAAACCCAAGATGAATGAGTCTAGATTGGACGCCACAAGCCGAATGGCTCCTCCCGCACAACCAACACAGTCTGAAATGGGGTATTTGGAAAATTAGATAGCCCTGACCGTCAGTGGCCTGTCTGATTTGGAAATGGTTGGCGAAAATGCATGATGGGCTGGTATTCGGTAATAGGAACACTACAACGAACTGGCTCTAGTGTAGTGAGCAGGATCAGCCTTGGCGATCTACCACCTGGACACAGCTTGTGCTCTAATTCAAATAGCAGCATAATGGACGAGCCTTGCGGCTTAGGTAAGTCTATTAATATCAATCGCTTCATGGTTCGTGTACCGTCCAACCCCAGCCTCTGCCCAGCCTAGAATGTGACATAGCGGCTTTGCAACCCAATCAGCAGCCAACAATCGACGACAATCACGGCGACGATGGCTATACTTGGGTCACTAAGCTGCATGGTCTTTTGCCGGCAACCATACGTAGTACACTACACAGTACTGCCCAGTTGCTTGGCCGGAGAACACCGCGCAGACCACACCTCTTCCATCAGCATTAGCTCAATTCAACACTATCAGAAATGACTACTGTGTGAGACTCTAAGTGCGTTGCCGTGTATAGACAGTCAGACCACCCAAGATTGTGGTATTCTACGCACAAGGATGATGATACCCCAAGTCCTCGGCATCATCCTTGGTAGCGTCATGTTATATTAGAAGACGCCATGATGAATCGGGTAGGTGTGTAGTTAAATTCCAAACAGAGGGAACCAATCTCTAGACCTTACGATGATGCAATCCCAGTGTGATGACTTGACTTACGAGTTGCTCATGTCCAACTACCGGTTGTATATCACGTTAGGTGCTGTATACCACCTTACCATACGTGGGACATGTGCCTGTCATCTACTACCTACCCCGGACGAGAAGAGCGAACGCGCTAATGTAGTCTAATCTATCGTGCCATTGTGCTGGACCGGCGAAGTCTTTCTCAAATAGAATTAGTATACGAAAGCTCTGTCGTGTCGAATGCACATTCGAACAGTAATGATTATGTTAAGCGAGCCAACATTCGTCTAAATCTATTGTAGATAGAGTCAAGGGATAATTGTAATAACAAACCAACGCCCAACGTCCAACGTCCAACGTCCAACGCGATGGTCTTCAGATGGGCTAGTAGCGCAGAGTGAGGTGCCTATTCGACGGCTCCTCATGCTGTTCTAGAACGATGTCAGTATCCCCGTCGCACTACTTTCCCCGGCCGACCCACGATCATTTGCTTACATACACATATACATACTTAGTATACATGTCCACACCTACCATCTAAGTGCCTGCTAGTTGACAGACTATGCAGCGCGCTATTATAGGTAGTTTGGTTTAGTGTATCGCTTGCCAAATTGGAATCACCAATTTTTCCATTGTTTACATACATCAGGTAACGACGCTTCTTTAGCGGCTTTCATTGCTGTTGATGGCTTGATCTAGATAATAAGGAAAACAGTCATGCTCAAGTACTTTCCGGTGATAGGCTATGTTAACAGCCCAGTCACTGGTGAGTGGCAGCTAAGCCAGGAACACACCTGAAAACGTTGTCTGCCTTTTTGGGATAATAATAAGAGTGGGACACTCTCAAAAAGCGGGATGACATGGGGAATTTCGATCTTGGTACGTCTGAGTAGTAGGGATAATGGAGAGGAATCCCCATCAATGCACACGTGCTGTATACACTAAGTACAACCTGCTTGGCCTCTGCTTGGGTGACGGAAGATACCGTCTCTCTTCCATCAGGCGTCTAATCGAGTTTCAGCGTAGTGTACATAGCAAAGTAATGGTGCTCCTAATCACATGCCGTAGGCACCCTAGCATCATGTCAACGTGGGCCGGCAGGGCTCAAATCGAGAGACCATCCTCATGAAACCTTGGCGTTCAGCCAACAGGGGCAAAGGGAAAAGGAGAAATCGGATAGCCGGAGTCATCATGACTTTGGGCTACATGTCGTACTACCGACTATTACTTTTTTGCGCATAGGTATCATCAGGTCTCCCTAACGAACTCAATGAGCTTCACTTTTAACCAAATATGACAAATACACATGCTATGCGTAAAGTAGTGAATAGTATCTAGTTCTCATGTCATGCCAGCTATTACTAGTTTCTAGCGACGCCTACCTACACCGCCAATGCTGATGCCAATACCATTAGCAATTTCTCTACGAGACATGGCGTCGCCAACTACAACTTGGCAAGGCGGCTCTCGACTCATCTATTTCGTGAGACCAACCTAGTCTCCTGCCATGGTGCCGTAAGGCCCTCGTTAGCCTTCAATCCCGTTAAGCTAATTATGCTCTAAATGACTCAGCTTTTTCTTAGCCAGTTCTTGGAAACGGGGAGCTAAATATGAGGTCGTCTTGGTAAGGGTCTTGGTAAGGTGGATTATACGAAAGTATGAGTTAGGGTCCTCGCCGACGGGAAGGATACCTTAGCAGATTAGCAGGGTGAGTGAGCGACGACTCGGCACAAGCCGCCACAGCGCTAATTTCTCCACTGTACAACTGAAAAATACTGCTGACATTAGCTGTGCTCTTCTAATATGCTGGCTCTCTTGGCTGTCAGATCTGACCATTGTCATCCTCCGCTTCTTCCTTGAGGCTGAAGGAAGGGGAAATTCACGTTAGAGCAATGACCGAATCAATATACTGATATTTGTATCAGAGATAACACGCCTTGAATACAACTCTTCACGGTTATTGAAGAGATAGTTCACAATAGCGGCTCCCCTCCACGCAGATTTGTATACCCATATATTCTATTATTAACCTGACAGCGACAATTGCACTACGCTAAGTAAGTAGACTTTCACCAACGGTAACCCCCGTACCCCAGCTTAGCTGGGTCAGACTAGGTAACTTGGTAGTGCGTACCACTTATTACTGGATACGCCGACCTAGTAGTGTACTACCGGCGGTGTTCCAGCTCGTTCCAGCAGCTGAGAAAAGCCAAGCAGTTGGGATGACCAGAATAGCATTACCAAGATCGCCGGCGACGGGTAGTTCCAGCATTGACAATTTCATGGCAGCACCCTAATTTCTTCGTGTTTCTATGAATAACTTTTGCCCAGAAATAAAGTCTTCGATATTGTCATGATGCTTCCAAAATGAGATGAGACGGACAACAACTCACTTTCTACACAATGAGAACTCAGCGAGAAGGTCAACACTCTCTACAAGTTAGTCCAGTTCTCCAAACAGGCAATCCCGACAATACCAAGCCTAGCGATCGACGCTCAAACACTTTTCGCATCATTGAGTGGGAGCTAAACTAGGAGCTCAAACGAGCCGTTATGCAGTAGAAATCACCCGTTGCTGAAAGCCTCCCTTATACGAATCTCCTGAGAGACGGCGAATTTCTAGCCAAGAAATCCAACAATTTCGCATCATGTCGTGGCAACAATCCCTTGTCACAACGGGATTCTCGGAACTACATTACACGTCTCTCCTAGACGTCAACGCCAATGCTCGTGAGAGTGGCAACAAAGTCGTCTAGCAGGTATGACAGATTCCATGCCAATCCGGCAATCTCCGCAAGGCAGGAAGATTACGCGTTGCGAAAGGAATTTCAGTGCCTCGGTCGCTTGGTACAATGAGCAATATCCTTTTCCTTGAAGAGATATTCAGTACTGGGTCAAGAAGATAGGTAGGCAGGTAGATAAATGAAGAGTTGATGACCGCGACTCTTCGAAACGACACTACACCTAACAGTCCGCAAATTTCAACGGCTACTGTTACACGCATCTATGGCTGAACATGCAAATCGCTACGCGCGCATGCCTTGCGAAAGATCCTTTATAAGACATAGCAAAAACAATGATGAGGTTATACAGATCCCGCTAGCATGAGACATGTACTCAGACTTTGAGGGCTAGCAAAGACCGTACCAATCTTATGTGGCGTCAGCCAAACAAGGCCAAGAAGGAATTGGATAGTCAAGGGTGTTTGAGGATCTAGCAGCCTATTGCACTGCGAATAGCTTCAACGCTGTTACCAGTCCTCGTTATAGCTACCTGTAGTAGTATGGCAACATAAGTGGCGTTAAGAGGAAGAAGATTGCTTGAATTAGCATACAAAGACAGTCAACTCCGGTATGGGTTATTCCCCTGAGAGCCTCGGGTAGGGCTAGGCTTAAGTATCTAGATAACTATGCACTTGTCTTGTTGTAGATTCTTGAAAAAAACGAAGCTATACAAACCCATGACACCGCAACCGTGACCAATTCTCACGCCTACCCCATTCGTGATGCCGCCCCCGTAGATTCCGGTATGGAAGCTTAGTGTCTTCCGGTCCCCGAAGCCTCGGTAAAAATCAACTTCTTTACTTTACGTTTTTGACCCCAAGATTCCGCACCAGCCAAACGGGCCGCCCGGCCGCCCGCTCGCCCACTCAAACTTCTTCGGCGTCGCGCCCGGACCGATGATATTACTCCCGTAGACTGTGCGCCGGCGTCCGTATCTGCGGAACCATAGTGATTGATGCCTACCGTTATCCATACACGCGTTCCCCTCGTCTACCCACCTTTAGCACTAGGTTAAGAGCGTTTTCCCCATTTCGATCAAAAAGCTCTTTTCATCAATCACACAGAAATTTCCTTCGTCGTTCGTAGTCGTCGCTGGGTTTACTTACTTACATCTTGCATCTGCATCTCGTGACGTCAGTCGTTACGCCGTCTTAAAGCATTTCATCTATCTACCTAGGTACCTACTTTCACCATTTCCTCCCGGAACAATTATCGACCACACATAGAACAAACTCCTGGATAGTAGATATATATCATCACAATTTCGTCCAAACAACGCGATTCTCATCCTACATTATTACCCTTATCCCACCAATTCTGGTATGACCAAGAAGGCAGGAGAATCTCCTCCGCTAACCCGACTCTATATTAGCGTTGCGCCCGGCCCCGAACCAATCCCTGTCCCGATTATCTACCATCATCCGAGCAAGGATAACACATGCATCCGGTCGGTCCAATTGTCCAGCCTACGCTACTGTGGACTGCCGTGCGCTATCTATGCTACTTACCGCCCTCTAATCACGGGTCATAGATTAGGTAGATAGATGGGTTACGGCGAAGTACAGTACGCGAATTGGGAAAAAAATCTTCGCAGAAAAGATGCCGGGTGCGTTAGCCGAGATGGCGCAAGAACATGATGTCTTGTGTGAGACAAAGCAAAGCCATCTATCTACCTATCTATCTATCTATCTCACGTTCTTCGTACATACACACATACATACATACATACAATACGCACGCGCATTCGGGGTTGTATATATGTTACGTACAAGACAGTAACCGTAATACTTACTACCCACCTAATATTTCCCCTTACCTACACTACAGCACCCTAGATAGTTCAATTCCGGTTCCGCACAAAGCATGTCTTCCGTCCCCGACGCGGCCATAATCCCGTGTCCCGAGGCCCAACGAAATGACGCCAAGATGCTAGCAGACCAGGACGACGACGACGACGACAACATCCGCGTCGGCATCGTCGCTTCCGCCCTGGCCCCGCGCGACGTCCCCGAGACCTCGCGCCGCGAGATCTGGTCCTGGTACGCCTTCTACGTGGGCGCGAACGGGCTGGCGCTCTTCAACTTCGGCCCGACGGCCTTCCAGAACCTACTCGCGCAGGCGGCGCCGTCGGACACGGGGCTGCTCCGGTTCGCGGGGCGCGAGCGCAACGTGAACAGCATCGTGCTGTTGACCAACGGCATCAGCTTCGCGATCCAGGCGGCGCTGTTCATCGTCATCGGGTCGTACGCCGACTTCGGCTCCGGACGGCGCTGGGTGCTCGTCTTCTGGTCCGTCGTCGCCTTCGGCGTCGGCTTCGCCTGGCTCGGCGTCCATGTCCCTGAGCGCTGGCGTGCGGGCGTCGCGCTGTATATCCTGGGCCTCATCTGCTACCAGCTCACGCTGACGTACTGGACCGCTGCCTTCCCGTCGTTGGCGCGGAACACGCCCCGGCTGAAGGAGGCTGCGCGCGCGTATGCCGAAGGCGAGCTCAGCCAGGCCGACTACGATCGCCAGGATGAGATGGAGCGGAGCAGGCTTAGCAATGTGGCCTTTTGCATACAGAGTTTGGGCGAGTACGTAAAATTCCGTGGATTTCTTTTGTATTTGTTGGGCTCATCATAGCGGGAGTTCTTTTCTGGCAATACTACGTACGCAGGTACAAGCCCTGGGGATGCCGCCCCTACTCTGGTGCCAGATAGCCACCCGTGGGCACGTAGAATTTCTAACATGTGAACCCTTTTTCACAGGGTCATCATCCTCGCCGTTATAGTCGGCATCTTATTCGCCGTGAACGTGAACGCGAGTGTCGAGGCGAACAACTGGGGTCTGAGCGTCCTCATCGCCTTCGCGACCGCTGTTTGGCTCGTGCTGTCGATACCGTGGTTTCTGCTCGAGAAGAAGCGTCCCGGGTTGAAGATACCGCCTGGCAAGAATATTCTTAGCGTCGGCTTCTGGCAGCTCAAGGAAGCTTTGACCAAGATATGGCACCTCAAGCAGAGTCTAATCTATCTTGTCGGCTATTTCCTGCTCGGTGACTCGCTGAACACGACCGTCACCGTCATCGCGACGCTGCAGGTTAGTTCCCTCTCCTGAAGTTGAGCTGAAACCCTCTTCCTATCTAGCAACTACTAACTCCATACGCTAGAACGAAGTCGTATCCTACGACACATTAACACTAACATACCTCCTAATCGTAGGCATCGTAGCGCAAGGCACCGGGATCGGTGTCTACTGGTGGTTACAAAAACGCTACAACATCAGCGCGAAGACAATGTTCAATGTCGTCATGGTGGGCATCATACTGCTCGACGGATGGGGCATGATCGGGAACTGGACCAACGCCTTTGGCTTCCATCACGTATGGGAGATCTGGGTGTACCAGGCCTTTTACGGCCTCTTCGTGTGTCAATGGTACTCGTATTCGCAGATCATCATCTCCTCCGTGACGCCCAGGGGCCACGAGTTCCTGTTTTTCTCGCTGTTTACCATCGTCGGCAAGACGTCGTCGTTCATCGGCCCGTTCGTGAGTAGTGCCATCATCGATGCGTCTCCGGGTCACAGCAATAATAGCGCGCCGTTCTATTTCTTGTTCGCACTCACTTTGGTTAGTGCGATTGGTCTCTGGCTTTTCTTAGACTTGGATAAGAGCGCTAGGGAACAGGAGGCCTTTCTAGCACAAGAGAAAGCAAGGATAGGAGCAATGGATAGTGAATGACGACGTCACTATTAATCAGTCTTTTAGGGCCCTTTATCAGTCTCCGTAGAAGAAATATGCTTTCCCAGACGATATAATTCGTCTTAGAAATCCGTTGCCGCGCGATATAAAGTTGACCTTCAAATTATGTAGCTATACACATACTATTCTAGCTAATCATTTGAGGGCTACAAAGTATAAGCAATTCATCAGCAGTTATATAGTAGAACTTTAGTTATGAACATATAGCGTTGAGGCTAACAAGGACTAATTGGTGGGTTGAGCCTCGTCCCACTTGAGTTTCGTGTATCTGTCTTGTAGCTGCTTTTCTAATTCATTATCGTCTCTAAGATAATGAGCAATAGTTAGCGCGTGGGAGATCCAGGCTTTGCTCAAGTCGTCTTCATGGGCACCATATAAGTCAACACCATGATTGAAAGCCGTAACGGTAATCCATTCTAGTTCGAGAGGTGGGAACTCCTTATTCATCTACGCACAATGTCAACTGATTAGATGTACACCTTTCTTTCCCACTCAAGAGCTTACGTTTGCTAGTTCTTTGGCCATATTGGAGATCTCGCCCATTAGATTCAAAGGAATATGGTGTTCCATTGGGAGGGTGGCTTTGAGCAGACACCGCATATACTTAGCTAGCTTTTCATAGCCAAAGTGCTCTAGCTTCCAGGTCTGATCGATAATCTCACGCATCGTCTGATACAAGACTAGTAAAGTAGGTCTGAGTGTTAAGCTTTGAAGAAATAAGAAGGAGAGAAAACTCATACCCTGGTTTGGAACAAGTTGGCATCTTAAGATGCAGTCTGCCATTGCTTGGTAAGTCAAGGGATTTCGTCCCGGTTGAGCTGTAAGGACAATGCCTTTCAAGTCATCCTATGACTGAAGACAAGTAGCGGCTTCAAACTCGAAGACCAAGAGCGTTGAAAGCTTCGTTTGAAGATCTTCTCGTGAAGCTTGATCTAGGGCATCCGATCTTGATTCTAATTCTTCGCGAAAGTGCAGTATGTGGCGGCGCATATTTAGGTAGTCTTGTAGCCGTTGCTCAGTGTTATCCTCAGAACGGGCTAACGCGAGGAGCATTGTAGCTATCATGAAATCGCAGAACATGCCGCGCAATGAAATATCAGCCGCCATTTGAGACGAGATGTCTGACGGATAGCTCGATATAATTGAGAGGCAACATTCTAAGATGACAATGACATAACGCGCTTCCCATGTCAATGCATTTTCCAGTCCAAGATTGTAAGCATTTTTGCTGAACCAGTTCAACTCGTCGATGGTAAATAGTTTTTCGCTCTTAATATCTCGACGCTCTGTTTCTATCGCCTGGGCAGCTATTGAAGTGGTTAAATTTGTAAGAGTGAGCATGACAGGTCAACGGCTTACCGGCCTTGAAAATATTACAGATATCTGTGGCCAATGTAACGGTATCGGTATCAACTTTTTGCTCTTCATTGAGAACTGATATTTCGAGGCGTATGAGCGTTCGTAATAGTGCTGGGAGGTGAATAGCGTTTGAAGAACGGAGTTGGTCCTTGTCAACAATGAGCTGCAGTGCTTTGATTGTAGTAATCCTATCTTGTGCTTGTTGAGCTTCCAAACAACATGCATACAAGTAGTTAGGATCCGAAGAAGATACTGCGCTGATCTGTTCTAGACATCTCAATGCACTGTCGACATCCTCTTGTCTCAAGGCGATCTTGAAGGCCAGATAAGCTGTCATCGGCTCTTTTAATGTGGCATCATTCATTGACTGTAGAATTTCTTCAGCGGCGGATAGGTCATTTTGCTGAACGGCACAGAGTAACATCTTCCTGGGATTTTGTCGGCATTCGGCCACGGACACATCGAGAATGGAGATAACTAACCTGGCCATTTTGCCCGCATTTGACGGGCCAGACTGCTCAAAAACCGGATGCAGACCTACTCGACACCATTTTGCGGCCGGGCCAAATCTTTCTAGGCTAAACTCGGCATCTGCCTTTTTCCAAATTAACTGCTTGAAAGTTAGCTTGATAGTAATCTGGTGTGGATATCTGAAGGCGACAAACTGTTTGAATTCCAGCTGCGGTATTGGCTGACAGCGGATTACCTGTGCTAGGAAGAATCCGATCTAATACTGTTTCGAGAGCTTGAATTGATTCAGGTGAGTCATCCCGAGTTGCCATATGGGTGCGTAGAACAATAGCTTTGTCAATCCATTGCTCCCGCTTACAGGTAAGTATATACGTTACCAAGAACTTATCAAGAACAGAGATTGCGGTTACGTTGTCCTTCTCATCAAGTTTTCGTATATGGTGCATAATCAGCTTGAAAGATGATTCGGAGATGTCAGCAGCTTTCATCATTCGGTGCAGAATACTAGCGTATGCCTTGCTGTCGAAAGTTTCGGCTGGAGAACGGAGCAGAACCTCAGTTCGAAAGAGGAGGACGACGAGCTTGTCACCCAACCCATCTTCAAGGTATGCGATATGGTTCTCAGCGCGGTTTATGTAATCTGGGGACCCGACATCTAAATAGGCTTGGATCAGTGCTTGTGAGATTGCAAGTTTCAATTCAATGGCATCCCGGGACAACTGGCTCATTTCTTGGGAATTGATGAGTTCCAGAGCCCTCTCCAACCATTTGGCCGCTAGAACGGAGTTTTTCTTCAGATTCAAATCCCTCCCTATTTCAAAAAGAGCGTCTGCAAGTTGCTCAGCTGATGCAGTATCGACTTTTGTCATTATGCCTGCGACGCTGGCATACAGATGCTCGGCCACGTCCATCCGGTCCTCCTTCCAGGCCTGAAACAAATTAGTGAAAGTGTGGAACAGTGTATTGAATTGGAACTTGCCAGCACAATACGGAGCGTGCTGTATTCGGCCTCGAACTGGCTGCATGTACGTGGCTCTTCCGATGGCGAGCCCTGCATACGCTGCAGCAGTCCGTTATATTCGACGGCTTTCTGCAGTGTCCAGAGAGCATATTCAAGTTCATTGCTGGCTATGCAGCGTGAGCAGCCTTACCCTGGTTTCGCGATGGGACTGTTTGCCACATACCAATGCACGATCGGCTAGTCTTTATAGCAAGTCGCTCTAGATGGGTGATGGTTTTGGTGCAGTTGTCGCCGTCTCGTTGCGCTAGGTCTAGCATCGACAAGGAGAGCACTCGGACCAGGGTCAGGAATTTGGGTCTTTGAGGTGGTGTATTGTCATCCCCACGGCGCAATTCCTGCGTGCACCAATTCCATAGCTTGAGGCTGGCTGTTTTTAGTTGAGTATGTTGCTCGGCGTGTAGGGATCGAGGGCTGTGAGTCTTGAGAGATTGTATTCGGTCTTCTGCCCCCTTGTTCAGATCAACAAGCGTTGAATCGGTGACTTTGTCGAGACACAGGCTACGAAGCCGACTGGAGAATTCTAGGAAGATCAGCATGAGCACTTTCGAGAATTTCGAAGGAGGCGGGCGCACTTACGGATAACATCCTCGACGAACTGACCTTTCTTGGTCGTAGATGTAGCATTGGAGCGATCCATCATAGCGTGCCTATCTTGAAGTAGCTAGCCGTACCCCTATTTTCGTATTTCAGATAGCTTCTATTAGTGACAAAAGAGGTGGCGTCATTCGAGTCGGTTGGCCGCGGTTTTGCGGATTTGATTATTCTACTTCAACAACACACTATGGACAAGGTGCGTGGTTTAATTGCAGGTTGCCTCTGACGGCAGGGAAACAGCCAATCGTATCTAGGTAACCTTTGTATATTCGACAACTCCATCACACAGGGAAAGTTATAGCGAAGCCAAGCCGTTACGATGCCTACATATGTGCCTAGGTAATATTTCCTGTCTAGTGTCCAGGCAGGCAGGCACGTTCATGCGAGCATCTGCCTGCCGGATTTGCCAGTGGGTGCCGAGACGTGAGGAAAGCGCTCGCTCTACATACCTACCTACCTACCTACCTACCTATGTATTGCAGCTGCAAATGTGTAGACTGGCGCCTTCTTCATAGGCTCAGCGTGGCGCTACTCCTTCCTCAAGTACCTACCTACAGAGTACATACACTGAAGCCCCTGTCTCAAGATAGCTCCTGCAGCTAAAGAATCCGAACTGGCGTCCTATTGCCTGGATTGCTTCGTTACCCAAGGGCAGATGCACGCCTCAGGTTGAGTGCTGTGGCCTCATATTCACGCACCTTCCCATTCCATTTGAGTAACACAAATCGGTGCCTCTGAGGATATTTCTATTACATGTTTCCGAGGTTGTATGTAGGTCCCGAATCAGAGCCTCTTAGCAGATTGTTGTTGTGGTCTCTGTACTCTCTGTACCTAGGTATGCTTCCATGGGTACTGTAGGCACTATCTAAAGGGAACGAACGAGGCATGAACGAGCAGCTAGCTACACTACGCGCGACTGATTTCTCCTGCTACCTCAAGGTAGTTGATCATGAGTGTTTAGTATTTAGATATGCGAAGAATAGATAGACATCATGCCGTGGTTGATTGATATCGTTGGAATTCTTTAACATTAAATGTTTCGACAAATGCTAATTCCGACATCCATCAAATCATATGCTGGACTTAGCTCCACCACCTCTTAAAATCCCAATAGCTCTCCCCAACCCTCTTTTCGTGCGCACAGATGTCGCTACACCATGCAATCGTCTAGACAATAAACATTGAGTCATCTCACCCTTGGGGTGGATCGTGTGGTAGAAAGTTGCCTACAATAAGGCTGGGTCTGTTCGCGTTGTCATCCTTCGTTAGCTATTATCCACGCCCGACACGCTTCGCACTTTATACTCACATCTTATGGTCATCTCTGCGTATCATAAATGAGAAGCAACAATTGACAGTGGGGTCGTTAGAGCGGTCGTCGGGGTTCTTCAGCGCGCACGCCGTCAGGAGCGTATCGTGTGCTGGGTCAAAGGCGATGGTACCGAACTCCTCCCAGTACCGGACGAGCGACTCTTCCGTCATGACTTCGTGTATAGATAATTTGCCCTTGATATGACCTCGTCAGCCACATCGGGAATGGCATATGCATGTATGCCCAACTTACGTCTCGTAACCGCTCCACAGGCACATGAATGAGCTCCGCCATCTCCTTGTTGCCTCTAAATATCTCTCCGGATCTCCTCCAGCAGCACGCGGGGACAGCCATCGATGCAAAGACACGGTCGTATTCCATAAGCGATCTTTCAAACCACATCTCGACGTAAACAAGCTCCATATCCGTAAGTCCTTGCATCTTCTCGCGAAATTTCGGACGGAAGCGGTCCAGTTGCCGTAAAATCTTCTGTTTCGACGCCGGTGCAATATGGCCATCCATGTAACTGGAAAGCCGTGCATATCCCTTGATGTAGTTGAAGGGTTTGAGTAGGCCCGCATCGTACTTGGCCTTCAGTACTCGTTGCATACGTGCTTCCGGCGTGTCATTCCCAGACGGATCTGCAGCTTGAAGATAGAATTCCCGTGTCTTGTCTGGCGGCGCGGCGCTTCTCGGTCTGGGAATCGCATTTCGCTCCGAATTTGGAGGAAGCATGGATCCCGCCTCCATCGCACTAGGTGGTAGGGGGTTACCTAGAAAGCCTACCATGTCCACCTGGCCAGACTGCGACTGGTTCCTGTATATACTCTGCTCGTCCGTCAAAGTCCCATTTTCATCCAGCAAACTCGTGTTCAGGAAGTCGTTGAGCAGGTTGAACTCATGAGTGACTTCTTGGGGAAGCATATACTGGGGGTTGAAGTGATGCATGTCGTGGAATTGATTTTGTGCCGTTAGCCATGCATCAGAGAAACCGGCCACTGCGAGGTCAGCCTACGATATAGATGCTCGTGAAGGGGGTTCATGGGACTAACATTGGTTCATATTGTTGCTGCTAGACGTACCGGAGGCCTGCCCACCTGAGACCGGGCTCGGTGACACAAGCTGGAGAGGGTTGCCTTGGCCAAGCGGGCCAAAACCTGGCTTGGTCCCCTGAGACGGCCTGCTGGAATCGAACGAAGGCGGTACCATCGCATTGGTACCTCGATCTATCGAATTCCGCGACAACTCAGTCTGGCCGTCTGATTCGTCACGTGCAGCTGCATGATTAGAGGTCTTGGGCTTCTTTGCATCCGGATCCCTGGGTTCATCATGGCAGAGGTGGCCAATGTTGCGCTTAATGCATCTCGTACATGGTCTGTCCTATTCAAGGGGGTCGATCCCTAGTCAATCTCGGTACATGCACCCAGGAGTAACAGCTCCCAGCCATTGACGTAACACATCGAGGAACTGATCTTACATACGAGATCACACGTCATATGCTATGGACATGGAGAAGCGGTGGTCAGCGAATATCACTCCAAACAACGACAACCAAAAAAAAATAAAAAGAAAGGGTTTCAACGAGTACGAGACGAGTAGTTCAAGGCGCGTCAGGCGCGGTTCACACATTACAAACAGGGACCCTAGGAGCAGGACATGGGATCACGAGGCGAACAAGCGACAGCACCACCCCTCACACAGGGCGCAGAAGACTCGTAGACGTGGAACCAATAGATACAAGGTGGTTGATGTGTGGTGAACAGAGTTTGCTGGGTGAGGACTTACAGATCGGCGGCAGTATACGCAGGCTGTAGGAACGCGCGACCAAAATTAGCCCTAGTCCATGCGGCGGCAGCGAGGAGAAAACAGCACGGGTAGACATGATGACGGTGGCGGCGACCGGGGGTATTTTTTTTATTTTTATTATTTTTTTTTGCAAGAGAGAACGTCAGGGGGGATGAATGGGAGAATTTTGGCAGTATCGCACAACAGCAAGCGTACCATGATTCACCTTGCGCCTCTTCCTAGGGCTCTTATTGGTATCGGTGGGCGTATTGGCGGCGCTTGGAGTATTGTCCTTGGACTTGGCGTCGCTGTCGGCCCTCTTGTCCTTGGCATGCGTACCATTGCTGTCCATGGTGAATAGCAGTAGGCGACGGACAGACGGGCGTCCTGCTCGAGGGGTGATTCGAAGGTCGGGTTTGCACTGGGCTGTTAGGCTCTCATTGGACCGCTAGGTAGTGCAAAGAGGCGTGCAGTTGGGTGGGCGTTCGAGGGTCGCAGTGGTGCGCAGTGGGTGTTGGACGGCTGTGTGCAGGGCCAAGCAGCAGGTTTGGTCAACTGTATTCCGAGCAATGGTCGCCGAGACTGGAGGAGCAGAGAGAGAGAAAAAAGAAAGCCTAGAATAATAGAAAAACCGTGTCCCTGGGGGTGCGTGTGAGAGGTGCGCGTGCGTGCTCGTGATGGGACGGGGACGACGGGGCCCAGCAGCATCTCCCGGCAGAGGGAGAAGGGTGCAACTCTGGGTGCAGTGACAGTGTCGGCGATGGAATGGTACACCATGCACGTATTATGGAGGTACAGTAACCGCAAATTAATTAATTGACGGGCACCTTACCTTAGGGCCCAGGTAGATAGGATAAGATAGGTGCCTAAGTGTGAATTGATAGATAATTCTCAATTATACAACAGAAGTTCCTAGGCGTCTGGCTGTCTGTCTGTCTGTCTTGTCTTCTGGTGCCTCCCTCTCTCTCTCCATCAGCCGAGCGAGCGAGCGAGCAAATGAACTACCTACATGAAAGCATGTAGGTACAGTACAGTACAGTAAGTAAGTGAGTAAGTAGGTGAGTAAGTAGATAAGGTACGCGTTGACGTTGACGTTGACGTTGACGTTGACGTGGGTATTTGGAGGCGGACTGCGGACTGGCAGATTGCGCGAGCCGTGGTAGAGATGGTTGGCGATCACGGCAAAAAAGGCGGACAATTAGAGAAAAAAACGAGGATGATGAAATGCAAGAAAGATTGGAAAATTGGAGTAAGCTTTGGGTATACATGAAAAATGCAAGTGAGAGGTAGAATAGAGTAACCCGAGTAGAAGGAGTCTAAGCATCTAGGCAAAGAAACAGACTAAAAAGAGCGGGCGAATCTTGAAATCTACGGATACCTGAAGGGTACCTTAATTCTTGGAAATAACGTACCAAGGACACCCAAGGGCACCCAAGGACACCCAAGACATAACAGCGACGATTTAGCATGGAACAGGCAAAGATCTAGCCTCCCTCCTGATCAAGTGGAAGTTTCCATGAAGGCCTTCCCATGTTCATACATAGTAGGTAGTTAATAATGTTAGGCACATGCATGCCGACAGGCATAGGTAGTTACATTACGTCGGTACTTACACCTACCTACCTACATAGTACATGTATGTAGTTATTGGAGGGTCGGCCGTGTAGCCGTAGCTGAGTACCTGCCAGACACCTGCCTTTGTAAGCAAGGTATGTACTTGGGCGAGGAGTTGTCTTTTGAGGCATTCGGCATTGTCATGTGTAAGTACCTATCTACCTACACATATATATATATCTGTACCTACAGAGTACCTATGATAGCTGTAAAGGGTCAGTAGACTTCCACTGACCAGACACTGACCTAACTAACATCTTGGCCCTTTGGGTGTGTCTGTCTTAGTGCATGAACGGGCAGCAACACGGGGAGCCCTAGCGCGCATCACTTGCCCAAATAAATCGTCCCCTAGATAATCTACGGCCTAGTGTATCCCGTGTTAGCAGAATTAAATCGGGTTATCGGAAGAGGAGTAGTGGCCTTGGTGGAAAACTTTGCTCCAGTTTATTCTGCTCTACGACTTGCTCTTGTGATGGCGTCTGTGATGGCTCTGTGATGGCCTCGCGGGGTTGGATGGGCTTGGGTTGGGGGAGGGAGAAGTACCTGCCTAAGTACATACCTAACCAACCCCCCATCCCAGCAAACTCGATATCGGTACACCTGAGCCGAGGGGGAATTCTTCGACGGCTTCATTTCGACATCGACGAACCAACGGGCGTGCCAGCTGTGGGGTCGTTTCGATTATACCATGAGCTAGGCGAGCTAGGCAAGCTGGCTGGGCACTTGGACGAGAAAACCTGGACCTTGAAGAATCAATGCGCTGTCGTTGGAGGGCTGTACGTAAACGCTGCCGTTAGTCTCATTCGTCAGCCTCAGCTTGCTAACCGTATTAAGCTCGCTTCCGGTCGAGCGACGGCGACGACGGAAACCTGCTCACCTCGCCCTTCTCCCTTCTCTCGACTGCTTACCGGCGATACAGGAGGTGTAGGTGGTATCTGCCAATGCCTCATCTCTTCCACCTCGCGCGATGCAAGGCCCTTTTGCTCTTTTGCGACGCCATGTCTCGTGATGCCAAGCGGTCCTGGATATTGCTCGAACGAGCCAAGGCTCTTTGCCATGTGGCTTTGTTATATAAAAACCGCTTGGCTCACATTCATATGCAGGGCCATTGCACCCACCTCCCCGTTCTAGATGGATGTGGTTCACGCGTGCCGTGTATACGATCAACAAATATGCATACCTGATAGATGAAAACCGCGACGAGCCAAGCTTCGCTGCCAAGTCTTGCTCCTCATTGTCGGGTCTGGCCGAAGGCATTTGCGTCTTGCGTCGTCAAAACATCAACAACATATCAAATCCATCCCAAGAAGCCGGGAGCTATACTCAGCGGATGCATTGGAATACGAAATCCCATGCTTCTTGATGCTATTTAGAACCCGCCCTATCACCAAATCAGTGTACAACAAGGCTTACAGGTTACGAAGGCTAGTGTGACACACCCACAGCCCTACAGATACCCGAGAGACTAGCGCAGGAGACCGTTTCTTCCGCAGCATGCCCGCTACGTCTCGGAGACATCCTCGGTCGTATTCTGCTGTTGTGCTTTAGCCATGTTGCAAGAAGAAGTGCATCTTTGTGCTGCTCACGTGGTGTGCTCTCGTACCCTCAAGCCAGCCTTGTCTGCAACTCTTTATTTAAAGTGTAGATTCCTGCCGTACACCTATCATCACATCTGTATCCCTTCGTCTATACATGCCGTCCCGACGAAAAGCCTTAACGGCGTCGACAGAGTGTTGTCATTGAGAATGGCAGTTTTTGTCTATCTCTAACGAACTACTATATATCATCGCATACTCGAATGTCGAAGTGGGAATTCTTATCTGCCTATTCTACTTCAAGCGAAAGTGCTTGGCTACAGAGCAAGGAACACCTGAGTTACGGCTGCTCAAAGTGCAGGGTTTCGATCAGCTGTCCGCATAAAACGGCACCGGTGGGACATTGACGAAGCGGATCTAGTTGTCTTGGCTTTATAACGTCGCTCGCACGACAGCCCTCTCACCAGAAGCTTCATCATGTGAGATGACAGAGAAGCTCTGAATGGATATGCCGCGCGCCCTATCAGGCAAAGTGTTACATATATGCTCTTCAGGGCTGCTACATATAGGCAACACGAACCCCCCCTGCTCCTCGACGATGTTTGGTCGGCTCCTCACGTTTCCAGATGACGACGATGCAATGGGCTGGTTGCTCATGTTGTGTACCAGGGCCAACACGCAATTCTGATTTCTTGATATGAGCATCTGCCTTAGGCTTACACTAATAATACCGCTGATTGCTAGGTAGAGGAATGTACGAGTACGAAGAGTAGGAGTCGGTTGCCCAATGCACATATGCACACCCAACACGAAAAAAATAATTAGTGAATATGGAATCTACCAGAGCAATTTCGAAACTCACGAGGCCATTCTCGGGGTCAGTTATTGCAGTTAGCTGTGCATTCAACGAAGCTTACCTTACTCGGTCCGAATACGATTTAGTGAGACAGCATACACAGCTCTTGAAACTACCGTCACCTCCGATAGTCTTATTGGGGAAAAAATGAAGACCCTTTCGCGCCTAAAAATCAATGGAGCTCAGTAAAAGTAGATGAACAGCCCAGGCTGACAAGGCCCTTTGTACATAGGTTATTCAGGCATACAGATGCCAAAGAGCTTAGGTATCCAGGCACCGTACTGTAGAGAACGTAATTATGCAAAGGCATCATTAACAAAGCTTGACTTGCTATGCGGCTAACTATCATATACATGCAACCGTACTAAGAATTATTTGACTTTCCCCATGATCGTCTCCGGCCCCCTGACGACATCCATCTGCGCCGCCCTCGCCTTAACCGCGTTAAGCATGCTGCGCTCAAAGTCATCGCGCGACCTCAGCACGGCCTCGACCCACGTGATCTGCAGGTCCCAGTATCTAGACTTGAAATCCTGAAACACATCCGGCAGCGCCTCCTTCTCGGAAGTCAGCAACTGCAAGAAGTACTCCGTGACGCGCCAGGTCTGGGTAATGGTGTTGCCGACGTCCGGGTTGGGGAGGGCGCGGAAGAACTCGAAGGCCGTGGAGATGTCGTTGAAGATCTTGTCCTGGAACGGGTCGGTGCGCTTGAACTTGGCGCCTTTGTTGCGCACGCACATGAGATACCGCACCAGCAGCTCGTCCGCGAAGATCTCGACGAAGATGTCCACCAGCGAGTGGTGCAGCACCTGCTGGTAGTCGCTGACGTACTCTTCGAAGGTCACGATCATCTGCTTCATGGCCATGGTCTCGTACCAGCGCGGCGTGAAGAAGGTCGTGATGACTGTCCTGAAATCCACCGATATGACTAGTTTGGCGAATTTGTTGATGCACCATGTGCTGAAGTCGACGTAGCCGTCTCGTAAAAGGTTCATTTCATTCTCGGCGTGCTCCATGTACTGTGGCGTGACGAATGGCTCGAATTTCTGCTTGAAGCTAGAGAGATATGCAAACCGGCCTTCTTCCTCGTTGTCGTCTATGCAGGCCATTTGGTCGTTGGCAGTAGCCACAAGCCAGTCCTGTAGTGCTTGGAAACCGTCCAATTCGGATTCCTTATCGCTTTCATATTTAGTCGCCTCTTCTTCGAGCATCTTTTGGAAGGATTGCTGTCGTTGGCGGAGTCGAAGGAACATCGAGTCTATGACACCCTCAGCGACATCTGTCCTCTGTGAGTTCCCGGCCACATCGATCTGTTCCCGAAGCATGCGCCACATATCAACTAGATTCCTGGTGCGGAAGTAACCATATTCATCCGTATCCAGATTCGAACCTTCAACGTTCCGATCGGCAAAGTCGCGCTTCTCCTGGGCGAAAATGCGATCGATCCATTCGTCGAGGAATTTGATGATGAGTTGTCGGAAGTCTTTGACGAGTTCTTGTTCTCGGTTGTCGATCACGTGTGGCCTCAGATCGCTTTCTACGAACCCTAATTTCCTCATCTTTTTGTAATATTTTTCAGGCCAATTGATGATCTCTAGCGTATGAGCTGAGCTTGCTTCTGGATCCTCTATCAAGGCGGTTAAGAGGTCGTGCATTAGTTGATGATAGATGTCGCCGAATAACTTGAGTATCCTCCATTTCTTGGGCATCAAATGCACCATTCCCTGCTTTACCGCATTGAGGTAGTTGAAGTACCACTTCATCGAGTCTGCAAGTTTTGTCGGGTCATCTAGAAATTTTTGTCTCGCCTCAGCCAACTTCTCCTCACAAGCTATGCTGATGGCTTTGAGGAACCTATCCTTGTATCCTCTGACCTTCTTGGCGCCGTCGGTTATGCTCTGAAATCGCGTAGCCATCTCCTTATGATCCTTCAGAGCTTCTTGCAGGGCCTCTACTCTCAGATCACTTTTTTCCTCGGCTTCGACAATAATAGCAAGGCGAGTGACGATACCATCGTCGCCATCACAAACTAAGTTGATCATATCGAGCGCTATCAGATCGAAGTGGTGGTCGAACCATTCAATAGCATCATCTAGTCTCGAAAAGTAGTCTTCCAATGTAGATTGTAAACTCGGGTCTTCGGCGCGCTGTATCTGTTCCATGGCATCGTCTCGTATGTTTCGCAACTGGGTAAGCTCGTAATGCACTCGCAGTAGATTTGGCATGTTCTTGGTGTCCTGCGCATCCTCCCTCAACATGATCTCAATTCTATTTAGACGGTCGTTGAAGGTTTGGAGGTTGTCGACCATGGTTTCGACGGCGCCAAAGTTTCGGTGGGCTTGTGAGACGACGTTGATGCTGGCGAAATCCTTGATCATGTTCTGGGACTCGGAGCATAGGGTATCGATCTTCATCATCTCGTCTCGGATGGCTTGTACCGTCTTCTGGCCATCGGTCAGGCCATTCATGCCGGCCTGGGTTGTCTCCAACTGGTCGCGCAGTCCACCCCGAAGCTGCGAGTCCACCGCTGCCTTCTTGCGCGTGAACTCCAGCTTCAGGGCTCCAATCTTGTCGAGATCTTCGGGATGCCGGAGAAGCTCCGCCAGCTTGACTGGCGGGGCGTCCATATTGAAGTGTGGGAGGCGCTGGTGCAGCCGTATCGATGCAAGAGCTTATACCATCACGCGCACGGTCTATTGATCTGGAATTAACGCCGTCGAATCGTACTAGCCGTTGTTTACTCGTATGTTTCTCGTGGGACGAAGAGTCTGAGACAAGGTCGCTTGGTGGTAGCTGGAGGATGTTGCGATTGGGATCAGGTACCATCTGAAACAGTGGGGCCAGCATATGTACTTCAACTGCGAGAGTGGCTCAGCGTCCTCCTCATACCATAATACACCAAATGTATTAACTCACTCTACCCTTGAGCACTCATTCATATGATGCGAAACACGCATTGTCGGAACCGATATAAAGAAGTGATACAGCTGATCAGGAACTGAATTTCTTGATCTGTGCCGGAACAGTCGCAGCTAATTGAATTCAAGCCTACAGACAGGTGGGTAGCAAAGATTGGCCATCTAAGCAACCACTAAACCATAGGTATAAACTTCCAAGTCCTAAGTATTGAGACAAATCTCCCCAAGAAGAAGCAAAAGAGAACTATTCTTGAGGTGACATCAATTGCTGTTCAATGTCAAGAAAGGGCTATATAAATCAGCCCCAGCTAGGAACTGCAGCCAGCAGTATCGACGCCATATAGACTATAGCAGTGACCAATACTCTATGATGATCACATCACATACAATCGGACAACTCGTCAACATCGCGTCCGCCAGGGACGATGTAGGCAGAGCCTTGTACACACATATCTATGAGAAATGAAAATTCCGCATAGATGTCCGAGAAACATTCCTCCTCCCCTAACCTACAAAACCGCACCACCACTAGATGAATCCGAGTCGCTATCCGAGTCTTCAATGACCGGCCACGAGAGCTTACGCCTCCCACTCCGCTTGCTATCGTCGCTCATACTAGCCACGGACGAATGCCTCGAGCCAGAAGCATAGCAGCCGATACTTTCCGGCTGGCTATCATCCGAGTCCGTCGCCAAATCTACAGGGTGCGTCAGCTTCTCTTCATCCAGCCAAGCAGCTACGTGTAAGTAAAGACAAATCAAACATGGGAGTTCAACGTACCGAGATCCACCATCCTCATCGCCTCCGCCTGTCCACCCGCCTCAGACGGCGCGCGCAACGTAAACCCCGTCTGCGAATCAGGATGCCACGGCGACGCGGTCGTCTTCCGGAGTATCTGGTCGAGCGCGTCTTTCCGAATGGACTTCGTCATCTCGTTGAGAATGTCCCGCTGACGGGTATACTCGGCGTCATGCGAGCCCTTGGGCAGTTTTCTCAGGCCCCAGTTCAAGTACACGTTGCAGCTCGTCTGCGGCACGGCGCAGCGCGCCGGATGATGCTGCATGTACAGGTGGCAGCAGTAGCACGCGGGCTTGCTGCAGCCTATGTACCTGTCGTCCTCGAAGAACTGCCGCTTGCCCCAGAAGTGCTCCAGGATCTGGATCTCGGCGTGGATCGAGGGGCTGAAGTTCTTGTTGTTGTATGCTTCCTTGAAGCGCGTCACGATGTGGTGGAGCCGGTTCATGGTGTGTGCGGCTTCTTTGTGGCGCGCGTCGAAGCCGTTGCTGGGAAGCATGCGTCGCATTATGCTGTCTATGTCTATGCTTGACTCGGCCTGGGGACGGTCGATCACTGCTTGGGCTGCGATCGAGTGGACTTGGAACTCGTCTAAGACGTTGCGCAATCCGGTGTGGTTCGATACGTCTTCGATTATCTGGTGCGGTGCGCGAACATGGTGAGCTAGGCGTCCCAGGCGATGTACGACGTCTTTCATCGCGACAGTTTGCGAGTCGGTTGCGGATATGTCGCTGGATGCCTGCAGTAAACGACTGAGTTGTCTCATCATAAGACTATCCCTCTCTCGGTACGCAAGATAGCATGACTCCGGGGGTTCCGTCTCTTGGAAACGCTTGAGCCACTGGGAAAGTTCAATGCCTAGTGATATATGTTAATGTCCATGCTATACGGAAACTCTTAGCTAAGCATACTAACATTCCGGGCTGGTAAGGTATCGCGTGCATTTCGAGACATCTTTCGCAAGCATCTTGGCCTCCTTTTTCACCCTCTGTTTCGCGAAGTCAATGCAGCGATGTGTGACCTTTTCCTGAAGCGATGCCCTTTTTCCAATTGGCTCATCAGCAACAGCTCGTACATCTCGTAGGAAAGACGTCAAAAAGGCGGCGCTCTTAAGGCTCTGCTTGGGTTCGTTGGACGCGATCCAGAAGTTGAATCGCTGGGGCGCGTCTTCGAGCCCAATAGCCGACGTCGTCGGGCCCCCTTTATCATGGTCCACTAGGTAGGCCAGGTTATCGAGGAACCGATGGACTGGGCTCTGCTGTTGCGTCTTGGGACTGTGTTCGCCCCTTGTAGAACCTAGAATCTTCAGCATAACGAGAGGCTCGTAGAACCGTCGCCATAATTTGAAATACTTAACATCAGAACCACTGCCCCCATTCGGCGAGGGTTTGGGCTTTGGGCTTGGCATTTTTTCTGTACTTGTTCGCATCAAACCGTACTCTTTCAAAGCAATTTTCACAATAGCGAAGTCAGACCCAATGTTGGGGCTCTCTTAACAGAGTCCTACATAGCTGACATGAGTTCACGGGGTTATAAGTAAAAGTACATATTCTCAGACCATTGATTGTCAGAGAGGGTGTTGATGACTTGTCACAAAGCGTGACGGACGGGATGTGCTGGCTCCAGAGCCTGCCTGTTGCCGACATTTGGTTCTCTTCCCCCCTCGGGCTTCTGCATTCGGCCCCCATTGTAGCAAGAAGACAGAGCTTTCGCCAATGACAGCGGGTGAAAGCGTACATGGCAAGCCTGCAGGGTGCGATACCTATGCTGCTACCCCTCCATTCTCACTCTTACATTACCACTGGTCTACGATGGTGACAGTTGTCGTTGAGAAAGGCTTGAGGCCGCTGTACTGATTGATGTAGCATTAGTGAGTGGTACATGTCGACGGGTTGCTTGTTTAGACGAAGATCTTATTGACAATGGCTTCCCTATGACGGTAGTAGACCATACATGTCTAGCAATTGGAAACGGCATTCGAAAAGCCTGCCTTTAGGAAATGTAAGGAACGCTCGGAAGATAATGAGGTGAGATAAGCACAGCCCGCGTTCGCTTTGTTTCAAAAGGCATACGTACAGTCCTACACGATGGTGTCGGCATAAACAACTCAAACGACAGGGGGAAAGATCGACTTCTAATTGAATAAGTATCCAAATGTAATATACCGTGATAACTGCGCCCAAACTCCAGATCTCGCTAATATCAAGCCTCATTCATCCAGCCAAGCTACGCAAAACGCACACAACACAAACAGACACCCCTAATCTAATCCCCCTCAAGTCTCGCAACAGGAGCCGTATCATCAACCTGTATGCCCCCGCGCTTCTTCTCATCAGCATCCCAATACGGCAACCTCCAGCCCCCTTCGCCCTGCGGCACCGAGAGCCAAAGGCGCATGAGATGCCGTCTCGGCTTCCCCGTGATAGGCGCGTAATCCGTATACGCGGTGCGCGCGTGGAGGGTATGCGAGTTCGCGACGAACTGGATATCGCCCACCTCGAGGATCATATGCAGCTTGACGCGCTCGCACGTGGCCTCGAGGATATCAGCGGCTTCCTCCTGCGCGGGGGACAGAGGCGGGATGATCCCCGCGTCCGAGAACCGCGTGAGACTGCGCACGTAATACGGGTCCCATTTGCAGTAGACGCGCTGCGGGTTGGCGCCGTCGGGGGTCTCGAGGTAGAATACGGCGCCCCGGATGTATGGCTCCTCGCCGGCGGACACTTCGCCTTTCCGGTCGAAGTACCAGATTGGTTGGGTGAGGAGCTCGGCGACGTCCGGACGCTCGGCTTGCAGGATGTTCCAGACGTGGTGGATGGATGCTACGTCTGATTCGCCGCCGGATTGGGCGCGGGCTAGGCACAGGAGGCCGACTATGTCGCATTCATCGGCATGGAATGCCTGAAGGAGAACGTTAGATACTGCTGCCTTGGGTTGAGGTATGAGACTTTGTGAACTTACCTGTCTAGCTGTGGTCTTGTAGATACGCACTGAGTCAGTCTTAGAGCTGTCTACGTCAAGGCTTTGGACATGTCCAAGGATATGACCATTTCTCTGCACACAATAATCCGTCAGTTCATGGATACCTCGATAAGCACTGATGTAAATTGAAAGCGAGAACATTTCGAAGGTTCATAGCATAAGCATTTACGATGACGCCAGTAGGCAATGAGTAAATAAATACCAGACTTACATTCTGTGAGACAGGATAGCCGATATGCACACCCAATCCAAAATATGCGACAGCAGACTTATGGTTTCCCCATTCATTGACAGGAATGCCCTTCTTAAATAGCATAAACCCTTTGCCATTAATAAGTTCCTGGCGCATGGAAGCTAAGTGAGCATCTAGGCTTGGTAAAGGGAAATTCTCCTTGGTGATGCCTGTGATAGGGAGACCGGAGGTGATGAAGTTGTCAGCGGCTTGAGAGATCTCTTCGATCTCGGATGCCGAGAACTCATGGACCCAGCGCTCCGGATTGTTGGCGTAGTCTTCCGGCCGCCATACTGTTGAACCCTCAATGTGCTTTGGGAAGGCGCTGTAAGGGTATATCTGGTCATATAAGGGCGGGTGTTGACCTAGTTGACCGTCAGTACGCATAGAAGAGATGCCGGTTATATTTCAGTTTATGTCATACCCGACGTCTTGAGGCCGTCCGGGAAAATGGCCGGGTCGGCGGTCTTCACCCGGCTCTTCAGAGCCTGTATTGAATCGGCCGGAGAGTCGGCGCCGAGAGCAATGGGAGCCATTCTAGAATAGGGGAACTATAACTCTTGTCCAAAGTAGCTCTGATGATGTGGCTGACGACTAGTAAAAGATAACGCAGTAAAGAAGGAAGAGTGAGCACGTGTATCCCCAGGTCGAATGGAAAGGACCTGTCTGTGTCATATTATATGAATTGCCATCAGTTCTGCACCCCCGCACTCCATCCATTGTTTTATCTGATCCGGGTCCATCGGCCACGTTGGGATTACACAGATCTTGTGTAGGACTCGGGAATGCATTTCCCGTCTCGTTGGCTTGTACGAGAGGATCCCCGGGGAATATCACCGTTTGGCCAATATTGCGTGATCATAACACAATATGGCGGCATCTAATTCGGCATGGTGCCTGAGCTAAAGGCACGCCAAACCTACCAATTCCTACAAACAGCATCATGATGAGGTGTCTCGGCCTATAATTAACCGTAGACTAGCATGTCGCGTACGACGTTAAGATATGGCTCCCTAGGTAGTATCTTATTGAGTACATGTAAACGTGGTTGCAAGGGGTTGTGGTAGCGTACCTTATCGTCGTTGCAATCTGATTGATTAGCTTCCGACGGAATGAAACGCTGCGGTAAAGGATCTTCCATCTAGGGTAGAAATAGCTCTACCCCCCGCAGTCGTATTGCGTTATCGTTACCCTACTGGTATAGGGAGTTCGTCTTCATTGATAGAGGCAGTGGTCTGAACGAGACGGCGTCTTGTCCCCGTGATGCGGATGCGGATGCGGATGGATCGTAATAGACCCACTCACTGACTTTACTAATAGCCTGTAGGGCCCTTGAAGGTTATGTAAGAAGGCTACTTGAATGGTATGATGGACGGCGCAGTCGCACCAAACAAGCATCCGTTTAATAATACGATATCAGTCATGCTGTGCACTAAGTGTGGTCATAAATCCGTAATTATTAATCAATGTACCGCATACACTTAAAAAACTCGAATAATACTAGTAGCGCCACTATGTATGTAAGTGGAGCAACTGCTATATTGGGCCTATCTGAATTTAACCGAACTAAAGTTATTTTGACCCCCTTTTAGGTGCAATAATTGCTTTTTTTAACTTAGTATAAATAGAACTTCGATTTAACCTGGTTTTTTTTACATTAACTTTACTCCTATTACTATAATACCTATATTACCCACTTTTATCCGCCCTTATTACTATTTAAATGCTTTAAATTTACTATTAAAAATGCCTGCTTTTAAAGTATTAATAAAAATAACTTATAAGTTACTTTTAATCTTACTTTATTATTAGGGTTAATTAGGTAATTTTAGTTAATTTATCCTTTAACCCTTTAGGGTTAATTTTTATATTTAATAAAACTTATATTTTTAAACTCCACTGGCTTTATTGTAGCCCTTACCGGTTATACTATAATTAATATTATAATAGCTATTTTTAATATGTAATAATGGATTGCTATAGTAATTATAAAGGTATTACTAATATAAGGTATAACTTTAATTAGTAGTAGATTATATAATTAAGGCCTAGAACTACGTTAATAATGTTTACTTCAACCGATCTTTAATTCTGCATAGGTAAGTTATACTTTATAGCTTAAGGCTTGCTTTACTAGTCTTTTTATAGGCTATAAAACCCCTTAAATGTTATAATTAATAGTAGTACAAATAGTTTTAAAGTTGCTTCAATAGTAGATTTTATAGGGAGTTTAAATATATAATTAAGGTAAAAGATTAAAGCTAAGGTTAATAAAGAAATAAAAGAATAGGAGGTAAAGGTTTATAATAGTTATAGAAAGGGTTATTTTTAATATTTTAAAATAAAGCAGGCTAATTAATATATATTTTTTATATTTAAATTAAATAATTAAAGTAGGAATAATAATACCTTTATTTTAATAATAATCCTTATATAAAGTATAATATATATATTTAAATAAGTTAAAAAAAATCTAAAGGGTAAAAATCTATATAGTAGCTAATCTTTTTAAAAGTTTAATATTAATAACCTTTATATTATAATATTAAAGTATAAATAGCTATTATATAAAAAAATATAATCTAATATATTTTTTAATATATTTATTATAAAATAGGTATTATATAAATATTAAGTAGCTTTTATTGTTATTTTATATTATATAGCTATTAAAAATAGCACTTTTATATTTATTTTTATAAAATTAACTTTAATTTTTTTTATATTTATATAATAAAGTAAAAGTAAAGTTTATTTTTAAAGATATTATTTTAATATATTTTATATATAATCTATATCTTTTAATTGTTTAATTAGCTTTACCTTTATTTTACTATTAGGTAAGCTTTAAAAATAGCATTTTTCCTTTAATTCTACTACTTTAAGTTACCTATAGCTATTTTTTAGCTAGGCTATCTTTTCTTTTTTAACATTTATATACTTATAATTTAAACTACTAATTGCTTTATTAATTTTTTTAAGCTTTATTTTAACCTTTTAATCTAAGTATTAATAATAATTATTAAAAGTTAATTAATTAAAATTAATACCTTTAATATTAATTTTAAAATTATTATAGCTATTTAAATAAATTAAGATATTAATATTTATAAAAAGTCCTACTATTATTTTATAATTAAATAAGGTAAAGGTTTATTTTTATATATTTATAATAATATAAATAATTATTATTTATTTTTTATTAATTGTCCATTTTTTAAATAACTTCCCCTTTTTTTTAATTTATTTATATATAAATCTATTTCCTTTTAAAGTTAAATTTTAAAAGAATTGTTAAAACTAATATTTAAAGGCTATAGGTAAGCTATAAAACCTAGTAAAATTATTATAACAGTAATATTAGCCCTATAAAGGGCTACTTTAACCTTATCCATTTTATAAAAGGCAATTATATTAATAATTAATAAATTAAACTTTCCTTTAATATAAGCAATTAAATTATTATTAATTTAATTTTTAAATAAATTATTATTATTATATACCTTTTTATTAAATAATATATTAATACCTTTATAATATAGTAGCTTTTTTTTATTTATCTTAAAACCTTTATTATAAAAAATAATAATTAGTTTTAACTCTTTAATATATTTCCCGTTTATAATAATTATTAATATTAACGTTACCTATTATTTTCCTTAACCACTTTTATTTAACTTTTTATTAATAAATATATTATTTTTATAATTATATATATAACTTGTTAAAAATTTAAATAGTATTAAAGTTTTATTTAGGTTAATAATTTAATAGTAGGGAAATTTATTAAAAGAAAGCCCTTTAATAGGATTACTTATTAATATTATACTTTTTTAAGTTTAATTATTTTATAAAACCCTTTTAATAAATTGTAAAAAGTTATTTATATATTTAACTATTTTTATAGGTATTTAAATTAAAATATAAATTACCTATTAATAGTTAATTTAATAATACTAAAGAAAGTTATAAAACTATTTATTTAAAAAGGTAAAAACCGTTAGGCAAATTAGGTAATAGCTATTAAAAATTATAATAGCCTTCTATTTAAATTAATAAATATTAATTAACTTTTTTACTTTTTTAATTATATAAAATACTTTTTATAATTTTAACTTTAATATTAATTAATAAGGTTAAAAGTGTTATTTTTTTCTATTTAAAATTGACTTTTGTTATTTCTACTACCTTAAAATAAATGATTTATTGCTTAGCTTAAAGTAATAAATTATTTTTTTAAGTATAAGTTTTTAAAAGCTTTTTTTAACCTTATTATTACCTAAAAGGCTATAATAATACCATTTTTACTTATTAACTTTATTAGTTTTTAATAAGATTTAATAGTTTTTTAAAAATAATAATATATTAACTTTCCTTTATTGGAAATAACGCCTTTAAGACTATATTAGTAGCTTTAATAGGTAATAGTTAACCTGTACTAAGCTCTTCCGCTTAGGGCCAAGCTATTTAGGTAAAAGGACTAGTAGGGTTATACTGGCTAAATTAAAGGCTAAATGGGCTGATCGAAGACTAATTATTATAGAAGTAATTGAAAATAGCATTTTTAGCATTTTTTTAACATTATTAAAAAACTAGCTATAATATAGCAAAAATAGCGTTTTTTAATACTGTTAAAAAATTAGCTATAATATAGCAAAAATAGAGAAAATAGAAAAAATAGCAGAAATAGCAAAAATAACGTTATTTTTATAATTCTACCATTTATTAGCTTTTCTATAACTTATAAAAGGGTATAAAGCCTAACTAACATCTAATAGGAATAACTTTTGGTGGCGTTCATTAATAAAGTTGCTTGCCTAATATGGATAACCTAGCGAGAGCATCCTTGCAGTGGCGTTACTAGTGTTGTTCGAGTTTTTCGAGTGTATGCGGTATAGTAGATTAGGTGCTTAGCCGGCGATGAGATCTTGGCCAGCTTGATAAGGGAGCCGATTTCGCTGCCTTATCAATGTATACAAGATGTGAAAGTAAGATGATCATACTCCCCAGACTTCGAATGCGGTTTGAGTACGTGTCATTGCATACGAACATGGATGATGGCAGCATGCTTTTCCCCCTAGGTATCTGTTATTGGCCATATGCTTAGGCAGCAACTCATGCGAGCATGAGCTGAGATGCGGGAAGGAAACCCTAGCAGTACGTTGTCGGAAATTTATTTCCCAATCTCAGCTTTGATTGCTCTGCTTCTAGTTCATGGGGTATCACAACATCTTCCCTTCTCATTAGTGTATTCTCCAAGGCGTCGACAAAGCCACTACCCCTCCTCATCCATGAATGTGGCTATCGTAGGGCTTAGCATATGCACTCGTTGCATGGTGCGTTGATTGTAGACCGAAAACCAATAACAATTTGGTGACGCCGCAATAAGCGTCCGAATCACGGCTCAACATCGCCGATTGCTGAGAGCGCCGATGTCCCCAATTTACGGGCCAGTAGCTAACCGGCCATGAAATTGGGTAAGCGGCTGCTAGCCTTTACCAGCTCTTGTGCCTTGGTATACCAAAGCTTTTGGTCATCTCATCTTTCATACTTGTACTTGCGACGGTTGCGTTGGGGTCCGTACGGCCTATGTGAATAACCAGCCCTTCGGGTCACCCATTAACCTTCCAACTTATCAATCAACACCCTTTACAATCATGTATTCACTTGTAATTAGCCCCTGTGATTCAGTAGCAAATGGTGCCCATTACACAACATTTTAAAATGAAACCAGTACAATGATAGAAGACGGCTCGGTCTCAAGCAGGGGCTGACGAGCATACAAGATGTGCGTGGTGACCTGCGGAGTGATTGGGAGCTGGGTAAGGATCTATGATGTCAACCCGTTGTTTGTACCGAAGTGCAAACGAACAGAAATTGGTGCTCAACGTATACACGATTCGACGTTGTGAAGGGAAACCGCCACGTCTGCACACAATTGAATGGGTACCTGAATCCGCCAGACAAGGTGTGAGAGGATACAGTTGGTGAATTGCGAAGCCTTCGTTCAGAGTACCTGAATTCGTCCTACTAGATGGCCTTCGCGGGTAGTGCAGAGATGGAGTCAGAATGCTGCTGCCTGGGGTACTCGTGCCTTTCGCCTGGATAGTAGATTGCGCGATGACGATGAAATCCTCGGGTCCAAGCAGTTACTGGAGCCATTCACTTTCTAAACAAATTAGTTTGCGAGCCAAAGAAAGGATTTGGCTGGAACGAATCCCGATCCCGGTGATTCGTCTGCAGCTCAGTCTCGCCAAGCAAGCTGGTTTTATCTCCAAAGTCAGCAACAGGCGGCGCGCACTTGATTTCACCACGGAGGATCTCGATGATCGACACAACGGGCAGCAACAGCATGCCCACGGAAAGCAGCTGGCCGAAACTCCACTGTTTCTCGCCGCCATCGCTGAGCTTAACGGGATGCTTGCCATCGAAGGCATCGGCCAGTAGAGACACGCGCACGACGGCGCCGATGGAGATAGCTGTCATTAGCAGTAGCCCCACGATGCGGATGGCGTTGTAGAAGCGCTGCGTGCGCGAATGGAGGTACCACGTAGCAAGGACGAAGACGACGACATTCCCCGCGAGAACCACGATTGTGCCGATGAAGGAAAGCGGTCTGTTTTCTGTCGACGGCTGGCCGGAGCCGTCGGTTTCTTCCCAGACACAAGCGATGGGGAACGTAGAGTCGTTGATACCCCTTTGAACGGCTCGCAAGATGAAGATGCCGTAGAGAGAGCTCAGGACAAGGTTGACGAAGATCAGGAACTGGCGCAGCCAGCGGAGGACCCAGTCGCGTCGAAAGTCGCGGACGAGAGCGAGTAGGCTCGCGTTGTGCACGGCCATGGACAGTAGAGAGAGGATCCAGATGATGAAGAAGTGATACGGCACCATGGACTGGATCTTGGCCAAGCCGACGCTCTGGATGCCGATGCCCGTCAGGATCTGCTGGTCCGAGTACGCATTCAGGAGCTTGCGCCTCAACACGCTGGGTTTCTGGCTCGAGGAGCGCCCGCGCGCCTCGTGGATGACCAGCGATGCGCTGATGACGAGCGCAATGGCTGCTGTGATGATGAAGGACAGTAGAACCTGGAGAGTCGAGTGGTTGAGTCAGCACGTCATGGTCCCTGAACGCTCAACAACGGTCCCTGCATTAGCTTACCCCGATGCCCGCCACGCCTGAGTCGCTAGGGACGGTGGGCGGCGCATTTGTACATTTGGCCATCGTTCGCTGATGGTTATGTAAGTATATATATATAAGTAATCCAGCACTGACTATCACGCAAGCAAAAAACGAAGCAGGAAAAAGAAGAAAATGGCACAAATGTAGACAAACTCACCACGCGAGCAATAAAAGTGGAAAAGCAGAAACCACAACTGAGACAAACAAAGAGGGCGCATAGACAGTCCAATCTACCCCAGACCCTTCTTAGCTGTCGAATGCCTTTCCTTAAGGGAGCAATGCTATCTAGTCTAAGCCTCTTTCTCTACCTACTGTACACACAGGCGAGAGATGACGTCGACCCTCCCTCCCTCCCTCCCTTGCACACACCACCACCACATAAAATATGCCACCGTACCATACAGTACATATACACACTCACTGCTACATACGTAGATATTGCAACCGCTCGCTGCGTCAAGAAGCGCTATGCACGACAAGGAGGGGAAAAAGAGATCGCCGGTATCCCCTGCTGCCTAATGTAATGAGTTGTACTATTATACACCAGTTAGGTACTATGTAGGTATTCAGCAGAGAACGTAGAGATACCTATCGCAATGTATGTAGACCGACGTCAAATTCGCATTGGCTGGTTCTCGTGGCCCGGTACCGTACTAAACCATACCCAAGCAAAACCACTTCCTTCATCGGCGCTTAACTGTGAACCTGAAACAAGGTACTTACTTACTTACTTACCGTACAGGACATAAGCGCTCGGTCTTGACAATTAGTACTAGAACAAAGGGTACCTAGGTATTGTGAATTCAGTCTGCTCCACAATGGTCTTTTTTGAGAAAAAAAAAAAAGATATCGAGCAAAGTATCGAGCTACCTACCTCAGAGACATAACAAACGCCTACACTAAAAAACAGATGACCGACCGACCGACCGAACCACCAACACCAGCATGCAGCAGGGGGTAAAGTAAAGCAACATTGTTTTTTTTTTTCTTTGGGTCAGATTCTCATTCATGGCACACATGCCTATGCAAGCTAATTTCAACAATACCGCTGATCCCCCCCATGATACGAGTTGGTGATATCTAACAGGTGCAAAAACCCCCTTGCCCGAAAACTCTCAAACGCCGTCAACCCAGCCCCCACGCCTTCTTTTGTTGTTCTTCTTCTTGCTTTTTCATCTTCATGTTCTTCGTTGTCTCTTGGCACCCCGGGTAGGGCTATCTTCGAGGTCCTCCCGTGCAATCTCCTCCGTACCACTGGGGCTTGGTGTATTTGTTTCCACTACTCGGCCGGGCTCCAAGCCATGTCCAGCCGAGTCCCCTGCTAGATTCGACGTCTCTGGAGGAGCCCAGCTATTGAACGTCGTGGGATTAAAGTGGAAGTCGTTCCCGTTCCCATCCGCAGAGCCGTTCAGGTCTAAGAATTGACTGATATCCAACTCATCGCCAGCGCCGCCGAAGTAGTCTGCTGTCTCCTCCACGCCAGGTATGTACCCTGAGGGGCTATAGGGACCGAGCAGGCTGCTAAGGTCATCGATCTCTCGGCCTTGCTCCTTTTGCATGCGTTCAAGCCGCTCTAGCTCCTCGCTTGTCTGGGATAACCTTTCGATAGGTGCTGGCACCCCTGGGCGCATTATGGGAGACAAAGACGACGGAGCATTAGGGTTGGACTGCCCGGGAGTTCCTGTTGTCCCAAATGAACTCGAGTTCGAGATACCAGGAGTAGTTGTATGCGGGGAGGAGGCAGATGGGGTCGGTGTTGGCACGGCGCTGCTATTGTGTCCTTTGGACATGATGGACAACATACGGTCACGTTGGTCATTTGTCATATTCGCTGCCGTGTTAGCCGCGACGTTGGAGAGATCGATAGGTGAGCTTCCAGTCTTTCCAGCGTTCGTGTTAGCATTTTGAATGAGTTTGAGCATGCCCTCTTGAGGATTAGACTCTAGCTCTTGTTTGAGATAAGACGGTGTGCTGGCGGATTCGCCAGGGGTATCGGACAGCTCAGTAACCTGTCCAGTTTGTGGTTCCTGACTACCATAGCTGGGGTAAGATGGAGGCTGGGAGGTGGTGGGTTGTACTGAGGGTTGATTATTAGGAATTGGAGGCAGTAGGCGTTGCGTTCTTTTTGGCGTCCCGACTTTGGCAGGGTTTGGAGCCATGTGTTGCTGCATCCAGTCATCGAGGTCAACAACGCTACCTTGACCCGTCGGCGGTACTTGAACATTAGGTATGATGCTGGCAAGCAGATCATTTACATTCTGAGTTCCCCCTTGCTCCTCCAACGACTTCCGGAAGACATTGGCAAGGAAATTCAGGATGGCGTTGATGGAGTTCTCATGACGGTTATGCATACTTTCGAATACGTGTGCTTGTTGGTAGAGTTGATTATGTTCCTGCCGTAATCGAGTAATAGCATCGCTGATTTGCTTCTGGCGTTGCTGCAGGGCCGCCATCTGGTCTCTCACGAGGGCCAACTCTTTCCTCTGTAGGGGGCCAGCCTCGGGAGCCGGAAGAGCTCGGGTCGGCGCATTTGGTTGATTAAAAGACTGAGTAACAGTGTCATCAACTGGTACAGTATCGTCATCACTATCGATCTCTCCATCGTCTCCTCGCTTCTTGGTCCCTTTCTTGCTGTTTCCGCTCTTTGGCTTGTTGATTAACCATAAAAGATTTGGGTGTCCTCGCCTGAAGTAAGGGTTGTAGTACTCGCTTGGACTCTTATTCTTGCGCTCGCTGGCCTTCATGGAATTGTCTGAGAGGCCAACTTTCTTATGGAATCCATACATGTTCAGCTGCCTGACGAAAGAGGCATAATTATTGTGTTTGAACAATTCAGGAATTAAAGTCTTGGCAAACTCGTCCTCGTCAAGTACGATAAATGAATCACCCTTCTCAGACCATCGGATTAACTCTGTGTTCTTCGACTCCTCCAGAAAGCTATCATAGAAATGTCAACCAAGGCCTGTCAGACGAACAGGACGACAATATGTGGATAAAACATACCTGTTAAGTTTCTGGACGAAGGGAGGAATCTGTTTCCTCTTGGCCTGTGCTTCCCTCTTTGCCCTCTGTGCCTTCTCCTCGAGCAGCTCTATATTATCGTGTTCGTCCAATGATCCATTCGTCTGAGCTGACAGTATATTATCATCGGTGAAGCCAGACCAAGGGTCATTGGGCTGCGGCGAAAACATACGGTTGGACGTAACCAACGCATTGTTGCCGACCCTTCTAGCTAGCGCATTAGAGGGCGTATTAGATGTGGAAGGGGTACCTTGGGCAAACTGAGCCTGATTGGGAGGTACTATGCCATATGTACTGATGGGAGTGGAGGCGTTTTCGGCAAAACTGCCGACGTTGTTGCCATTCCATCTGAGCATTTGTTCGGCGGGGTTGTACGGCTGAGCCATCTGTTGTGATAATGGCTGTGGGATTTGTTGCGGGATTTGTTGTGATATAGGTAGACTACCTGGGGCTGGTCGTTTTCGGGGATTTGAGGCAGGCATGGATCGATAGTAGGTGTACATGGGTCAAGATTCCTGGATGAAGAGGCGGTCAAGCAAAGTGATCGAATCGACGTGACGCAGACGAGATGACGATGGAAGAGTGCTCGCTTGATGCCGTTAAGTAATGGCAGTTGTTCGCATTAAGGCAGGGCGACTTGCGGGCGGATTTCCGGCAAGGCTGTCGGTCGCGCGGTCAGGTTACCAGCGCCAAAATGCAATTGTACATGGGTCCCGTCGCTAAATCTAAGCTACGCAGTGCAGAGTCCGTCTGAGGGGATAGGGCGGTCGGAGAAGCTAGCAGCGCAAGCAAGTGTGTGAGAGGCAGAAGACACCCAAGCTCGTCAAGTCGTTTCGGGCAATGTTGCGCAGAATCCAATGATGGACCTCAGGGCTTCGGTAATGTTCGGCGCACTCCTCTCTATATAGTACCTATAAAACAAAAAAGATGACGGAGATGGAAAAAGGTGAGTCAGGTGTAGAAGGCAGAGAGAAGTTTCTGAGACGTTGTCAATCAGGACTGTCTCGCGCGGCGCGGTAGCAACAATGAAGAGGAGTGAGACGTCGGAGACGTAGAAGGCGGGAAAGGCAGAGAGAAAGGGATCTCTTGTTCTCGAAGTCGCGACAAATGCGATGGATGTCGCGCTCTTGTAGGTATGGCCAATGGGTGGATGGATGGCGGACACCAGGCGGTGGGCTGTACGGGAGAATGCGCGCGAGGCAGTCTCGCGGGTGAGTCGGTGGTGTGAGACCAGCCTTTAGGGTGGATGGTAGGTTGGACGGATGGATGGATGGATGGATGATGTATCGGAGGGGCTGGAGCTCTGCTGGAGCACATGTAGTTTTCATCAAGCCGTCTCTCTTGTTCCTTGACCGATTTTCCGGCACAGGCCTGCGGACCAGGATGGTGGTATGGAACCGTGGTATGGAACCCAGTCTTCGCTAAGTCTTTCGATGTCTTGGCGGCGCGCTGCTAAGTGCTGTCACAACTGCATCTCCCTTGTATGTTGCGTTGCGTGATGCTTCTTTTGGGGCCGGTGACTTGAGATATCACTCAGCCACCGGTATCGACAGCTCTCATATCTACCACTGATTAAAGACCTACCTACCTCTCTCGCCTCTCTACCTGACCTGATCAGATAGAACCCCGGCGGTTGTGAATACCTCAGCTACCGGCACTACTGTAATAGGGCGGCTTTAGGTAGGCAAGTGGAGGGCACCTGTGCTCCCTAGCGGCAGGGAATGGGGGTCGAGGGGGTGTTCTTTTAAGTTTCACAGTTAACGTTCACTGGAAAAGCCTTGCTTGGAATGTTGTAACACAGGCACTGCCGCTATTGTTATGTAAGTACTAGGCTCCTGCACCCTTGCAAGCAACGGATACCTGCCTACAGTAGAGGTACATTTTATACATAGGTACCTAGTACACAGCATCAAATAACTTGACAACTTGAAGCAACCTCCTTCGAACACATATAGATTGCAATTACACGCTGAAAATGAAAAAAGACACGAGACATCAATTAACTATGTCAACGGGCGATCAGGCAATCGGCTACTATCCAACCAGAAAGATGGGTACGTACCTACATATAGCTTATCTTGGGTAGAAGCTCAAGCAACGATAAGAGTCCCACTGTGGAGGGGCAGGAGTTGGCGAAATGGTCCCATGATGATGATGTCTTATATAACAGAGAAATATAACCTCCAGGTTCTAGGATTGAACTTATCTTTATCAGTCTATTTGCATCTTTTGAACTTTACTTATAATATGAAAATCCCATGCTCACTGCCTTTTTTTCGCTCTACCTTGGTTCCCTTTGTAGTGAACTGCTAATATATAGGTAGGCAGTCATTTATTCCGCGGAAGTTGACAGCACTTCAGTTGAATATATATGCTCCCGCAAAGTATATGTGCCGTTGTCTTACTTGCGAGAGACTACCTACCAATAAGCACATACATACATAGGTAAAAGGCGGCGTTATCGTGGTCATGTCAATGCAGTTGGTTTCCAGATGCAACTCATCTCCCCGCCCTCGCCAAGACACCTATGGCCTGTTAATATCTACATACCTACCTTGCTTGTTCCAAGTGAAAAGAGGCAGATGACGAAGAGGGTCTGAACTATTTAACTAGAACTCTCATGAAGATACTGTTTCGTTTACCTAGTGTGGTTTCAACGTTTATTCTTCAGGATTCGGTGGTAACGGTTTGACCTCCAAGGGTATAATACTACCATAATTAGGCACCCGGCAAACGCTCGCGAACATGTGCTCAACTCCCACGGACTATGTACGCTACACCTGACTTGTTCCAAAACGCGAACTCCCCGAGATATCAAGATGAAAACCTGTTTCTTTGATATCAAATCCCGTGAAATAACTAAATGCGGAGCTGCAAACACGCAGATCGCGATTTGCATCAAGGGACAATTTGTGTCTTCATTCAATGATTATGTAATTTGTCAAATTAAAATTTGTATCTCATCTGGCTCCCCTACCAGCAAGGGCCGACGATCTAGCTAACTTGGCAAGCCTTGCCTGATCCCATTCCCGTCCCGATCTTCCCGATTGAGCGTCTCTCTGGGCCCGCCTCTCCTCTTTGAGCGTGCGAGCTTTCTCCCTCGGGTCTATCACAACTAACTCCTCCTCGGCTTTCTTCCTGTAGCTTAGGTCCTTACCCAGCTTATCAGCGGCGAAGCTAAGAGAATGGGACATCCACCCTTCGTCGTCGCTGTCTTCCTTCTCTACCTTGTCCCACGATGTACAGCTTTGACAGTTGGCTATGAAATGTAGGTCGCATAATGCAGCTTCGCCTTCCATGGGGACGTCTGCTTTCTCTTCGGCATCACCTAATGATACCGTAGGCTGTTCCTTTTCTGGCCCTGCTTGCTTCAATTTGGCCTTGAACGCCTGGAACATAGATAGATCGTCATCTGTACTGGCATTTTCACCTCCTCTACGCCGTTTCCGACCGCGTGATGAAGTTGTAGGAATCATCTGTTCCAAAGCGGATTTCTTCGTTTCCTGCACCGGTTCCGAGTGTATTGTCCGTTTCATAGACGCCTTCAAGGCAGCTATCTCTTCGTTTGCTTGTTCCAGCGCTGACTTCTTTGGTATCACTTCCCTTTCAGGTGAGGTTTCAGGGCGTGCAGGTATAGGCCGCTTTTCTGAAGGTGGTGATGGGGCCTTTTCTACCTTGGGTGTATCAGGTTGCGTTTCTCGAACGGGCATGGTTTTGCGTAAAGGTTTCTCTTCTTTCTGCTTCGCGGTCGCTGGTTTCTTCACTGTAACTTCATCCTTCGCATCTACATCCATTACGATACGTGAATCGAACTTCGCTTTCTTGATCACAGGCGCATCGGTATCACCTTCCTCGTCATCAAAACTTAACAGTTTCTTGCCGTTCTTCGGTTTCTTCTTCTTCTTCTCAGCCGCAACGCCGGACGTTGTTGGCTGAGCTGTGCGTATCCTCTTCTTCATGTCATCGAAGGGGTTGGCCAATATCTCCGCACCAGTGATCTTGATGGGGTATAGAGGCCTTTCGCTGCCTTCAGCGACTTCTGCCTCGCCCATACGCGCGAGATTATATATAGTATCACCCACAACTCGCCCGAAGACGGTGTTCTTATTATTTAACTCTTCAGTCTTGTCCAGGGTGAAGAAGAACTGGCTCCCGTTTGTGTCGGGTTTTCCCTCGTTTGCCATTCCAAGCAAGCCTCTCCGGTTGAATTTCAAGCGTGAATGGAATTCATCCTTAAAGTTCACGCCTGTTGGTCCTGCATTCTTCCCTCGTCGCTGGTCCATCGGCCATGGGTCCAGGTCGCCACTGAGCGCGCCGCCATCGTAAATGCATTCGCCTCCATTACCAGTACCTGTAGGATCACCTCCCTGGATGATGAAACCCGGAACCAGTCGGTGGAATATGGTGTTGTCATAATAGCCATCGAGGCACAATTGCAAGAAGTTGCGACATGTTAGCGGGGTTTGCTTCGCGAAGAGCTCAATAGATAGATCTCCAATGGTCGTGTTTAGAATGACGGATGCGGTCGGTTGAGGTTCGAGATTGTAAATGGACGACATTTCTTGAAGGAGATGCGGGTTTGGAGGATCGAATGGTTTGCAGACCGGTAATATCGATGCGATCAATCAGCTCCCGAAATGCATTTGATTTATTGTATCGGCTGCGATGTCGCGCGCGCGCGCTGTTTAAATAGTTTGGAGGTAGGCAGTTGAAATGATTGACGTGAGGTCGGAGCTTGGAGCTTGACCATGAGCACTGTTTATCTTATCAAGTTTACAGGCGACGCTGTACCTACAAATACCACTAACCTAGAGAAGTAGCAGGCATGAGCCCCACACTATTAGGGGCCTTGGACAATTCGCTACCTCTCCTGCAGTGGGTAGGTTTAGGGGCAGCATGCCGATTCATTGGAACTGGCTATTAATTGATGAGAATCGAAAGAAAATTCTGAAAGTTTCGCATTTGGGAATAGATAATCAACACGAAACGCACAATTTCTCATTGTTTTCCATCGGTGCATCAATACTGCTGTTGTTAGGAGAGAAACAGTAGAGAGACGCTGGCGATTAGTGATACTAATGCATTTTAAATAGTTACCCCTCTATCAGTTTGACGCTCATCGACTCGGCCAAGAAAGACTCACCATGTCCTCGTCTGAGCAAAATCCAAATGCGCCGCCGAAAGAGGCTACCGATGCAGTTTTAGTCCCTTCGGATGAGCTGCCTGAAGATGCTCAAAAGGTCGAGGAAATCGACTTCAATGCCTTCAAGGGCAAGGCGATAACCGTTGATGATATCATACGCAGTATGAGTAACATGGGCTTCCAAGCCTCTTCAATCGGGGATGCTGTGAATATTATCAACAAAATGGTAAGTTGTCAATACCTGCTATACACGTCTCGGAATTTGGGAAGTAACGATATATATTTAAAGCGGTCATGGCGTGACCCAGAGACTGGTGACAGAACGACTATATTCTTGGGATATACGTCCAACATGATATCTTCGGGTCTCCGAGGCATCTTTCGATATCTGGTAGAGCATAAGCATGTGTCATGCATCGTGACTACAGCCGGAGGAATAGAAGAGGACTTTATCAAATGTCTAGGAGACACGTACATGTCGTCCTTTAGTGCAAAGGGTTCCGACCTCCGAGCCAAGGGTCTGAACAGGATCGGAAATCTGATGGTACCAAATGTTAACTACTGTGCCTTTGAAGACTGGGTCGTGCCCATTCTGGATAAAATGCTTGAGGAACAAGAGGCCAGCAAAGGCACCGACGCCGAGATTAATTGGACACCATCGAAAGTAATACACCGGCTCGGAAAAGAAATTAATGATGAGAGATCGGTGTATTATTGGGCATATAAGAACGACATACCTGTGTTTTGTCCGGCTTTAACAGATGGCAGTCTAGGCGATATGCTCTACTTTCATTCTTTCAAGGCATCGCCGAGGCAGCTCAAGATCGACATTGTGGAAGATATACGTCGAGTGAACACCATAGCCGTGCGCGCCAAGCGAGCGGGAATGATCATTTTAGGGGGTGGTGTAGTCAAGCATCATATTGCCAACGCCTGTCTCATGAGGAACGGAGCCGATTACGCCGTTTATATAAATACAGCCCAGGAATTTGATGGAAGCGATGCTGGGGCAAGACCGGACGAGGCCATTTCATGGGGAAAGATTAAACCTGGAGCTGAGCATGTCAAGGTACGCATCACCTTTATGTTAAGGACCCATGATAGTCAGCCCATAAGCTAACGAACACAGGTCTACTTGGAGGCTTCTGCGTGCTTCCCCTTTATTGTGGCTAGCACATTTGCGAAAGATGCTTAATTCAGTTAGAATGCTCGTTATTCCACGGTTAACGATACCCGTTTCTAAAAGCCAAATCTAAATACATTTAGACAAGCCAGTGATATACAGTAAGATCATACAGCGAGTGACCAACTCGCAAGCTAGAAGGACTTTTGCCAATCTGTATGTAGGGGTTTTCTCTCAATGAGCTCCTATGTTACCTTGGGATGTATGCTCATGTGGTCGAGAAGTAAACATCTTTACAATCACACCGCATTAATGTGATACAGCATCTAGAATCAAGAATTACATCTTCCCTTTTCATCACTCCGGGGCACGTGCCTATCAGTGCGCTCTTATGCTGCTCGCCGTGAAATTTTGCACAGCTAAGAATGATATTCTCCCCTTGCAGCCCCTAGGTAGCCTTGATATTTAAGGCTATCTAGACATGATTAGTTTCATGTCACCACACGTCGCCCAGAAACTTGTGATCATACCTACGAATTGATCTCACACGTCGTTGCTCAAACAACTTATTGGTCTTTCAGGTATAACCACAATCAGTTGACCGTTCCCCCGGATGCTAGCTACATGTTCGGCGCCCAATGTTATTTGCAGCTTTGTATCTAACTTTGAATTTGCTGTGTCAAGCAAAACTCCATGACTGATGCTTACAGGTCAACCAGAGAACACTGACAAGGGGAATGGAAGCTACGACTAGGAAGGAACAATCATTGTCAGTCACAACCCAGCATCAATTGACTTCTCCTTGGGTAGCACTCGACATGAGCTGATGCCGTAAGGCTTAAGCCGTGACTGGCGATACTGAATGGCACGCGGGCGTGCTTGCCTTATGGCGCTTCTCCCGAGATGAGGGTGCAGCAGTATGGGTTATCGACTGTCCGTTCCATACACTCCTAAACACATTACCTGTATCAATGCTGAAGTACCCTTACAGTATCTGAATGAGCATTATTTTCAATTGCCTTTTTACTCCCAATAACTGGTACTTGCAACTAACTGCGCCATATTCCATCAAAGCCAATATTGTCTCCTCCATCAGACATACTGCTACGCCTGACTTGGTGGAGGTGCCTGAATCTCTGCGGAACAGGTACGCAGAGGGAATTCCTGGGTATGAAGAGAGGCGAGGTTACCCGAGACAACGTCCCCGAAAGCGTCATTCCTGAAGATAATATACTGGCCTCCAACAGGCTTCAGCATGCCACCTGACCAGAAAAGGAAGAAAACTGAACCTTCGAAATCAGAAGACCACAAATATAAAAAGATTAAATTGGAGAATTTTCCAGAAGCCGGCGGTGAGCAATGGAGCCCTGAAGGCTATTTTCCCTGCGCAGGGGATCGAGCCAGCGCTAGAACACCATTGAGAAAGCCATTGAAGATTAGGGAGAGTCACAAACAAGAGGCTAAAAAGCGAGAATGCTCGCTTTTGAAAGGGGAAGACCTGTCCACATGTCATACGTCCACCTTGTTAAACATAAGTCCTATGTTTGCGAGAATAGACCAGGCCCCATCGGTTCCGGCTTCAGCGCAAGAGAATGAGGCGTTCACAACGCTAGGCGAGTGGGCATCGATTTCAACCCAGGCAACACACGAACACGTGTCGATTAATCCAGATCAACGGCCAGTGTCTTCGAACCCGTCGTCAGTGCAGATGAGCCCGATGGATATCTTGATATTGGTAATTGAAATAAAGGAATGGCTAGACGCGCAGGACGAACCGTCTGCATGGTATGATGTCGAGGCGCCGTCGGAATACCAGTTCTCCCGATCTGTATCATCCTGGGCCACTGTACCGTCGGGGGGTTCTCCAAGAGGAAACTAGAAAATCCAGATAAGGGAGAATTTGGGTATGTTTTCCCTCAGACGCGTGTACAAAGGTCGGGATGGAGAAGCGTGATTGAGATGGGAATAAATCCCTAGGCATTCAGGTATCGTAATCGATATATAAGTACTGGTAAGAGCCGCGACTCGAATTCAGACTTGTTAAAAACAGTGACAACTACCTAGGTAGTTATGGTATTCAATACCAAAAAAGACAATGCTCCACAGATGTTTCAATTACCAAGATAAGTAAAGATGCGCAGATCATAAGAGCTAAACTAACGCATCACACCTTGGCCGTCACTCGTACTTAGGCAGAAGAGCTTCTGGGAGTCTAACTACCGCCGAAAGGGAGCAAGAGATGTGTGTACGCGTAGAGGTTATAGTATCATTCAAGTATGTGATTCTTATTTAATGCCGCATCGTCGGCGAAAGCTCTGCGAGTCCTGAAGCGCTGGAGTGAGAACAAGCAGTACTATAGACGAGAGTCTTTTTAAATTTGATCTTCAAGACGGTCTGACGATGGAACACTAAGCTCGGACGACAAGTTTACGCTAGCTAGGTAGAATCAACATTAAACCCCATATGCCGACCCACGCGGAAAAACACTCTATAATTGGCATTAGTGGCACATACTACCTAGTAGGTACATACTACTTAAGTAGGTATAAAACGTACAGGGGGCCCAGGTTTGCATTCGTTGTTGTCAAAGGTACAGTTTACTTACATGCATACTTAGACTCCCGAGGAGCTTGACTCAAGTTTGTACATCACGCTAAGTATACCTACAGGTACAGATACAGTAACGGTCATTTCAAGTTCTGAGATGTTTCACCTGCAGTAGTACTATGCGCATAAGGTAAACTTAGGTAAGTAGACTAGGTATCACAGGTATGCCTATTTAAGATCTTGGAATACAGATGGATATTCTTTGTCAGTCTGTACCATTGGCCTGGATTGAAACCATAATCAAGTATTTAGAGCTCTGCCTACATTAGGTGGTATACGGAGTCGGGGTTGGGAGAAAAAAAAATTATCACGGCACGGGGAGTCATTCACTGAGTACATTAGTTAGAAGTACCTACTAGGCAGGCTAGGTATCACAGGCCCACCTAGCGTGCCACAGCACTGCATGCTGGTGTACCTACATCCACTAACATCCACGGTAAGTACCTAAGTATGTAAGTATGTAGGTACCTACTTCGTCAGTAAGGTAAATAGGCTAGGTAGCACTAGCAGGCTAGGCAAAAGTGGTAGTCTGTGGTAGTCTGTGGTAGGCAGTGATCATGCACAAATCTGAGCCAGTCACCACGAGCCATCCAGGGCTGAGGCCCGGAGCATCCCTGCTGTCCGTATTGGGGTAGGCGCTTCCGAGACCAAATCGTGTTTTCGAGATCTCTAATGCAATCTCAGTCACCTCGTCTTCTGCTGCCAGTCTTCCACTCTCTGCCTCCTCACGCATACACACGTACATAGTACATACGCATATACATCCAATCCACATACGCAACCACGCACGCACGCACACGACGCCAGCGCCATCTCATTCATCCACCAGCCGCTGTCTCTTGTTCCGCGGGCCTTGTGCGCGCGTCCTCATGCGCATCGTCGTTCGCTGCCGCCGCTGTCCCATCGTGTGTGTGTGGGTGTGTCCCAGTGCCCGTCCCGAGCAGTCGGCCCACGGGAACCCATGATAGCCGACACGACCATTTCACCACTATCACGACGGGCCTGCTCTCCCTGATATTCATCAATATACTCATCAAGTAGAAACAACCATCGAGCGACATTGTTATTTTATGTATGAGGTAGAGTTGGAATCCCCCGGAGCTTCGCATGTAATACCTACACGCCGGGCTAGAGTCTAATTTCGAGGGGAATTCCATCTCGTTATTATGTAAGTTCGACATTGCTTCTGCATTCCATGCCGCGCGTGTAGCCTAGGTAAAAACTCTGTTGGCTATTCCCCCCCTTTCTCTCCATATAATTACAAGCCCGTAAAGCTCGCATTCCCGCAACAATTCTCAGTCTGTGTTTCACCTTTCCCCCCAGTTCCTATGATGTGATGACTTTTTTTGTCAGCACAGTTGCCCAACTGTGCGACTAGCGGTACCTTGGAAGCGGGCTGAGGATCATAAGTACTCTAGCTGATCAATGTATTATAGGGCGTCGCGTTACAATGGATCAAGATACGATGGCGACTCACGCCGCTCCAGGTCCCGTGATCGTTCGCCGGATAGGAGATCCCTTTATAGCGACAGCGGGCCTCGACGGTCGTCTGCAGAATCTAGGTCCAACACCGCAGCTTTTCAGGCGAACCGAGATTCATTTCGGGACACCCTACCGAGAGATACTCCCCGTGGACCCAAAGCCCTACTCGACCCTCCTAGTGGGCCTCGAGGCGGAGGCTATTCGGGCGATTTTAGAGGGAGGGGCCGTGGTAGAGGTAGAGGTTGGCGAGAGGACAGCCGGGATCGGGGCAGGGACCGTGATATTGATTTCCGGGATCGGAGGGACCCTCCTTATAGAGATGACCGCAGCCGAGAGCGTGAGCGCCCCGATTGGCGCGACCGCGATAGGGACAGCTTCAGGGGCCGCAGGCCCTCTCCGCGTCCTCGTTCGCCACTGGGCAGAGATTTCCGAGACTCGAGAGATTCGCGCGACGGGCCTCTCGGTGTAGATGCAGATAGAGCAAGGCGCGGATCGCGAGATGGACCACTCTCAGCAGGCTCTTCTTCCTCTGATCCACCTTTCGTTCACTCCTCATATCGCGGTGAATCATCATATCGTGGAGGCTATGGCCGTGGACGCGGCCGAGGTCGAGGGGATTGGGGGGATCGTGGTCGTGGTCGTCCATTCTATGAAGACAGGGATAGATACGTTGGTGGCCCACCCTTCCGATCACGTTCGCAAGAAGGGCGATTTCGAGATAGGGATGACCGCGAGCGAGAGAACAACAGATATCTTGACGCTGACTTGCGCCCGCGCGATCCTCGGGATGACCGTGATACTCGGGATCGCGAAACACGAGTGAAACTGGACAGGACTTCTCACGAACCTCCAACGTCAACCAAGGATGTCTCTCCGCCGCCTGTAGCACCTGCCGCGCCCTCTTTTGGTTCTGTGCCTAATAGAACAGCACTGACAAGTGAGATGGCATCGGCCACTGGAAAGGCACCGCCTACGGGGCCCAGGGCTTTGAAGGAAGATCGCCCTCCTCCTGTAACTGCGTCCCCTCTTGTAGATACGAGAGCGCCGCCCACCGGGCCTTCCAAGCCGGCTTTCGAAAGAAGTCCACCAATCCCTTCTGGTCCTCGTTCACAACGTCCTGGCCCTTCAAGCATGCAATGGATCAACCCCAACCTTGCTAAACATCGAGTACCGGAATCTCCTAAACCGGCCAGATCATCAAGTTTCGCTCAATCTCGGCCCGCTGGTATTCGGGGGGATAGTGTTCAGTCAGATCAACCAGGAGATTCCTCTCATCGACCTCGCAGTAGTGATGGAAAGATGGATCTTGAAACTCCTAGAACAGAGGGCAATGCCCAAGAAATACACAGCTTGGAACCGGGCGAAGTTTCAAGGGTTGAGCTGAGACCACAATCGGCCGGTTCATCTGCAGAACGGGAAAAGCGCAAGGAAGAACCTAGTTCTACAAAGACTCATACAGAAGCCTCCGAGGAAGCTGAAGACATTAAACTTGTGGATGAGAAGACTGCAGCTCTTGTCAGTAAAACAGAGTCGACAGCGAACCGGAGACCCACCTTGAAAGTCCCGGTCATACGTGTCTCCTACCCTGAAAAACAAAGCAAGGAATCTATTATGGACCAATCTTCAGATTCTGATGACGAAGAGATTGGGGATATGATAGAGTCTGGAATGATAGAAGCTGAGAAGGAATTAAAGCAATTGAAACCGCTAGAGGACTCCGTATGTATGGATCCCATAATACGATATGCCTTGCTTTCGCTGGAAGCCGTCAATCAAGTTGCCATTGAACCTGAAGGCTTAGAAGCTATGATTGGTCCTATTCCGAAAGAGACCCCAGTTCTGGAAAAGACAGATACGAAGCAAGATCTGAAAGACTCGAAGATTCAGGAACAAACAGGGGCGAGCGATACCTCCCTGGTGGGAGACAATGTTAAACAACCACAAAAAGAATCTGATGCTGTCCTACCATCACTTATAAAGGAACCTGCCGGGCCTTCCAATGATGTGCCTAAGCAACCCGAACCATCTATCGAACAGGAATCCAAGACTCCCGTGGCACCTAAATCACCGCCAGGTGATCAGAAGCTAGCAAATGATGGAGATACAGTTATGGAAGATGCCATGCCCGAGAGTGCCATTCCTGAAGTGCAACCACGATCGAGGGTGGCGGTGCCCACATTACAAGGAGAGCCAGTGCTGCCACTCTTTGAAGAGGCTCAAATTGAATCAGGTGATGCGAGTAAAAGGGAGTCCTGTACACCGTCGCCACCTGAAGATGAAGACGAAACAGATATTGAAGACGTGGATCTTCATAGCATCGCCATTGTGCGCGAGCACATGCAAACGCCTCCCCTAGATAGCTTACCGTACTTTGATGTGAAGCCTTGGGATAAAGATAAAGGGTTCATGAGATCTATGAACACGCAACAGCCGGATGTTAGTGCCTTTATTTTACAAAGATTGGAAGATGATGCATGGACCCAGCACGTTAGGGAAACGCAACTGAAGAAGACGTATGGCGCAAACTATGTTAACTACATCCGGTTTACGATGTCAGACGAGCCAGTTGCTGTCAAGAGTCGCGAGAAATTTAGTTGTGTTGTTGGTACTGCGGACCTGGGTGGCCATACCAAACCTGGAGTAAGCTCAGAGCCAAAGCCCGAAAATACACGGCGCAGCAGATACGCCTCTGAGCGTGACTTAGAAAGAGTCCTCGAGGAATCACGGAAAATCGAAGATGACAAACGTGAGAGACAGGAACAGGCTGAAAGAGAGAGGCACAGGACAGAGAAGGAAGCTGTGATACCTCGCCAATACCAGACAGAGAAGGAAAGGGAAAACGAATTCTATAGTAGCAATACTGGCCTTGTCCAACCCGAAAAGATCGTGGCGACATGGGAGGTCCTGCCTCCCGTGGACAATTTCACCAAGGAAGAGAGCGAGATGTTCGAAAAGGCTTATTTGGAGTTTCCGAAGCAATGGGGACGGGTCTCCGAACCGCTCGCTCATAGGGACTTTGGCACAGCTATTCAGTTCTATTACCTCAAGAAAGAGAAAGATGAGCTTAATCTCAAGGAGAAACTGAAAAGGCAACCTAAGAAACGTAAAAGGGGCGGCCGTGGTAAAACGCGATCAAGTGCTCTTGTCTCGGAGCTTGGAAACGGAGACAATGACAACGAAGAGGGGCAGGAGACAGGAGAGAATGGTGAGAGACGGCGGCCACGTAGGGCGGCTGCCCCTACCTTCAACTCCGAAGCTACTCCTGCTACGGATGGCGAGAGTGGAACGCCTGCTGGAACTCCGGGACGAAGAGGTGCGGCCGCAACGAGAGCAGATGGGACTGAAAAGCCTAAGAGAGGACGTCGGGCTAAAGACAAGGATCAGAAGCAGCCAAGAGTTGCTGTCACTCTCGCCGCGGCGCCTACTCCTGGGCCGACGCCATCTCCGGCGACGAAAGGCAACCGTTCGCGTTCCGCGTCTAGAGCCCAAAACTTGGACTGGATTGGTCAGCAAACCCAAGACGACATGCCTCGTATCCCCTCTCAGTATGAGTTGGCACCGAATCTTGGACAGTCGGCCCCGGGTATGCCCATACAATCTTATCCACAATCACAGCCTCTTGTTACTCCCGAAAGAGGTGTTCCTCCATCATCTATGGCAGATGCAATGGCTCCTCCACCTTTACGACCAGAACCACCTCCGCAACCTCCAGTGGCAGTTCTCGATATAGGTCAACCACCACCACCACCGGATCGCAAGTCTGGGGGGCAACCCTCAAGCTATTGGAGTGTACCTGAAGCTGCTGAATTCCCATCGTTGCTCAAGTCATTTGGGAGCGACTGGGCGGCAATTGCTGCGCACATGCGGACCAAAACCGCAGTCATGGTATGTTATTTACACATGTTTAGGTGCCCTTCATTATCGTGTGACTCTATTAACATCTACAGGTGAAAAACTACTACACCCGCCGAAAAGATAGCACGGACTGGGAAGCAATCGTAAAAGAGGCAGATGATCGGAAACATAGGGGCGAGAAGCGGCCACCTCCCCCCGTATTGGCCACTGGTACCAAGAAGCGGTATGATACTTCCAGCAATCGGCCACTTGCGGCGGCGGATGCGGTTATGGAAGATGTGCCTGCGCCGAAGATGGAACATCCTCCTACCAGCCAGTCCATGAATACCCGCTTTAACGTTCCTATTGCTGCTCAACCTCAGCCGCCTCCAGTTGCGCCGTCACCATTCGCTCAGGCGGCTCATCTCGTTCCCCAAGTTGGTTCGCAGCCCATCTCTCAAGCGACAGTCACACAGACAATGTCGCCGGTTTCTCGGCCCCTGAGAGCGCCCCTTCCCTTCCCCGACCGCGAACGTGAGACATTCCCTCAACAGGCCACAAGGACTCCACTGGTCTCAAAACCGCCTCATCCCGCACCATCGGCCGTGCCAGAACCACCTGTAAGGCATCCCTTACCTGGCTCGTTGCCCGATCTTCAACCAGAACGACCAAAATCCGAATCGAAGCCTCCTAAGGAGCCAGTTCGCCAACCAGAGCGACAGCAGATGCGTGTCAAACAAGAACCAGATCTCGCTCCTCAGCAGGACTTTTACGGCGCTCCTCCTGCCGCGATCCGAGGTCCGCCATCGCGTGTAGAGAACAGGCCATTGTCATCACGGCCAGTAGAGGCTCCTCGCAACCCAGCACAAGCCCCTCAAGCACCGTATTCGGTTATTCAACATCAAACTAGTCGAGGCTTCATGAACGAGTCTAACCCATCGTCCCCTGTACCATCACGGTCTATGTTGCCACTAACACGGCCATTGTCTCGAGCGAGTGCCACGGAGCCATTTAACCCGTCACCAGCCCAGCGCACACCACCATCGGTCACTCCTGCACCACCCCGAGCTCCCAAGACCTCTAGTTTGATGGCGCTTCTTAACGATGATCCGCCAGCTCCTCCTCCCAAACGAGTCGCTGAAGTGCCCGCAGCACCTAAGCTGTCCTCAACTCCTCCGCCTCATGCCAATCTGTCTCGACCGCCACCGCCGCCACCACCGCCACCGTCTCATGTGCGCCGTGATTCTTCACTCACAGAAGCCCAACCCTACGGATATTCACGTGGACCTCCACCACCACCCCCTCCATCTTCAATGCCATCACTGAAGCCATATACTGCGTCACCTCAAGCTCAACCTTTGAGCGCTCCAAGACATATGCCAATGGATGGAGGCGTTGAACGAGATTACTACGGCAATCGTCCCCGCCAGTACCCGCCTACTGCTGCTAGCTCTCCTCAAAATACGCCTCATTACCAAGTTCCTGCTCAGCCTCCACAAGTGCAGCAGTATCAGTCTCAAACCTCATATCCTTATGGTGCACCAATCCAGCCACAACCGCCCAATGCCTCCTCTCCTCCGCCCCAGTACGCCCCTCATCAATCTATGTCGAGAAGTCACGAGCCCTCATCTTCAGCTAGAGAGACGGGATGGCCCGCTCAGAGCCCAGGCCATCCGATTCAACAACAACCGCACCCCCAGCAGCAGCATCAGCATCAACAGATACAACATCACCAGCAACCTCCACCACAACAGCATCAACAGCAACAGCAACCACCACAGCAACCAACGTGGTCCTCGCATCCGCCACAACCCCCTAAGTCGACACAACCGCAGCCGACACAATCCGCCTGGGCTGCTCAGCACGCATCTGCGCCAAAACCTCCCCAGCCAAGTAGCTCTGTGCCACCGCAATCTTCATGGGTGAATACTCCTCCGCCACCTCGCGGACATGACCCAATGGCACTGCGTGACAATTTCCCGCTATCGCGTATGCAGACACCTTTACAGGTATCTTACCCGCCCTCATCACGTGCTCCTGAACCACCTCCGCCGCAAGGCCCAGCGGGCTATGCTCGATATACCAATACGCCGAGCAACGCACCTATCCCAGGGCGGGACCCTCGGGACCCGGGTCCTCCAAGGAGCTACACACCTGTTAGCTATGAGAGTAGGGTGTACCCATCCCAGGGACCACCAGACCCGCGGGATGCACATCTTCGTGAACAGCAAGCGCAACAGCCGCCGCCTTCGGTCTTGCAACAGCAGTTAAGGCCGCAGGACAGACATATATATGATCGGCCGCCACCTGACAGGTACGGAAGGTAGTTAGTTTTAAGAGCCAGAGTAGTGGGAGGTCTATCTGCGTACTAGGCCAGGTTATTATGTTACTAGAGTATATAAACATACTGTTTATTCAGTTGGTATTACTGTTTTTGGCGGGTGTGCTCTCATAAATTAAAACTTGGAAATCTGCGAAGCAAAACCATATGAGTTTTTCGCCTGGAGTGTGAATGCTGTGTATGTGTGTATGTGTGTATGTGTGTATGTGTGTATGTGTGTATGTGTGTTATAAGTTGTCATGTCGTTTCTTGCGTTTAATAGACTTAAGTCCCAACTGCCCTTTTAGAATACTTGATGCTGGTTTATAAATTTGGGTTACCTACTATGAAAAATGAGGGGGGTGTATTATCCTGATGGGTTTGGATGTAAGGGATGAGGGAAATTAATAGCAGCTGAGGCTGTCAGGAAAGGGAGACGTGCTATATGTGTATATATATATATATGTAGGTAGGTAAGTACGTATGTTGGATGGATGATACTGTATGGATGGGTCACAATGGATGAGTGGAAGTAGTTAAGCAGTCAGGAGTTGGTGTACTACTGGTACTGTTCGAGTTAATATGTATGAATATGAATATGAATACGGAAAATGAATATGGGCAGGAATATGAACTGGAAAGGGGAATCGAACTCGTGGCTTGCTCGAGTTTTCAGTGATGCCTACTAGTGTGATTCATAGTGTGATCTATTTTCTTCGTCTATATATTTCAATGTTTTGATTCCGGCTATGTGTAGCTGAGTGAGTGAGGGAGTGATTGATCGATAGATAGTGTTGATCAGAAGTGGAAAGCGATGATTCATTCTTACGATACTACAAACTGGAAAGTTGTATATATATATATAAGACCTTCTTCATTCCGCCATTAAGGTTATAGTTTATTGTAACTTTCTATGTATATAATCTAGATGGATAGGTAATCTAATGGGATTGCATATGCTGCTCTTGTTGACAGTGTTTAGAGTCGTGGGGGTAGGGTATGCTATGTTGTAGTCTACCTACATACTTACTTAAGACTATGAGAGAGTAGGTATTGGGGACATGGAACGCTTTCCTGTTTATATTTTAATAGTGGCTACTTATTGTAGAGATGCTAAACTCGTCGTGTAATAACCCTCTATCCATTCATCCGGACGGGATACTTATAGAGTGTGTAACTATGCCGTCGGGGCCATGTCTCATTGTCAAACAAGTAACTCAGCCTCAAGCGATGTTACCTGCGGGTTGCACACATCGGCGTCCAAGCCGCTCCCTCAATGCAGCCCCTATCATTCTCATTGGCTTCAGGTTTTCTTGTCCATGAGGGGCCAGCCAATTGTCGCACGGTCACGTCGGTAGCGAGTGGGCGAGTATGCACTGTAAGCTGAGACAAGGGCGGAGTCAAAAGTGTTTGCATTGCGCCTCGTACCTGGAAAAATTGAACGTCTCGTTTAATTTGAGGCGAGAGGAGAATTGGGCGGTTCTGCTTCGTTTTTCTCATTTTTGGGTTAATTGAGATATCTTTCGAAATCAGTGAACAAATAAGTTTGAAAGAAAATAAAATAACATAAATAAAGAGGAAGTAAGGAAGAGGGGAAATCAGCTTATGGCATAGCTCATTTCGAGCCGCACCCCCGACAAAAGTCAAATTGACTGACTGAGGGAGTGTCGCCATGTCGCCCAAGATAGACAGCTCCAGGATCGGAAGCGCGACGGCGGCATGGTCCCGCGATGTCCGCCCGAATGCCGCCGGGGCGGACGGCGGTGTCACGTATAGTCGGCGATCGTTCTACTACGACCGCGAGTTCTCGGATAGCATCGTCGTCGCACGGTCGACAAATGGGGACGATGGGAGCCGTCTTCTCACGTCGTATGCCTCGGACTTCTCTTATGAACCTAGGCGCAGGTACCCGACTAGATTACTTAAAAAGGATGAAGACAACGATCGAGATGAAGAAGAGAGAAAGGCGAATGAGTTTATGCGTGGGCGTGTTCTGCAGTCTTCTCAAGGCATTGTCGTGCCTAAAGATTACTCGGGAGCGACGAGATATGGGCTAGAAAGTTCCCCGCCGCAAGTGGCGCCCCCGTCGCCGTCGTCTTTTTCGACTCGATCTTCTGTTATCGCGTCGTCGACACGGGTAGACGAGGATGAAGAGGAAGAGGAATTTGGTCGGGGATTGAAAATTGCTGGAATCGATGCGAAGACTATTGCGACGGTTGCGGCGGAAATTGTCGTGCTCGGACTCAAAGGGTATCAGCACTATCAGCGCTTCCAGCCACTTCGCGAGAACCGGGCAAACGGCGGCAGTAGTGATGTGGATGATGGTGAGCAAAGTGGAAGCGGGTTCGATCTAGACCCGTATTATCTCGAGGCTGGACCGCCCCGACGACATCCCCAGAGACTCTCTCCGAGTCGGCATTCTCCTGCGAGAAAATTCTCGCGACGCCGTGTTGACGCTTCAGAGGAAGCACAAGAACATACGAGTGACTGCGCCGACGGCGCAACTTCGAGTTCATTGCTGCCGCCTCTGTCGGCTGCTCAGAGAGTATGTTATTACCTCATTGGTGCGGTCTTATTCGGCATCGTAGCGAGCTTTGTTGTTGCCGTGTGGTGGGCAAGGAGTCAGGGGGATACTTCTGCGGGATTCACGATCGGCGGCTATGTTATTGCTGTCGATGCGCTGATTGTGGCCATTGGGGGCCTTGTGCATATACCTGGGTGTCGGTGTTGGAAGGCTTGACAAAGGAAGAGGCTGAATTAGGGTAGAGTGTCGTTATCATGAGACACGAGATGGATGGTATGTTGTCATGTCTGGTATCGATTTTCTGCGCTGATTTTTGCTGATTTGATCTCTATCTCTCTCCTACCTGCTTTTGGGGGGGTTTTTTCTCAGGAGAAGTCAAATATGAGGCTCGGCTTAGAATGGGAAAGGTAGCTTGGAAAAAGTTGATATTTCCCCGCCTGTTTAATCGAATATTAGGATAGGATAGGTAGGGATATACTCCATTCTTATTTCAATACAACGTGAGGTCGTGAACCTCCTCGTTATTGCGTAGGATGAAACTTCCATAAGCGTCGTTACATGTAGTTAGCAAGACCATCACAAGCTCCATCTATATAACACACTCCGCCACCAAGAGTGGTGATGTTAATTTCGAGGAAGAGTGCCGAGAAAGGGAGACCTGAAACCCCAAAACTGTAATGTTATGCCCCTCGTGCTCTTCTTGCTTAGACGATATACGTCGGGAATAGGTTCGATTATGATCAATACTGCGAGCCATGCTCTTACGCTGCTCATTGGTGAATATGTAGTGAAACATGCTTGAGCATCACTTCTCACTCCTTAAGTTAACTTCAGCTATAACGACTTCATGTCTAGTGAAGTACATGGCCTCCGTTGAGAATGAGTATCATTAGGTCATATCATGTCGGAACGTAGATACAAATATGTCTAAGTGGTTACCCGGTTAATTATAGACTGCTTCTACCCCGTCTTCATCTTAGCCAGTAGTTGAGCGAGAAGATTTAATTGCTAATTTCACCTCCCTTGCGATCTGCCGTGATTCTGCCACCTCGGGCGTTTTGTCGTTGTATCTATCGGCTCTCTAACCTCATGACTTGATCGGTGGAGTAGACGGCATACCAAAGATTCCTCCACTTTAATATATTAGTATGGTGCGTGTTCGGGAATAACTGTTGAGATTGTGCGGTTTGCGAGGTTCCTGCAGCCTCGCAATATTCGTAATGTTGGAAACTGTCCTGTTTCAGTGGTATCTAGTATTGCGCCATGTGAAGTACGATTTCTCGACGTGGTGACTCGGACTGAAACTTTTCGCTAAAATCATTTCTTTTTTCCTTTCCCTGATTATAGTACATCAAGGTGGCAACTCGTGGCGCTCGTGTGTCTGTTCATGTACTTCGGCTATATATTGAGGCGATAGCTCGTGTACCGGTTGCGGTTCTTCGGGAAGAGGTTTGTATTGGTTGCTCTTTGCGTAATAGTCTTTCATCATATAAGCTTCATTCTCCCCTCCTCCGGGGGATGTAGCTGAGTGCGCAGGTAGCTCCGCCATTTGTCTTTGCTGTCTTGGCCGAAACCAGAAAAAGTAGAGACCTGCTCCAGCTATAATAGCAAGAACAAACACACCCGAGATCGTACCGCCTACGACGGCACCAACATTAACATTATTAGAGCTAGATTCGGATGCTGTCGTTGGGGTAGTCATCGTCGTCGTCGCCGTTGCCGACGATGTGGATGTGGATGTGGATGTTGTTAAGCTAGATGACCTTGGAGAACAAAGGTCGACGCTGAAATAAGCCCACGTAGAGTTATAACAGACTAAAGGCTCAGCAATTGTATTATTTGTAGCTGAACAAATGGGGTCTTTAGGATCATCGCCGTAGATAGTGACTAAGCTCGCATTGTTTTGTTAACTACCTATCAGTGATACTTGGGCCTTAGATGAGCACAGCCTCCAGCACAACATACCTGAGCAGCCATCACCCAAGGTCCCAATCATGAAGCTCGTAAACCCCGAGGTGATCTTCATGCATTCTCCCGACCCGGTGGCATCCTTCACATTGATTGTATTTCTCAACGTGCTACAGCTCCGGTCGCTGAATGTCAAAATACTGGTCGCCCCAACAAAGGGCAGAATACCGAGAGCGCAGACCACCAGCGGTCGCGCAACTCGGGCGAGATATCCCATGCCCTTGATCTTATGGTTGTAGTCGTGGTCGTAGCGCTAAAATATACTTTCGAGGTCAAGAAAGAGATAGTAAGACAATACCAGAAGCGCCTAATCCATATTTCAACTCAAGGCGCAGGAACGAATGGGTATCACATGCGAAAAGACAGAGAAAAAGACAAGGCGGCTATGTGTGTAAGCGAAAGTAAGAGGGAGAAGGCTCTTCGACGAAGCACGAGAAAAGAAGAATGCCATCCCAGCATCTCAGGGACGGCAAGTCCACTTGACCATACTATATTGAGATCAGCCCAAGTTCATATTGCCAGGCCAAATACCGTAGTCGGCGTCTCCCCCGCTGCTTGGGTACGCTATTTTATTCCAGGACTGCCGCCATGGAGAAATAGGTTAGTGTAGTAGAATAATAGATGTGAGTGTGCTACCCTGGGCGCATGTCATATTCAGCACTTCACTAAGCTGCTTACGACCACATTTAAACGCCGATGTCATTCGCAATGCATAACAGGTATGAAACGTATCGAAGCTTTGTCTTACCGGTAGGTATACCATTTTCGTGACATCTGCAGTAGTATCAGAACTTCAGGTATAGATATAAAAGAAGACAATCTACGCCAAGTTAAATAAACAAGCTAAATAGGGTTTAGAACCATTTTGCTACATGCGGTACGTTAAGTCGTAATGGCAGTGGGCCGACCATGTTGCATCACCCTCCGTACACTAAATTACCTACTTATAAAAGGATATCGTCCGGTAATGCCAAATAGGTGTCAGCAATATCGTGATGTGAACCTGATGCCCACCTCCAAGCACACCAATAGTGTAAAGAGATGATGATGATGATGCTGCAAGTGCTGAGGACTACTACTTCGTAAGTAAGCTGACAGTAGGCACCACACAGCTGCAAAACGATGGGGTTGCACGGCTTATTCAGATGTGACTCTGGAAAGGGGTTCGGCCTATCATACGAACACTTGACTCAGCAACCTTCCGTGGAAATAAACAAGAGGTAGGGTTCCAGCCATGCTGAATCCTAGAGCAGCGTATCATGAGCCTTATGCGGTGTAGATCTCGGTTGACAACAGGTTTAGCGCATTGGCAGGCTGCCGCGGTTCGGTGCGATGATACGTGATGTATGTCGCGGATGGTGCATGAGGAAGCGTGAGGACTGGAAGCATCGACATATGATAGGATAGAGTCCAGTGTAGGACTTAGGTAAGCCGGCCCTCCTATCGTCGTTCGCCAAGTCGCAAAACGTAGCCATATCATCCTTATATGTAATTTCCGGCATTATGGGAGAGCGCCAAGAGACCGTCACATGCTACACACCATAGCTACACCTTGGTTATTTTGTCCATCTACATACACAGCAGTACACAGCAGTGAGTCGTTCTGGTGCAACTCTGCTTCTCCTAAACTCCAGTATGTCCAAGAATGGTGACCAAGTGTAGCGCGTTGGCAGCTAAAGGGTACATTATCTAGATCTATTCTAAGTATAGTAGACAGGCTACCTCCACTGCCTTGGAGCTTGTACCCTTAGTCTACTGTAGTTGGCCCAAGTATCCGGCATTCACCGTCGTACAGCTTGGCAAAGTGGTCATCACACCATTTGGGGGCCGCCGGTGGCTGAAACAATGCCTTTGGACCCCGACGAACACCTCGATGAGAGAAGCTCGAGAAGCTACATCAACTAGTAGAAATTTTGATGATTGTGTTTGCAATGTTCGGAAATTTAGGGATACCGACAGGATAAATCCCCTCGTTGGAAGATGGCGGAATGAAGAATTGGTGGCTAAATAGGAAGCATTGGCCGACCACTGCTCCGGTACGTGGCGTCTTACGTGAGTCCTAACATCTGCATGTTTCCTTTTGCTTTTTCTGTAGACAGCCTTTTTCGCTTTTCAGCGGAGAGAGACATCATGTCACCGAGAATCACGATTGGCTGTGAATAATAGGTATGGGTATTAAGCTACCCATCATTTAGTCCCGCACAAATGAGCATCCTGAATCATACCCGCATTGACAAGATAGATGCTCGGCACGTCTTACTTTACATTCAGCCCAACAGCTTCTTCGCCTCGTCCTGCATGGTCTGGATGGCAGCAAACATGACCGACGGGCCAACGCTGTACCTCGCGACACCAATATCAGCTAGCTCCTTGACACTGAGCCCGGCAGGCGGCGGCACAGCCAGTACAGCCAAGCGCCCGTCAAACTCACTGACCATTCGGTCGACCTCACTCCTTGTGACGCCCCGTTTGCCTCCCCAGACGAAGACTGTGGTTGCGCCTGCGGCTAGATACCTCTTCCCACGCACTACGGCGTCTAGGATACTGTGGCCCTTCACCAGGGCATCGCAGCGCGCATTGACGACGAAGTCCGGCACGCCTCTCTCCTTGGCCACTTCGAGGACACGCTCAATGCGCGATGCAGCCTCGGCGGGAGTATACAGCTCTCCTGTCGCCAGCTCACAGTCTTCTAAGTTGATGGCGGCAACGCCAAGGTCTATGAGAGCGTTGATGGCTTTCTCTAGCTCGGGACCATATGCGTCTTGAATGTCGACGCTCAGAGGTTTGTTGAATTCCGCTGCTACTTTCGCGATGCCCTTGACGGCGGCCACGTTGATGTTTAGAGTCAACTGCTCGTCTTCGAGCCCTGCTGTGCGCGCCACTGAAAAGCTGGCTGTTGCGAGGGCTTCTGTTGATTCTAGCTCGGCGACGGCGCGTGCGCTGATGATGTCCCAGACGTTTGCGAGGGCAAGGGGCTTGTTAGGCCGTTGGTGAAGAGCCTTGAAAGCTTTAGCAGCTGCGTTCTGTGTCGCCATCGTGAATGTGTGATTTGATGATAATCTTGATGCAGTGCCTGAATGATATCTAAATGGAAGTATTATAGGTGATAGACGACTGTGATAATAACAACTTTAACCTGCCTTTCTGCTTTTCTTGTCTGGCCGACCTCATTCTATATACTTTGTCGCGCGGATGTTCCTTGCCTCCCAACTTCCGTGGAAGTGGTCGTTGATTATGGAAGCCAGGGTACGCTTCGTATGCTTTGTCAGTGCATGGGATATGTACGCCCTCTCCTTGACGGCATCTGGATTCGAATTTGGTAGCATTGCATGCTAGAGTAGCTGCAAAAATGCTACCGAAAACATTTTCAATTGATCATGACAAGTAAGGCAGTTTAGCCTTCGTCACAGTCTCTATCTTGAATTCATGATGCTCGCCACCCTGCAAATCCCGCTCTTGGCACAAATACGACTTGGGACTGTCCTGACTAATTGCACTTCGTTCCTCGTTCATTTTAGCCGTTAGCATTTGCTTGTTTAAGCTTATTTCGCAAGTGTAACCTGTGTGAGAACTAATAAGCCATGAGAAAGATGGGGGGCTGCTTCTCGTGCCGATCAAAGCATCTTCGCTATCATAGAGAGCAGAACTATCATACATGTCTTAGTGTAGTTGTGAGCGAGTTGCAGCAAAGCAACATTCTCAGGTTAACCTCAATAAAAGAGACTATCATGATATTGCCTCATATCTACGACGTGCAAGTGTTCCCTGGCTTGGTACTACTCAGCAGTATTGAATGTGTTCGCGTGTGATGATGTCTCAGTATCAAACACCATTTATATGTGAAGGCTCTCATCAAAACCTTTTCAAACAGCGTACGAAAAAAGATAAAGCAATAGTACTGTCGGTGCCAAAGAGACCTGACTGCTTCACATGTTAGGAGTCTGATGGTTTGATATCAGGTAGAAGTCTTTGTACACTGGCTAACAGTCGTCGGAGTGACAGTTCAGGAGTAAGACATGACAAGTATACTTGCCAAACCAGATACAGCTGGTGGTGTTCAAAGAAGTTCCGAATAGTATATAATTAGTTGGATAAAATGGTAGAGAGAAATACCATCAGAGAACTCGCTATGATCAGTCTGAATATTCTTCAGCCAACTCATCACAATGTCTTCACAACGCAATCGAAACGCCCCATCCCCAATTAAGACGACAAGCCCTCATCTGACACCCCCCAGGTCGACTCAATCCTCCACGCAGACAGGAGATGAATCCTTTCATGGCACCTTGGTTGAATTGTCCGCCGCACTTGCCATTCTTGAGGCGGTTGAACCCCAGCGGGAGTCCTCTGATAGCACTGGGTATGATTTATTAGAAGTTAAGCAGTTTGAGAGCGCATCTAAAGCCGATTTCAAGAAAGACTTTAATATGAAGCTACAGGAGGTACTCTGGGCATTTGCCGTCATGTTCTCCAAGTCTAGGACAAGGAAACATGTTGTTGCGAGTGTCCTACGAGAACAGACACAAGAGGACGACAACTCAAAGTCCCTATTCACCCTGTATCTAACCACGAATCGTGGGTTCTGGCCCAATGAATACGACGAACACAAGAGGAAGTTGGAGAATGCGGCGAACTGTGACAAGACGCCGCCCAGCCTTCTTGGTGCTTTATGGGATGATCTGACTGACTTCTGCTTCGATCGAATTGAAGAGTATGCAGAGCAGGCAAGGAAGTGCTTTCTGGGCATCCCTACAGGCGAGTATGAGCCGACAATTGGTTTAGAGTCCGAATGCAAAAAGACATTCGATGATATCAAAGGATGGTGCCCTAATGTATATGAGTTGCTCATTGAGCTCAGAAGGGACCTCAGCAAGGACTCATGGGATCAAGCCGAACTCGTTAACAAGTCTTGGGAGGCATTACTAGCTTTATCAAAGAACAGTAGTCGATTCCCAGTTCTGCGCAGTCATCGGCAATGTGCCAAGCGACGTGACCTTATACTGAAATCAGTCGAGAATCTCGCCAAGGTTCGCAAGGCATATCTGATATTTGCCAAGTTTGGGAAAACCCTACGCCAAAAAGGGGCACACCTGAAGATTGAACTTCTCGGAAAGACGTATGAAAGCGAGGCCGAAGACGCCATCGACAGACTAATAAGTGACCAAAACGATGACGAAATGAGAAAATCCACAGAGCGAGTGAAGAAAGCGATAAAAGGACAGAAAGGTACGCTGCCACACTGTGAGATCCAGATGTTGATGTACTTCTCCAGAGCAGACAAGAAAGGCGTCTGGAACCTGATCGGATGCAGCAAGCGTCCCTGCTACGCGTGCTCGCACTTGCTCGCAGCCTCGGGTTTCCTCTCCAGCAAAAGCCACGGGAAAGCGTACCATCAGTACTTCTCATCGATCGAGAACTGGCTAGAATGTGAAGGCAACGAGGCCTCGAAAGCGGCTATAAAGGAGCTGAGGAGGAAAGTGGTGGAAAGCATACAGGGATATGGGGAAAGGAAACATTTCATTCCGTATACTGAGCCGGATTCGCCCGTGTTCCAAGACTGGCTCTCTGAAGACCTTGAAGATTTGAATATCACGTCGTTGACAAAATAGCTCGCTGAGCCTAACCTCGTCATATGTTGCTAAAGGGGTTGCTACGATGGATACGCAGATTGTTGCTCGGGGTACGCCAGTACGCAAGGTAAAAGACGCTTAGTGCACATGGGAGAAGACCCCAGGCCCGAAATCGTAGCATCTGACGTCTCGATGCGAGGTGACCACTTATGTAAATTAGCGAGCTCAATATCTGATTATCATTAATACCACTATCAACAATACAAAACTCGTCCCATCCCAACGACTATAAGCCACCCATATCCATATCCATATCCAATGCAAACCGCGTGCCGTGTTATGTAGACCAATGAATGCCCCGTGACTCCTAATGCCTATACCCTACTTTCCCTTCTTATATACCTAGGTAACATAAACAGTATGTATTTTTTCTCAACCCCCGACAAAATGAAATGAGGTAAGACAAGTATGAAACAGTAGAAAGTGTCAATCAAGAACTGCGTTGCCACATCCTTCTCCCTCCACGACGTTCAGTATAGGTGGTGAGTGCTACCGCCCCCAAATCTCACCCTATCCTATCCACTCCCACTTCCCACCCGTCTATAAGGCCTCTTCCCCTCCGGCGAAACAGGCTCTTCGACCTCAGACAAAGGCGGAAACGTCGTCGCAAAAACCTGTGACGATGCCGAAGAAATACTAGGCGACATAGCATTCGCAAGCGAGGGGATCGAACCCGTCGTCACGGCGGGTATAGCCATCGTCAGTGTCGGACTGCCCGAATCACTTCCCGCGGCGCCCGCGGAGTCTTGGGAATATATCGAGAAGGACGAGTTCTTTCTCCCGCCCGCGAAGAAATCCTGGGGACTTGTCGCGCCGTTGCGATCGTAGGGTGATCCCTCGCGGGAGCTCGAGAGAGATACTTGTGATCCGCCCCAGGCTTTATTCCGGAGTTTGAGCAATGCTGATAGAGACATGTCGTGGTCTTCGGCCATCATGGCGAGTTGGGCGAGACCAGGGGATTGAATGGGCCCGCTGCTGCTCGGTCCTTGCGGCCAGCCGATGCTCATCAGGGAGTTTCTGTTGGAGTACTCCGAGCGTTCTGTGATGGGCGTCAGGTTCGGTTCGCGCGAAACGACGCGGCCGGAAGTAGACCGAGTGACGCCGCTGGGACCGAAGTATCCGCCGTGGGAATATTGAAAGATGTTCTTCTCGCTGAGGGAGCTCTGGCTGTACCCTGATTGCGGGACAGGGGCGGAGTAGAAGCCGAATTCTTGTCCGTACCAGCCGTCGGAGTCGTTAGCTAGAGCACTTGCGTTGGCTTCGGCGATGATGGCGTCGTCGTCTAGTTCGTAATCATCTAATCCCGCCGAGAATCCGTCGTCGTATTCGTAGTCAGCTAATTCAGTCTCGTTAACCGCGTCTTGTTGCGAATATGATGAACCTGATGTTGTAGGTGATGTGACTGTGAAGTCCCTCGGTGGTTCAGGGGACGAATCTCGACGGAATTTACCAGAAGCTGCGGCCTTATGCGCAGCGGCAGCCAGTGCTGCTTGATACGCTGCCACTACGTTGCCTTCTAACCCAGAAATTGCTTGCTGTGATTCCAGAGGTTGAGTCATGTGTGAAATGTCTTCCACGTCACAAGTTTGAGCTATTATATGTGAAGTAGTTGTTTCATCCTGAGGACCCGCTGATTTTGCGTGCGCCTCAACGCTTAATGAAGTATGAGCAGTCGAATGTGACACCGCCGACTGAGCAGAAAGTCTCGAAGTCATATCAGACTCCCGCTTCTTCGTCTCCAAAGCTGCATTTCTTTGTGCCAAAGCATTAGCAAACACCTGGGGAATTGGGCGCCCGTACTGGTCGGTGTCATTTAAGTCGAAGATAGACTCATCAAATGCTGACCCGTCTCCTTCCCCATCAAAGTCGTGTATTAAGCCGTCATTGAAGTAAAGTTCATCGTCCTTGCTGAGATGGGTTCTGCCTTGAGCTGGTGGTTGGGATGCTGTTAACTTAGGAGAACCCATCGCAGCACCCGGCTCTTGAATCCCTAGGCCCGCAGTAGTACCGTCATTATAAACTTGGTTGGGGCTAGGCTCAGCAAGCAGGCCCATAGAGGTCTCTGGGAACTGTCCAGACCTGGGAGTCTCCCCTGTGCGAGCATATCCGATGATATCTCCGTTAGCATCCCTAGGCGTTGGGAGTAGGCCAGGACCGTAAGGGCTTGTTAACGAGGATACTGGCTCTGACCTCTGAAATACGAATCCAGCAAAGTTATCCTGATCATTATCTGGGTCGTTTGCTGCTTCAAGGTCTTCCTCATAATCATCTAAGTCGGCGTTGACGCCAGGAATTCGCTCTTCCAAATCATCATCATAATCCATTGCGTCATAATCAAATCCGTCCTCGTCAAACTCGTCGAAGCGCGAATCCCTTCGGTCACCAATTAGACCCGAGGCTTTATCCTGTTGGCGTTGTCGGTGCCTTTCCTCTAGTAACTTTTCTTGTTCTGCAGCTCCAATCATATCGAAACTGAATCGAGATGAGGTGCTCTTCATATGCCTGGGTATAGCAGAGAAAGAGCTCTTTACAGAAGCTGCTGAAGCTTTACGAGACATGGAGGCTTTAGATAGAGCACTTTTTCGTCGCTGAGTGCTTTCTTCTCCAGCATATGTTTCAGCGAGCTGGGTGACTGACGACTCTCGAGACCTCTGACTCAGAGTCGTGTCCATAGAGTAACCCTTGGAGTAAGAAGATGAGGTTCGGCTTGACCTAGAATGCTCGTCTTTCGGAGGGACTGGTGGCGCTCTACTGGGTTGTATTGCGGGAGTACTATGCTGTGAATGAAAGACCTGGCTATCTCCGGAATTTGCGGATTCATTGCCAATTTTGCTAGGTTGCACCACGGGTTTCCATGGCCTTGGGTTGCTGAAGTCATGTACCCGGGTGCCTCGTATTCGAGGGTCATAGGTAGGCTCCCCTGTAGACAAAGTAAGATCTGGTATATTTTGGCTGGTCTTCCTCCTAGCGAGCAATGTAGACATTGGGTTCTTCAGGAAAGGCAACCCCTTTTTCGCCTTGGTAGCATCCCGGGCGACAGGAGGATTTGAGGCTAGGGACTGATCGGACGTCATCCTTGCACCGGGCGGTCGTTTACCTGTAGGCAAGGCATTCTGAAGATCCGTCGGGCTCACGAATGACGGGGCCTTGGTCGGTTTAGCAGGAGGTGGCACTGGTTGTTGAGGTCTACTGCCGAAAGGAGGGATTGATGTGCTGGTACCAGAGGGTGAGACGGTGGGTGAGGCTGAAGCTATTGGAGGCGCATTTGGAACCCTCTGCGATTGTGCAGGCTGGTTCATAGCAGCTTGTTCTCGACGATAGTTCTCCAATGCTAGCCCACCAATGAACTTGGGTTGTTCATTGTAAGGGGATCGCAGTAAAGGTTTCGGTTCATCGCAGGACTTCACGTCTTCAGCTGGTTTCTGGTCCGAGTTCTGGCTCTGTGTAGAGAGTATAGAATCGGCAGAGACAACTCTAGCGATGGGCGGTAACACAGGAGGGTTCTGGTCCCGCAGAGATTGCGACAGGGACTGACTCTGGGCCTGGGAGTAGGGAGCCGAGGTGGCGGAGCGTGGGCGAATATCAGGAGCCGGGACGCCATCGGTGGGGACGAGATTCGCGGGCTGGACGGCTGTGGTGTCCCAGGAAGACCGGTCGAGTGTAGGCGAGGTGGGATTGGACGGTGTCCGTCTGTGGAAGCGGATATGAAGCATGCCGGGCTGGACGCGTTCTGCACGGGCAAGGACGGGACGGGACGGGGCGAGTGTCGCTGGTTCTACCGGCCGAGCCCTATCAACATGACGGGGGCACGGATCGCAGGGAGGCTGAATGGAGGCTGATGGACGGACGATCAAGGGAGTCAACAGTCGACCATTGGTTTTGGTGGCGCACAAAGCTGGGCGTCTATAGCAATGATTCGCACGTCAAGGCTAAGCACAGGAGCGAAACATGGCAATTGGCTTATGACTCGGCTGGGCGGTCATGCCGCGCCCGTCGGCGGCAAGCGAGGTGTCCTGTTGGTTTCGAGCAACCGTGCGCAAAAGGTGAGCCGGTTGTGAGGACTATGACGAGTAAATATACTTGCGCCTCTCCATAGATGTTCAATCTGTCTGCGTCGGTCTATCGTAGAATGTCGACCGTGTCTGGCAAGTCGTAGACCCGTAGGTATGTATAGTACAGGGAAGTTGAAGATGAAGATTATTTTTTTTTCTTGGTTAGGTGCTAAGGTAGCCAGGATTGTCTACCTACCGCCAGCGTGGTAACCTATGGAACAATGCGTTACGCAGGTAGGTATACCTGGAAGCAGTTTTAATCCCAGAAGGTTGCTGGAATCTAGAACAATGAGCCGAGTAAGTCAAATAAAATTAACGAAGCTTAGTTTGTATTGCACTGGTGTATTGTTACTCTTTTTTTCCCCCGGTTCCAATACATAGGAGATAGACCAGACCTGGTCTGCTTCTGGCTCCGTGAGAGGTAAAGAGGGGCCTAGATACTCTACGTGATCCTATCTTATGTATGCGCCCGTAGTATCGTCATCATTCATTGGTTGCCATAACCCGGGTTAGCGAGATAAGAGTTCCAATTCTCTTGATTCAAAGAATCAAGACTTGACGGTTTCTTAGCAGATCCTCGGCTATGTTGAAATGCCTTTAACCTTAAGGAGAAAATAGGCAGACATACGTACAGTGCTTCCTTACTGTATAATCATCATAATCATATCATGCTTCGTAGCACTTCCACAGTGTGTCTAGCTTGCACTCATACTGTACTGCAATGGGCTGATTCAAAGTCTGCCTCTGAATTCATGCTGAGGATCATAAGGCTGTGACTGATACAAGTGTAACCTACCAACCGTCTTACCTATTCCCTACGTAGGAATGACATAGAGGCAGCGCATCCTCTCTTATTTTCCGGGCATACCTGCTCAATACCCTCAGCCTTGACGCATGGGTAATTCATCTAAGTACTGCCCAAGTAGGTAGGTAGTAATATGTATGCGCTTCCCATCGACGTCATATACTTCAGAGATATGCATTGTAGAGGCACATATTGCTTGGATCCAGTGGTATACTTAGGCTGTATAGCTAGTATTTAGTACCTAGTAACAGCATCATTAAATTGGAATGCATTTCTATAGCTACAGACACCATTATGTATTCATACAACGAACCCCCCATGTCTACAACAGAGGTTAGCCTGTAAAGTCGACTAACCCCTCGTCCTCCTCTAGCATAGTCACAAAAGAAAACGGAGCAAACATATGACCCGCGAACTCGGCATATTTGGACTGCGCTTCGACCCATTGGAGACGTAGTGAATGTAACTAGTTGCCGTTAGCATCGCAACCTTGGGACCGGGAGTCGCAGTATATCTTACCATAGCACTACAGCCTTCCATGGCAATAAGAATGGCACATGTGAGGCAGAACCACAATCCAAAGGCCAAGAAAATCATGATGACACCGAGAACACCGGTCCTGGTAAGAGATGGTCCGAGCGTCATGTCCCATAGGACGCTGCTAAGCTGTTGATGGGCAAGGGATAGAGCCCAGAGACGTAGGTATGATGCAGTATGCGAAACGCAGTTCAAACAGAATTCTACAACCTTGTTAGCGCCAGCTACTCTCACGCCAAAAAGAAATCGAATCTACTTACCAATGGTGTGAATAACCTGGTGAATCATGACTTCGCTGAATTCGAATTCACCGTGGCCCTCCTCATCGTCATCTCCACCGTGTGCGATCATAGCGACACCCTCGCCGTCGCTCTCAACGCTAAAGCGTCCATTTCCGTTGCCGGCAGTGTTTCCATCTTCGTCATCATCAAGTGCCGAGACTCTAGATTGTTCACCGATGCCACGATAGCCCTTACCACGAGCTTTGTTGTGCTCCCATCGCAGATAGAACGGCTTCAAGAATAGCAGTATCGGGACCTGAATAAATGCGAGCCCGAGCAAGATTTTTTGCACAGTAGCCTGGCCACTGTAGAGTTCCTCGTCAATGGTACCGGGTTGCAGGAACATGTAAATCAACATGTTCAGTAAGCCCGGGGGTGATCGCCCAACAGCGTACCAATCGACAGACCACTTATAGATGATGCAAATCACTAGGTACCCAAAGATAGACTGGAAGAAGATCATGCCCGGAACGAAGTTGCCCCAGATATCGATAGGCTTCTTGAAGTGCCTCGCGTTGACGTACGCGAGACAGAGCGAATAGGTCATGTGCGCCCAACCCAGGATGATGGACATCTTCATCTTGTAACTGTTGGTGAACAAAAGATCATTATCGGTGCCATGCCACATCCAATCGAGACCAAAAGGGTAACGGTAATCTCCTTTGAGCGAGGCTGTAAGTGGCTGACCCTGCTTCCATCCTTCAGGAACATCCCATTCCCAAGCACTGTCAAAGAGTGTTAAGGACTTGGAGAAGACGTCGTTGTAGACGAGACCAGTAAACAAAGAGAAGGTAGCCATGACCAGAGCGATGTAACGACCGTAATAAATCATTGCAAACAACTCAAAGGTAACCTTCTTCAAAGGCTTCTCCCAGTAGATCATGGCCAGGGCAGCCATAAGCATGATGACGGCATGACCCAAGTCACCAAACATGACGGCGAAGAGGAAAGGGAAAGTGACTATGGCAGGTAGTGCAGGATTGACCTCTTGGTAAGTGGTCGTGCCATAGGCATTGATGATAGTTTGAAAGGCCTCGGTAAACTTATTGGTCCTAAGATATGTAGGCGGCGTTTTGGTAGTCTTGATCTCATTGATAATGGATGGGACTGACAAACCTGCCCGGTTGGTGACGTCCTGCAACGTCGAACGAATGAGAGGCAAATCTGTCGTGGGGCACCAGGCCTCTGCGATCAACGTTCGTCGTTGTCGGTCAAAAGAGAATAGATTCAACGTCTTATATGTAGCTTTCTCCTTCGTGACTAGAATCATCCAGGCTGCTAGGTGCTGGCCGATTTGCCTCAGCTCGGCCTCGAGAGTCTGTTGAGTGTTTTGCAACACGTTCTGCACGTCATTGAGGCGGGCGTTAACTTCGTGCATCTGATCACGGCGCAGATCTGTGTTTTCGTCAACATTGTAGACCTCTGCTCCCATAGACTCCGAAATCTTGCGAATCTTGGCCAAGATCTCCTTTCCATGAGCAAAGATGACGAAGACGTTCTTGCGGATCGCCTCGTTGTTGGTAGGGTCAATCAAAGGCTCGGGGATCTCAGACTGGTTCATGTAAAGGTTGCCTCGTAGTGTGCGCCAGAGGATACGTTCAAACGCGGCCACGCGTTCACGGTTGATGACGCCTGCTACAAAGCCGATGTTCATACCAGAGAATGAGCGCTCGACATCGCCAGCCTGATTGTGTTGCTCGACGTCTTGGAGTAATGGAGCATCGTCGTCCTCGGTCGATACCCGGATTTCCTCAACGTTACCATGAGCGCGATCGAAGAAACCGCCAGCCTCGCGTAGAACCCATCGCCATTCAGTCAACTCGACCTCGCGTTTCTTCAACGTCTCGTAGCTGTCATTAAGTTGTGCGATGCGTTGCTCGAGGCTTTGACTCTGTTCGGCCAGCTCATCAATCTCGGACGTGGTAGGTGGGGCGAGAGTATCGGCATCGAGATCTAGCTTTCGCAATGGGATGCTCGCCTTTTCCATTTGGGCGTGGAAGTAACCTTGGTTATGTCAATCAAAGTCCGTGAACGTGTCCGATCGCGTCCGTGTCAACTTACGAAGCTGTCGTTCGACATTGTCGAGGCGTCTGATCTCTTGAGTAAAGGTGCGCTGGAAGGCACTGACATCCCCGTTGAGCTGGTCGATGTCAGTAGATGCAGCAGCCGAATAGACAGCTGAACGATCAAGGGGTGGTGGTGGTGACCTACGTCGCGGAACTGGACCAGTCCAAGTTCTCCCAAGGCTGTTACACATTCTCTTCCAATCTCATTAGAAATATACAGCTGTACCATGCTCATGTCCGCCGAGCGGAACATGCTCTGCTTTGACGGAGCCATATTGATGGCGCTGGGCTCCGAGAGTTGAGCAGTTGATGAATGATGGTAACAGGGTGATGATGAGCTCAACCAAGCTTGGCTTTGCAGGGGAAATGGAGTTGCCTTGGAGCCCCATACGGCCATTTCGGGATTAAGCGTGGCTGGGGACACAGGTCGAGGCGTGGCGGTACCTACCTAGGTAGGTACCTAGCTCTCGAGGTCCTTATCAGTATATATGCACATAAGAGAAATGTATATAAGCGGATCTGAATGTCCTGCAGGGTGCTCTGGTGTCATGTCTCAGACCTTTCAATTCATCAAGCATCCTTTGATGGCATCTGGTGTGCAATCTAGAATTCAATTTACATTTCAGGAATACTATTACACCGGCTCCAAAATGGCAGTAAACTTAACAAGTCAGTCTCCTAGCCTAGCTGGTAGAAAAGTAGTTCTCTATCATAACTTGTAATATCTGAGAATCAAATAAGATTTATAGTCCTTATCACACACACCTCGCTCACCTCGTCTGCGGTTGAGTGAGAAGAGGTTGCGTAAGCAAGGACATTATTGGGTCTCAAAGTATATCACATTACACACAAATAGACTCTCTCAACTTACACCCTATCCTTTTTCAAGGGAACCGACGGTCACCAACACATCTCGCGGGAAACTGTTACATCACACATTGATACCAGTCATTCACTAACCTCAATCCCACTGAAACCATGAATATATATCCTTCTTCAATGTCCAAAACTTCGACATCGGACATCATCGTTCCTCATTAAAGTAAGTAAGCAATAACCTCAGAATGCAGGTGCTCGCCGTTCCGTTCACCATATGCAATACCTATCCTCTAAACCCGTCCGTCCGTCCGTACCAAAACACCTGCACCATGCGCTATATACGCTTTTCGAACCCAACTCCGACGCCAATACCAACCCAATGTCCCCCGAGAAAAACAGAAAACACCACAGTGACAGCTACATATCATACACTCTTCCTCTTCCACCCCATTCCACTCCATTTCCACTCTCGTTCCCTCGTCACAGAGGCAGAGATATATAACTCCCGCTTATCCAAAGCTATCTTCGCAGCCCTACTGCTCAGAAACATCTTCTTTCCCCTCCCCTTTCCCTTCTTCCTTCTCCCGCGTTTCAGTATCAACAATATCAGTCTCCATAAGCGCCTTCCAAACATCATCCTTCAATGTCCTAACAGCCCTAACAACAGGCAGACCATCCAGCATCTTAAGCTGTCGACAATCTTTCAGCACAACCAAATCGTACACTCGTTTGCGCATTCTCGTGTCCATGTCAAGACGACTCGCGAATTTGTCCTGCCGCTCCACGTCCACGTCCGGTAATGTGAAGGGGTCGAAGTCTCCTTCCTTGCCGTCATTTTCAGCGGACACAAGCGCGTGCACAGGGGCGTAGAAGCCAAGCGTTGCACCGTTATTCCTGAGGTCGAGACGAGATAAGTGCGGAAACTCAGCTAGCGCGCTGGATATTTTCTGAGCATCGGACAACCGATTCTCTGCTGCGAGGAGCTTCTTCAGGCGCGGGATATAGCGCAAAGGCCAAAGATCGTCAATCGCGTTGAAGTTGATGTTAAGCATGCGTAAGTTCGGCATTAATTGCCCTAGATTTGGCGACAGCGATTGAAGGCCGCAGTTTGCAAGTTCAAGATATTGCAGGTTGAGAAAGTCTACCTGAGGGTTGAAACCGGAGAGTCGGTTGCCGGATAGGAATAGCTTTCGGACCTCGTATGCCGAGTCTAGGAACGAAGTGTTGAGGGCTTGGTTGCCTTTCTGTTCTCGAAGAGATAGGCTATCTAGCCGGCGACAGTGCGAAAGACCGGTAATTACCGTGATATTGTTGCGGTCGACATGTAAGACGCGAAGAGAAGGGAGGGCAGAAAGATCAAGTGTTTCCAATTCATTGTTTGAAAGCTTTAGGATACTAAGAGACAGCGAGTACTGGCCTTCAGAAGGAGCAAAGGATGTTAAACGGTTGTGCTGAAGGTTCAGCGTATTGAGACTTGCGAGTTGTTCGCCGTTCTCGAACGCGACGATCTGGTTGTTCTCCAGGTCCAATTCTGTCAAGCGCTGCATCTTCGTGCCATCGAAATCGACATGTGTTATCAAGTTTCCTCTAGCGCGCAACACTTGCAAACTGTCATGGAATTTGATGCCGTCCAAGCTAGTGATCTGATTGTTGTCGGCGCGAAGGGTTCGTAGATGAACAAGGTCCTTGAATGCTGACAGGCTTTTAATCTGGTTGTTGGATACATCGACGTATTGAAGGTTCATGAGCTGTCTCCAGGCTGTCAACTCGGAGAGCGCGTTGTGCGTTATACGTAAGTTGCGCACGCTCTGCGGCACACCATCTAGGTGAGGGACCTTATTATTTGAGACATCCAATGTGACCAACGTTGTGCAGAACTCATCAAGCATGTGAAGGGTGTCCAGCTGTTTGTTGCTAAGGTCAAGCTCAGGCACCGTCTCCCAATCAGGTTCGAAAGGCTCGACTTCTGTTATTTTCTCAACGAGCGTCCGCACAGCCTTAGACATGGACTTTTTAGAGCCATCGCCCGTCATGAGGTACTGGTCACCCATGACGTAGCTTACCTCCAAAGCGCATGAAGTGTCCATTTGATGAACTGTGAACTCGGACATAGGACTTAAAGAGAATGTGCCGACGTACTGTCCAATGATTGGAGTTCCAAGCATGGCTGTGGCTCTGGCAGGATTCGGTGTCGCCATTACAACGCTCAATTCGGGGTTTCCCATATCTTCCTGTTCTGATGCAATGACAGCGGACTCATCGTGAATGCTAATCTGCTTTTGGTTGACCTCTTCGGTATGCCCCTCAGGAGGCGCATCTTCATCTCGCTCATCTATGCGTGAAACAGGTCTTGGAACAAAAGTATGCCCTTCAACAGAAACACTCTTTTGGACACCCCGCGATCGACTTCGAGAGGATGCCCTGGTAGCCATGGCACTGACAGATCTTCCCACCCTTACGTGTCTATTTCCCTTAATTGAATCAGCTGCAATGCTGCCAATTGAATGACCCAGATTAGATTCTTCCGAGTAACTGTCGTCATCAAAATCTCTTTGTGGAAGATCCTGAATTATGGAAGCAATCGGGGACGAAAAAGTGATTGTGAGATTCTTGGGGCGGGACGGGCTGGCTTTCTGTATTCGGTCTTCGTGCAGTGAGATTTCGTGCTCAATTTCCTCATCGTCTTCGACAGCGACCTCTGCGTTGGCTCCACCATCTTGTTTGGCCGAATGTTTTGAATTGAGGGATTCGTTTGCCGTATTGCTGGGTCTGGATGAAGTCCAGCTTAGCGAGTTATCGCATTCTGGCTCTTCACCGGGATTTGCCTGAGTTTTCCCGGCAGTCAAATCAAGATGCTTCCTTTCTTTCACTGTATCCACCGTCAAATCGGGAATGCTAGCAAATGGATCATCTTCACTGTCTTCAGAAGGAAGTATGTTCAAAGTTGGCCTCGGTGCCTTCACCTTCTGCCACATCTTATTCTTATCGTCAAATACCATGTTGCCTACCTGGTTGCCAATGAGCTGGGCAACCACATCTGGCGCGATAAGACGCCTCGAGTCTGATCCTCGAGAGGAGCTAGTAGGGGCAGACCGTCGCGTTGAGGCATTCGAAGATTGGCTCTTATGAGAAGGGAATTCTGTAGGGTTCCTGCTTGCTTCTGGCTGATCTGGGTTACGAGAGATTCTAACATTCGGAATATCGCTGATAACGCCATCTTCATCGTAAACTTGGTCTGACTGAATCGACTGATCATTGATCTGCAAGTTTTTCATGGACCGCAGTGATTGGCTAAGGATATCATCGAGATCGCCTTGCTCTTCGTACTTTTTAAGCCGGTTCACAAGTTCTGGGTCTTCTTGTCGCACTGGTAACCTCGCGATAGGCCGCCCATCCCTGCTAGGCGGCCGCGAAAAAGGCTCTCGTGTCGACTCTTCAAAAGAAGCTTCGCTCATAACCGAATCATTAAGAGCAGGTCGATGCGAACTCTCAGCCTCTGATTCCTCAACACTCGCTAACCCAGTTGCAGGTCGTGCTTTATTTCTTATCATCGCCATCACTTCCTCGGCTGCATCGTAAAAATCTTGGGTTTTCATCGATGTTTTACGAGAAGCATTGATACCAGTGTCTTCTGCGTGGTGTTCAGACATGAGATCTTTAGCTGATCCATGAACTGGATTGAAGTTAAGCTCAGCTAGTGGTTGTCTGTCACGGGCCTCTGAGGCTCTCTGGTTCGGGGTTGGGGATCTAGGCCGTAGAATATGTGCGCTTTGAACGTTTGGATCAACGAGTTCTGGTATTTCAGCCTGGTGTATTTGCTTGCGATCTTCCGTGATCACCGACTGCATAGTGTAATGCGATGATTTTACTGTTTCTATAGCTGCACGCCAATTCTCAATGCCGTATGCGATATCTGATCGGTGTAATGTCCTCCGTCTTTTCGGTGTTGGGTCCTTTGAAGGCGATGTTCGTGGTCGTTTCCCTTCTGAACCATCGCGCTGAGTAATCGGTAGATGCAGAGAGCCCAGTCCACCCGGTCCTGTCGACATTCTTGAGCGTAACCCATCCCATGACTTAGAAACGCGAATGTGGCGAGCAGAAGACCAGGAGCGAGTCACTTTGCCTCGGGTTCGCCCAATAAATAGAGACTCCTGTTCTGATGGCATATCCTCATGTATATCAAACTTGAAAGTGTAGTCTGAAGCTACTCGGCTGCGCGGTGGTGCCACATTCTCCTTCTCTTCCGAATGAGAATGCATACTAGAGGCTAGAGAGATGTCTCCTTCGAACTCATACTGATCGAGTTCGCCAGCCCCAAATCTATTAACTGTATCGAAGACATCCTGATGATTAGAGGCAACGCGAGTCGCATTCTTCTGTGCCGGGTTGGAGGAACTGGAGACCTTATTTTGTGGTTTGGACTCAGTGTCCAGCGGTGGTAGTGATCCAGTGGTCTCATCCGCGGCATATGACATGCTATTATGATTGCTTTGCTGATCCTCAAATTGACTAATCCGCCGTAGGAGAGTCTGATTGGTGAATGTGTCGTAGGGGCCGAATAATTTTAACGGGCTTGAAGTCTTGACCGAGGTGGGCTGTGGCCGTTTCTCTGGACTTGGATGAGGAGCACGGGGCAACGATGGGCTGGGTGGTGATGCCAGGTTTTGGTTATAACCTGCGGATGCAAATCTCTCGGTCCTAACGGTAGGGAATTGCTTGGGGGTGCTAGCTTGAAGTGAAGACTCTGGAAGCATATCTGAAGTGTCCATATTGATGGGAGGGCTGAGCGGACGCCGACGGAACGAGCCGTCAATAGAGCGTTCTCCTCTTTGGAGATTTAGAAAACCACCATTCCTGGCAAAGTCTTCCGTGTTTTCAATAATTCCAGCTCCACTGCTGACATCGGCCACCTGACCCGAATCCATATCGGGTTCGGGGTCTAATATCATTTGATTCCTCCTTAAATTTTCAAGCTTCTTTCGTAGTTGCTGCGCTGGAAGTTCCATGGGCGAGAAAGATACTCTGCCTCCCTCCGAACTATGGCGGGCAATAAGTATAGGGCTAAAGTCCTCATTTCTGGTATCACTCTGGCCACTAATCTTCCGTGATTCGTCTAGTAATTGCCTTCTTCTGAAGGATATTGCGGAACTTTCAGGTTCACCATCGAGTTTCGTTTCTAATTCGTCGAGATCCTCTCCTTCTATCGGTGCCGTATCGCCACTAGAGATACCGGCATCGTCGTCGGCCGTCGATCGAAAGAAAACTGGCTTGGGGAGGCTCATATTGTGTTGAATAGAGGTCTCATAGCTATCCTGTTCGAAAATTTCATCGTTTTCATCGATAAGGTTTTGATTACCCAAGTATGGCGGCGGGCTCGATGGTAAGGTAGTTTCGTTTATGGTATGGCCCTCGGTCTCGCCCGGGGCAGTATTGTGGGCACCTGATGGTTGTGGTGGTCGGAAAATGTTCTCCAGCCCAGTGGCGGCTGAGCTAAAGAGATCCTTAGATTCGCCATAATCCAACTCTCCATATATCAACCTCTTTTTCCACTCTGGCTCGTTTTCGCGGTCCTTGGATGGCGATGCGCTATGCGACTTGGTTTGTAAGACGGAGTTGTGTATGACAGAGCCGGCAGTGGAAGCTGAGGAGGATCGACTGAAGTGTCGTCCACGGTAGGAGGCCTTGTTTTCTTGTGACAGCCTCGAGGGCTTCAGTTGTGCAGCCCTAATGTTGATATCGTTTGGATTTCGCTCGCTAAGGACACTGGGACTGCTGGGAAGGGGATGATGCTGTTGTCGCTTGATGCCGGGGGGGTTCGCACCATTAAATCGCGGGATGCGACTAGCACGATCCCGGGAATTCTCGGGCATGGAGGAGACAGGAGGACTCGAGGGTGATGGGAGTTGCGCTTGAGATGTGTCGGAGCTTGGCTGGGAGACCCAATCCTCGGACAAGGAATCTAGCCAGGCGTGTTGCGCCATCGTGTACAGAATGGGCTTTCGGTCGCTGAGTGAGTACACGGTGTTTTAGGACGTCTGTATACCATCCATCAAGGCGCACAATTCCTGGAAGTAAGTGTTATTTCGCAAGGGTGAGGTAAGGTATAATGTTGAGGAGTAATGATTCCAAAGTCGAGAACTGATGGCGTAGCGTGTCGCAATGTTTACAGCAGGTAGTAATGTGGGGGGTGTTCAGCTAGTAGGGAGGGACAGTAGTGTACTGTATGTAAGTTTGAACAAGGTTCTTTCTTGTACCTAGTGATGCAACCAGAGAGAGAAAACCGCTTTTAAACTGTGTATATTGCCATAGAATTTGTTGAAAGCGCAGTGAAGCAATAATTCCACGCGTATTCAAGATCGAAGCGGCCCTGGGGTAACCAGATCGATCGCATGCATCCCAACCATTAATTGAGGTCACGTTTGACAAGGTGGGAAGGTGTGTTGGGTGGAGGTACAAAGGTACCTGCTTCCTGCATGGAAGTGGCATTCTGGACGCGAAGCTAGTGCTTAGCATTGTTTGAAACATTGGTCTGCCGGTTTCCCGGGCAACTACGCCAACCCCCAGTCATCTCATTGCAGTTGCATTGTAACTGCCCCGCCCTGGATATTAAGGTTACTTCAGTAATAGGAAGCCACGCTCGCCTCAGCCACATGAGCGCAAGCCACCCGGACCAGAGCAGGCGGAATGCCACTAGACCATATCAGTCTTCAATTTACGCGTCCGTCGCGTCTTTCCCTCTATTCTCGTGTCCAGCTGAAGCTCAGGTCTGGAAAAGGAAAAGGGAGGAAAAGGGACCAACAGGTGCAAGTGGAGCATCCGCAGACCCCAGCAACCAACTCCGACATACCTACTACGTACAGGAACGGAGTTTGATAATAAGCTTTGGAAGTTGTAGCGACGTCGACCAAATACTTACCTACCTACCTACCTACCTACTTACCTAACCACTGACCTTGTTGGCCTGCCGTCGAACACTTTGTCGTCCCTGCCCCACATTGCCTGCCTGACCCAACAAACACTACAATCCCACAGCGCCAACCATCTTCAGCTCGAATTGTTGGTATTCCTTCCGGGACATGTAGGCAGCACCCGAAACAACGTGGTAGGCGATTCAAGGAGATCATCGGAATTATATCAACACAGCTATGGCCGGATGCGCCCGCGACGTCGACCTGTGGGGACAGGCTTGCCCGGGCAACGAACCTATTTACTGCGGCGGACTATCTTTCACAGATTCAGATACTTACATATACCCTCCATCCGACGATGAAAAGGACGAAGCAAGTAGACTTGCAAGAATCCAGCGCTATGAAGAGTGTGGCCGCCGATATCTGCAAGGCAAACCCCTTTCCATTCTCTCAGCCTCTCTCCGCGGTCCTTTCGACAAAGCTTCAGGATGGCAAAACCCTTGGCTTCCCAAAGTGCCCTCAGAGCATGCACAACGAAAACTCGTACATCAATCCCAGCCGTCGGCGGCCTCATCAATAACCCAACACGAGAATAGCATACAGGCCGAGAGTCTGTCGACTGAGGAAGATGGAACCATCCAAAATGGAGGGGTGGGCGACTCTATGGAATGCCACTTGCCAAGCCCACAAAGCCATCAAGACCTCCAGTTCCATAATAGTCCATCACATCACGAAAGACGTTCTCGAATAGAATCATGGGCCAATGATATTCATCCAGTTGCTCTTGAGAAAGATAAATTCTGGGCACCAGGCTATGACTCTATAGATCGGGATGCTGAGCCATCTCAGAAGCGTCCAGCGGGTAAAGAGTGGCTGAAGCGGCGTCCGGCAAAGAAGAGAAGGCTCCCATCTTCTCAGAGTACAGGAGCCGCATCCACTCCAACCCCAACACCAACGGCGCGGTTAAGAGCTAAGAGAAACAAGGCTTCGGTATTTGAAAACAGACCAGCAAACCGCAGTTTTGAAATGACCACACCGTCCTCAAGCCCTGACCGCGGGCCAAGGGACTCTCCGAGCGCATCAGAGCGCCAACCATTGGGCTCAAGGGAGGAACATGGACGCCTAGCTTCTTCGAATAAGCCCATTGGGGGTACTGACATATCTGCTGAGCCAGCCGCATCACCCAGGCAAGAACAAGCGGAAGAAGAGAGGCGTAAGGAAGACAACGATGAAGTCGAACAGGATATTGAAGCAGAAGCTAAAAGACCAGATCCAGTTGAAGACAACAATCAGGGCCAGTCTCCAAAGCAGACGTGTCAAAATAATGAAGAATTCAAAGAAAACGGCGACTTTGAAGATTGTGCTGATGACAGCTTTTATTATCGAGCCCGGCAGATGAAGCAGCCCACGTCTCCACGAATATCTGATATAACGGCTGCTGATTGCTCGATGAAGCACATAGAATCCAAAACGCCTTCACCACCTGAACAGGAGATTGCCGTCATTTTGTCGCCGGGAACCCATACTCAAGGTTCCAGTCACGTCACGCCATACGAGCAATCAAATGCCAACGATATAGAGCATATAATGCAGCCGAATAGGAATCCCAGTTCCATCGCAATTAACGACGAGTCGGGCCATATTGCAGTTTCAACCCTTCAATCAAATACGAACGAATTTCAATTTCACGAGGCAATGTTTAAGAATTGCGCTGTTCAAGTTCTAACTTCGGATGCGGGCGATGCTTTAACTGTCGGTATACGTCAACCGCTAGGCGATATAACAACAAATAAACACGCTTCCCGGCTGAACGCTCGAGATAACATACCACAGACTGTTTCCAAAGCGAACGAGGCGCGGGGCATAACCCCCGAGCCATTCTTTGACGAGGGTGTTACCCTTATAGGCGAGACAATGGATATGGACGAGCCAGGAGCTATTGAAGCTCCTCAGACAGACATAGAGCAGCATTTCTGTCCTGACTTTGACCTCCTTGCACACTATGCAATTTCAGCCACCGATCTTGCCAACGCCAACCAGCTATCCTATTCTCATGACATCACATCCCTGAGTGGAACAAAGGATGTTGCAAACCTTGCTATGGCCATTGCACCCCAACAAGAGCCAGCTGAGTTGCACTCGATAACTACTGAGCCTTGTGAAAGCCCACCGGTAGAAATGACAGATTCAGCCGATGCTACTGAAGTCACCTTAAGCCATCTTAACGAGGACTTAACTCTTGTTGTGACCGACAATGAGAGCACTCCACCTGAACAACAGAGCCCCTGGACGTCTCCTAGCAAGACAAATATCCAAATTCCCAATGCTAATACGGGACAGGACGGGGGCAAGCTTGAGAAGTCGCCAGCACAGCCTGTTGTCAAGATGTTTGATTCCCCGGCATTGATGAGTGATTCCCCTGCGATTCATCCATCTCAACAGAGCCCTTGGGCTGCGGAGACCAACGAACTAACGAACGCACCAGATGTACAGGGAGCTATAGATGTAGAAACGGCGCTTATCATGAACGTCGAAACACCTGTTAAACCCCTGAGTCCACCACTGCCAGGGCATCAAAATGTCTGGGCTGCCTCTCCGTCAGCTATTCCGCCTATTTTAAGCAACCTATGTCAAATGTCCCCCGAGCCCCAGTTTCTTGAATCAACCGTTGGAGAGGAAGCACCTATTCTGAAAGGGTATCCCAAGACTCCTATCCCGCAGATTCCACGTCAATCAACACCGGATGGCGAAGTATCGATCCGATCTTTTTCCAATTTCAACTTTCCTTCACCACGGCAGCCATCATCTTGTCCTCCGAGTGTATCTGCATGTCGAGGTATACTCCGCAGCAAGAAGTCATTGACAAGCAATAAGACCGCTCGACGGGTATCATTTGCATTTGAACAAGAGGGCGATGGTTACGAATTATCTACAAATTTGAGAGCACCTTCTCCCCCGCCCCCGGCGATAGTTGATCTTGAGGAAGACACTGTCGACGGAAGATATCGGAAACACTTTGATGTCATGAATCGTCGCCTGAGTACCAGCCAAGGAATGACACCAAGATGTCAGCGGCGCTTATTGCCTAATGCCTCGCAACGGGAACCTGAGAGTCCACAGGCTGATGCCATGGCGGAGGCATTTAGACGGGCTGATGCGGATGCTACAAGGGGAGCATATTATATGGATAACGTTGCAAAAGGCAAGAAGGCTGAGGAAAAGGAAAATGAACATCCCGGACAGAATCATGATGGTGATGAGAGGCCCCAATCGCCCTGGCAGAAAACCACTGCTGGCGTCGACGATGATGATGTCGCTGCTGTCATGGGGAATTTGAATGAGTTCCTGGATGTATGGGATGTCGATAAGGAAATGGATAGGAATAGAAATGAGCTTGGGATTGAGATTGGTGGTCATGAAATGGGAATGGATATGGGGAGACGGGATGAAGTACGGTTGAATGACGATGTGGGTGCTTTAACTGGGGATGGGATTTGGTAAGGAGAATGAGTGAAAGGAGTATGCATGGTCTGGCGTGGTATAGCATTTGATACCCGGGCTCTTTGCTTTTTTTCCTTTTATTGTGTATTGGAGTGGTATGGTTTTATGAGGATTTGCTGGAATGAAAGTATTGCTTGAAAGGCGGTTTGATAACTCGAGGGAGGGAGGGAGCTGGAAGGGAGAGGATGGGGATAGATCATGGTATACATAGTTACCTTCGAAGTCAGATGGGGCGCAAATATTTGCTGTGAGTGAAATACATATGTGCTTAGTTAGGTTGAAGTACTATTGGCTAGGCATATTGCTTTCAAAGGCTCGATGGAAGCGTGGATTATATTAGTGACCTGTCTACGGAGTATATATCTACCCGTTTGTCTAACTATCTATGTATATGGATATCATCTTAAGACTTAGCGTTGTTCTGGCAAGTAAGTATGTATGTATGTATGGGAGTGTGTAAATGTGCATTTGATCAGCTGTGCATCATTTATTTATCCCTTAAGTGGCGGTCAATATCGCCTTCAACATATTATGAAGTCGTTCGCGCAGATAAATCAACGAGTGAGTGAGAGTGAGAGTGGACGAAATATTCGGGTGGTAAGTATGTATGCATCCATACGTAAGATACAATACAATAGAAAGAATAAAATAAAATAAAAAGAGAGATCTCGATCACATAGTTATGGATTATGGGTTATACCGCGAAGTTTTTTTTAATTACAGTTTGGTAGTTACGTTTTTGCTGAGGAGGCATTATTTCAAACTTATTTACTGCTGTGTCTTGTTTGGTATTTCCTGTAACTGGCAATGTCCAATTCATGCTGATAACTTCAATCTCAAAACAAGACTTGAACAGGTCTTTATTTGATTCATTCCTAGATGGTTGAAATAGAGTTAATTAATGAGTATTAGATAATGGCATATATTGTCTCATCGCCCGAGTTGTCCGTTATCAGCAACTGACTGACTGATTGCCCTTCGTTAACCCAATTCTTATTATTACTTGGTTGATGACGAAGGATATAGTTTCTGGCTTTTCTATCAAAATCATATTTCTGGTTTCCAGACTGAAGTATGTTTTCTTTTTTTCCACAGACTAAAGATCGATCTGTGTTGCGCATCTGTTACCTTGTTCAATACAGCCTTGGTGCATAAGCAGGTTGCAGCGATGACCTCAGATACCGACTCATGATTCTTGGTCAACTGCTTGCTTGCTAGCTAGCTAGCTAGCCTGACCCGACCTGACCAGACTGAATCCACACTTGTCTGGCGAGCATTGCCAAGTATCCTTTATACTGGGAATTTGTCACACAGGTTTCTCGAATAATCCATGGTCGAATTCAGCCTGCGCCAGATGGCTCACTCAGTCTTGTAAAGTTACAAATTATACTAGAAGATGTCCATTGCAGCTGGACTAGCAATGTAGACTGTGATGCAGGATGCAGCCTGTCAAGGCAAATCCTGGTCACCTGAAACCTGTCAGGTAGAATAACCTAAGTAATGTGAGGCGTGTCCACGTGAGTGGTCACTAGACTCACTAGGTAAGAGCGGAGCGGACAAGAACCACCGTAGGCATTTCTCTCGGGATGAGCCTGGTCCGAGACCATGGTACGGAGCAAATGGGGAAGGGAGAGGCGCGCCTTTTTTTTCATCTTCGGCGCATAGGATGACGTCTGTGGTGCTGTCCTAGCGGCGACGATCGGTATGGAGCTCGGCATACGGGGCGTTGCTCAGGGGCGGGCAGAGGCGGGCAAATGGCTCCGTAGGCTCTGGCTGTCCTACAATTGAATATCGCTAGTCCTGGCCGGCTGGGGGGAACTACTGTACGCCTTTATGCAGGTGAAATGTCACGCTTGCGGCTCTCTGTCCTATTGGGCTGGACTTGAAAATCCATTTGTGAATTTGGCCTGGTTACTAACGAAGCGATTACATAAACTTTCCCGCAACATGTCTTGGAATAAGAGAGGGGTTCTAGGCTCGTCTTTTGGAGGAAGGTCGGTCCTTTTGATAGTTCAATGCCCGCCCCCAGCTCGGTTATAGGTGCTTGGGCTAGCGAATGTGTTGACCCCAACCCGCAGTCAGCCCCAACCTGTATTAATGCCACATTGTTACATGGCATTTAAAACAGCGAGGAGAAGATGGGCTGGAAGATTCTGTCGTGCGGAGTGCAACATACATGTACACCTTCACCGTTCTGTTTCCGGTAATTCTGGCGGAATGGCACGCAGACAAGCTTAGTGTAACTTGCTACTACACGAACTGTACACGACCAGGACAGAGAAGAAGCGGGTAGATAGTAGGCAATTAGTAGGCAGCTTGGTGTCGATACCTACTGAGTACGGAATGGAAGATAGCTAGGTAGCATCCAATGAGGCGTGGTGCGTGGATTGGGGTTGAATCATAGTATTCGTCGTATACTTATCGATTGGACTATTAGCGGCGCCGAGCGGGACGGGCTCTTCCAGAATGGCGATGATCTTCGAAGGCGTTCTGCACATTTCAGCCAGCGGTGTAGTTCTGTAGTCAGCATTACGCTACAGGATGATTGATTGTAGATTGAACGTAATTGGTAGGCGACGACCAGAGCGATGACTGAATCGGTAAATAGTCAGACCTTCCTAAAGCCGTGGCGAGCGTGGGAATGTGTTAGTCGAGACCCTGCGTGTGAATCCCTGTAGCTTGGTGTTCTAGACCTCGGCCGCCGCATGGCAATCAAGGCAACGATGCATCATTCCCATGATTGATCCGCACCCTTGAATGGAGGTTTAATCTCACGGCATCTTTCATCGAGCATCTGGTTGATGGTCAGATACCCGTTTACCCATTAGGGGAGACACAGCCGAGCACCCCCAAGTTCGGATATGCCCACTACTGCAGGGTTACCTCCTCAGTACGTAGGCAGGTACTAGATGTTGTGTAATTTAGAATTATATAGCTAGTTGGCGTGAAGAAAACCGACTTTCTACCATTTTGGAGAGGGGTGATGGGGCGCAAGTGACCGAGAATGAGGATAAAAAGAAGGGTAGGTATCGTGTTAATACAAAATCGTGAGAATGACGTCAAGATGATGCGACCAGCACGCGATTCAAGCAGCATGAGAACAGACCACAGACCCTAAAGGGCTGCATGTATGTAGTGTAATGTGTGTAATACGAGTACCGAAGTACCGAGAATATGTAGCGGTGGGTAGGTCTTCTCCTCGGTCCTTTACATGAAGGGAGGCGAGAGGTGGGTAGGTTTATGTCAGATTGGAACACCTAGGCTATGAAAGAGGTAGGTAGCAACACTACCTCTGAGTAGAGGTGATGAGAATCTCGCCCTCATATTTGTACACCTCAAAAGGAGAGTAGGAGATATCAGCTTACATACGCTGCACGCATAGTATAAAGTAAGATAACGTAGGGTATAGTGATGTCGTACCCGTCTAGTCTATCGGTAGTTTTGGCAGAAAATGACAGAATATTGGAAATAGATGGCTTTGAGCATGTTCCATCTACTACGTACTGTCCCTTGACGGCCTAGACCATTCCGTCTCATGTTTGGTCATGTCTTGATGACCGTGACAAGACGGCAGAAAGCAACGGGCTCTGCAATGGATATCTCTAATTTAGCATTCTTAAATCACAGGACGAAATGTGCTTGTTTCTAAATGCCAGGTAATTTTCCCATGTCAGGTTTCCGATTCAAGGCATAACCCAGATCCTAGCATAACCTATTGTGTACAGAAACAGACATCAGCTCCAGCACACTAGCCCTGAATCTGCCCTGAAATCACGAAATGCAAGATCTGCCAAGCATACCAGACCGGAAAAGAAAACGACGGAGAACGCAATGGATCAAGAACCTACCACATTAAGTGCTCGCCTTACTTACTTAAGTAGATCTCTTAGCGAGCATCAGCATGGCATGTCTCCCCATGTACCGTACTCTGTTCTAGAAGAAAGCTCTGACAACGCTATATGCAAGTAAGTAGAATGCCGAGCAAGAAAGCGATAGGTAAGCTTGGAGACCATTGGAGACCGTTGGTCTGTGCTGGTTTCTGCTAGACAGACTCGACCAGACTCGAGCAAAAACCGAAACATGCAACTATCATACGAGGGGCGGAGACGAGAGGAGACACGATGCCCAGAACACGCTGGCATCAGTGCACTAGGTACCTACCTAGGTAGCACTGCTAGTGGATTAGCACGCCGCGCTAGCCCTAATAGGGGACCTGCCGAATCAGGTTCGGCAAGGGCAGCTGGCAGGAGCGGAGGGGACCAGAGCGGTGGGGCCTATGACGTAGACACTGTTGCGCCACTAGGACGGTACTGTCTGGAACAAGTCAAGTGCGATCCGGTGGCAAGTACTGTATACCTACAGTAAGGAGACTTACCTTCCTCCGCATTCTGCTGAGGACATTCATCCCAACCTTGAGCGCCGCAACGCTGCTACAACATCTTCGTCAACTGAGAAAACAAAAGAAAGAGAAAGAAACTACAAAACTTGCAGGTGTCTATTCCATCATTGCAGGTTTCTCTACTACCGGTATCCTCTGAGCTGGTGACGCGGTCAGATGCAGTGGTCTTGCCTTGCTTGCCCGAGGACGGCGAATGTAGATCAGAAATGTAGCAGAGCAATAACCTCAATCTCGACTAAGGTAGAAGATCGATGGCTAGTCTCGGATACAGGAGAAGAAGAAGCCATTGGCCGGCATATTGAGGCTCTATATACAGACTCTTCACTTTACTTGCATGCGCACAAACAATTATCTGCCTCCGGCCTCCAACTTGAAGGGCAGTCCAGAGACAGTCTCAGAGGTATGCTACTGGCAGATACTGGATACATACTTAAGTACAGAACATGTACTTACTGTAGGAATCGACATCCGACTTGCCATTAATAGCACAGATCAGCATCGAGATGCACACTACGTGAAAATTGTATTTGGTTTTGGATATGGATTTGGCTTCAGACAAACCCAGCCGAGCCATCATACCTACCGACATAGAGGGAGGCTCGTGCTGCACGTGCTCTGTGCAGACTCTGTAACATGCTACCTACCTACAATTACCAGATTCCACGAGATAACTGGAGGGTAAGTCTGTGTTTGCACACAATACTTGGCGTGTAGTACCTGTTTCCGAAGAGGGTTGCCGAATATAGCCAAAAACAAACTGGAAATACGCACAATTGTAAGTGCAAGTCTAGGGTACTACAGTGTCCATTGTACAATGTCACTATCAGTCGCCAACATCCGCTATTTCGTCATCCAGAGCCTAGGTATCCTACTTGAGGCGGTATGTAGGTAATACTTATGCACTATAATCTCTGCTTACAGATCTGAACTAGCATAGTACATCTACTGTGCACCGCCAGAATTGACCTTTATTTTTTTCTGGGAATCCTGACGTCGTTATTCTTTATATAGCGTTTTTTTTTTCTCTTCACATGAAAAAGGGAGCCATGGTCGCTAGTACTTATCCAGAACACAATCTCGACAGTCAATAAAAGAAATGGCTACATGCAGAATCAAGAGCATGATTCACTCAATGGCAAGATTTTCCCGGCTGATACAAACAACTAAGTAACTGCCTACCTGCTGTACTTACTTACTAGGTATACTTATCAGTATCCAGCAAGCCGTAAGGATTGCTCACATCGTTTGCATCTTTTCACGGTATAGCGTCATCAGACTGCTGATCATTGCCACACACGACCACACACGACCAACCCCTCTGGGGCTTCTGGATAGGGTCCAGATGCTCTTTTGGACTTTTGGAGTCTTGGCCCATCCTCCCAGACCCTCTCCGGACCCTCTCCAGACCCTCCAGAGACCCTCCAGTGTCTCGCGCGAGACCCCCAATTTCCCCCATCGCCTCTGATCGTCCCAAGCTTCCCACTTCCCATCTTGCCCTAACAAGTAAAACCCCAGTACGGCCTACAATAATAATAACGTGTACACGACGATGGCGCTATCGGCTTTACGAAGAAAACTCGTCCACGGCTAACCTCCTCTGCCTGCCCTCTGATCCGTTGTGCGCTGCCCGGTACCTACATACTTACATAGTACTTAGAGTAGTGCACGAGACACTACCGCAGAGCAGAGAGACAGACTACCGCTACCGCTACTACTCCGACGCGGCGCTAAGCTCACACAGTCGTCGTGGGGCATGATCGTCGTGGTCTGGAAACATTCCACCCTCCAACTCGCAGCACCCTCGACACACACACAAAACTACACCGACCCCCCCTGGATCCTGTCGAGCTGTGTCCTCTGAAAGCATAGGACCGGCGACTATCATTGCTTCCCCTCTTCCCACTGCTTGCCCCATTCTTCCAAGTGTGAAAGGACATCGACTGGGAGAAAGAGCTGTGCTCTTGTCCTTTATTAGCTTCTTCTGCCCAACTTGAAGTTATAGTCTTACTTATAGTTGTTGTGCTTTCTTGCGCCTGGCCGCCGTTGCCGTTGCCGTTCCCGCTCCCGCTCCCGCTACTCGTGCCTCGTGCTTCTGGTTCTACCGTTCCTAAACTGCTACTGAGCCCGGTACATGAAGGAGGATTCTAGAAAAAGGCCGTGCCGAGTCGGGTTGTATCAAAGGTTGCGTAGAAACGGCGGTGCTTCCAAAAAAGAAACCTTCCCTACTCAGCAGCAATTAGGTAGCTAGCTGCCTGGCCTGAGGCCTACATTCCTATCTTAACAAATTGATCCACGCCCACATCGACCAATCTCATAAGGCATTTGTTGTTCTTGTTGTTATTGCCACTGCTGCTGTTGCTTGTCCAGACTTCTACACCCCGTTCTCTTCTATTCAGATCTCACCTTCATCATGTCGAATCTTTAAAGCTCATTTAGTGGCAGTTTATGGGATATACCCTGGACATCGATACGACGTGACAGCCACACTTCTCGGACGAGTATAGAGAAACTTAGAGAGAGCGAAAGAGACGCAAGGAGATTTTGCGTCACGGAAAACGTTAGGCACGACGTCATACGCTACGATGGCGCCAGATGCGACGAGAAGTAACGACCGCTTGGCAGGTTCACAACATTTCACAATGAAGACTTCGGGGAGACCAACACTGGTCACCTCTCATTCTCACCATGGAGGACACACATCACGCCACATGCAGGCAAATATGCAGTCATTCCGCTCAAACCGCACCTCGACTCCTACGGCCTCGCCTCGCATGCCTCATTCTGTCGGCCAACCTTACCCTCCGAGCGTAAAAGTGTCGCCCAACCTGGTTTCCGATGGCCGCACACCAAGCCCTAATTATTTCGGCCTGAGCCTAGACAAACACGGTGACATTGGCGACTCTGCTGATGCCAACGTGCAAAACAACTGGAGCCCTCATAGCTCGTCTGTCAAGCCGTTCGGTGCTGCCATACCTAAACAAGTACCTTTGGATGCTAATCCAGAATTCGAGGCCTTCAGACGTCAAATTGATGCCAACAAAATGAATGGTTTCAACTTAAATGGTTCCTACTTCTCGCCTACTTCATCCCGCCCGCCCGCTTTCCGCCGACCCACTAACCAGAGCGATGCCGTGTCCGACGCTTCGATATCAAAACCCATGGATACCAAGTCCCGGGATCTGATGGGAAACCAGGCAGATGTCGATGGAGATAGCCTCCACGATTCTGCCTACGTATCGTCGGACTCGAAACGGAATTCCGAAATCTCTTTACATGCGCCATCCTTACATATGCCCCGATTCGAGTCACCTGTGACCGCTAGTTCTCCTTTTGAGCCGATGCGTAGAGGAACCCTGTCGAAAGGAGACGACCGGCAATCTAGGCTTTCGCTACCCCATAACAAAGTTGAAGCAATGATGGAAGGCGGAGTCAAACCACGATCTGAGACACAGCCGCCGTCTTTTGAACCCGCAGCACCCGGTCTGTTACTACCTAGCGAACTCAAGAGCCTGATGCAAGACACGCCAGAGAACGACTTGCTGTTGTTGGATGTACGTGTCGCAACGCTTTATGCCAAGTCCCGTATTCGTGGTGCCCTCAATCTATGTATCCCTACGACGCTTTTGAAACGAGCTACCTTCAACCTCGATAAACTCCAGAATACCTTACAAACAGAAGAAGATCAGGCCAAATTTTCTGGTTGGGCTGAGGCAAAATACTTAATCATCTACGATAACGCATCTTGTGAAAAACGCGATGCCGCAGCCGCAATGAACATGTTCAAAAAATTCATGAACGAGGGTTTCACAGGTCGCTCGTGCTTGTTAAAGGGGGGTTTCCAGGCATTCGCCGCTGCCTTTCCATCCTGCATCGACTACCAATCTGCAGCTGAACGGGGTGGAACATCGACTGTTTCAACCCAAGGTGGTCGGCCGAGCTTTGCTCCGGTCATCGGCGGTGTGGCGCTTCCGGCGACTGCTAATAATCCAAATCCTTTTTTCAGTAACATTCGACAGAACATGGACTTGGCCGACGGTGTTGGGCAAATGGACATTTCGGTTCCATCAAACCTGGACTCGAGCGTGTTACCAGAATGGCTTCGAGAAGCTACTCAGAAAGCCGATCATGGGAAGAAGGTATCAGAACGCTTTCTCAATATTGAACGTAATGAACAAGCTCGCATGAGGGATGCGTACGCGGCTTTCAACACGGCGATTCCTTCGAGCTTGAAACCTGGAAAAGTACAGTTATGCGGTGTGGAAAAGGGGGGTAAGAACAGGTACAAGGACATTCTCCCGTTTGAGCATGCTCGTGTTCGCTTGGAAAATGTCGGAGCAGGATCTTGTGACTACATCAATGCCAGCCATATTCAAGCCTCTCGAAGTCATAAGCGTTATATCGCTGCGCAAGGCCCGTTGCCTGCGACGTTTGAGGTTTGTCAATGATTGTGAGTGATTTTGCATGAAACACGCTGACTGTCATGTCCTAGGATTTCTGGTCTGTGGTATGGGACCAAGACGTTCGTGTCGTGGTCATGTTGACAGCTGAGCAAGAGGGTGGCCAGCTCAAATGCCACCCTTATTGGCAAGGAAGGGAATTTGGTCCGATCAAATTGAAGCCATTATCTGAGAAGAAGGTTTCTCTTGATATTGACAAGCACTCATCAAACCCTGCACCTGCATCATCTTCTGTAGGCAATGCTGAGTTTGGTCGCCGACGTGCTAACACAACGACAACTCTCGACCCTTCGTCTAATGGTGCCCAGGCTCAGAGTGACTCACATTATGTGATTATTCGAAAATTCGCTTTATCCCACGCTGCCCACCCCTTTGAACCGATGCGCGAGATTACCCATCTCCATTATCCCTCATGGCCGGACTTCGGTACCCCTGCTCAACCCTCTCACCTCTTGGCGCTTGTGGAATTGGCGAATGTAATGCAAAGGTCTGCGCTTCCTGTGGATTCCAAAGCGGTCACTGCCTCGGTCAACGCAGAGCATCCGGCCACGATGAGCTGGTGCGAAGAACCAGAATCGGAGGCAAAGGCCCGACCCCTGTTGGTGCATTGTTCGGCCGGCTGCGGTCGCACCGGAGCATTCTGTACCGTTGATAGCGTGATTGACATGCTGAAGAGGCAACGGCTTGCTTCCCTCGCTAACAGAGCGCGGCGGGATACGGACGGAGATGTGTCCATGGAAGACAGAACATACTCGCCGAAGAAGGCCAAGCATAGCAACTGGCCCGATGAGTATTATTCGGGGAATTTCAAAGGTATCGATGCCGGTTGGGTTGGCGATACCCATCTGGACTTGATTGCGACTACCGTCGAGGATTTCCGAAAACAGAGACTTAGTATGGTACAAAGTTTACGACAGTATGTTCTCTGCTATGAGAGTATTACGGAGTGGGTTTGGAGATTACAGGAGAAGAACGCTGGTGGTGCGAATAATCGGGGTCGAATTAGGAGTGGGAGTCTTCAGGGCCCTAGGTGATACCAACTTGTTGGGTTTGTGTTGGATTTTTTGAGAGCGAATCTGTGGGTTTCGCGGAGGACAAAACCGACAGCCTCTAGGATTCGATCCGTCGACGGTGGCAAATCGACAAAGATGACTCAGCTCCCTCTCTGTGTCATGAGAGACATACATACAATTGAGAAAAGGACAGGACAGGACAGGCGTCAAAGATGGTTTTCTTACTCTATTTATCTCTTTGCATCCATCCATCCATCCCATACTTGGATTCAAGGCAGAAGGGAAACTGGCATCGCAGGCGTTTCAAAGGGGGGGCCGGGGGAAACGAGGAGGAAAGGTGTTCTTTTTATCTTTATTTTTACGTGATTTCAGACGGGTTAGCCCTCCCTCCCGCTTTTCAGCAACGAAAAACGAGCGGTTTATTCTTTATTATTATTATTATTGTTATTTTAGGTTGGGGGGCATATTAATTAGACGGACAACGTGACGCGATGCAACGCGATACGAACGAACACTATATATATATACCTATTTATATATTTTCATATTGAGACTCGTGTGTTGTGCGCGTGGATAAGCTCGTTCCAAGACAACTGTTTGTTCCAGCCCGCTTCGGGTCATCTCATGTTGGGGCCTGCTGCCACTTCTTCCTTTCCTCATCCGACCAAGTAACACTGATCCTCTGGGGCACATGATCCCCTTTCAACCCCGTCTCCCCCTTCGCCTGGCCCTTCAACAGGACCTTGACCAAGCCAGCGGGGTTCTTGTCCAGTATGCCGATCCCCCGCCCGGTCTTCTTGTCCATGATCCACCGCTCGGCGCCGATGGAAACGTCGTAATCACTCCCTCTCACCGGATCGCCCATGACGTTGCAGATGAAGCTCGGCACGTAGAGAACGTCGTGCAGGACGACTTTGGAATTCTTCGGGCCGACGGCCCGCTTTGACGTGGCCCCGATTACTCTGCGGACCTCGAGCTCGACTGTGCCTGTGCCTTCTACTGTGTATGGAGCGCTGCTATCGTGTGTGTTACTGGTGATGCGGGACGTCAAGGGTGTGAATGAGCCTGGTGTGAACCACGCTTGGTCCGTGGCCACGTGGACGTTTGAATCGAAGGACCACACCCAGTCGATGTTGTAAGATGCGCCTGAAGGGGCCATTGTGAGACGGACGTCTGGATCTTGTGAAACTTGAACGAACGCTTGGAGCGGGCGGTGAGCGCTCGAGGTCTCTCTTGAAGGTGAGGTTGATTACATAGTTGTAGGTAGATTAGCGAGTGACTTACTTAAGCTTTGCTAAGATGGGTCTAACTGCATTCAGCCGCCGCGCCAGTGAGTTGGTTGGTTGTGTTGTCTTGTTACAACCGTCTAAAAAACCCCCCGAGGAGCTTGCTTACTCTAAGTATTCTATGTAGGTATCTTACTACCTATGTGCATACCTAGATACCAACCTATGTTCTCAATGCCTTTTTCTAAATCCGCCGGGTGTGGATCTCTGGCTCTCATGATGATAATAGTAATTTACATAGTTATATATATATATAATCGGGAAATTCGATGCTGGCGCAAATGAAGCTGAGAACGAATTTTTATGATGAATGAACAAGCAAGCAAGGTCACAAATGAGTAACTTGATGAAGCTAGGTCTTTGATGATGGGTTATGGGTTTTGACAATAAGGTATTGGAGTAAGGAGGGAATGATGAACGAGTTCCTAGACGAGAGGAGGATATATGGTCAGATTGAATAGATGATAGACGGATATAAATACGTTTGTGAGAAAAGCAAAGCAAAGTGATAGTAGAACCGACAGCTTTATGTTGAGCCGATGGGACTTGAATAAATGGATAGATACTTAGGCAAGGAAGCAAGCCAACAACCCGATAAGCAAAGACAATTTCCGGAACGAATATCAAACGGGGGTTTACCCTACTCATCTTACCTTCCTTACCTTACCTATATATTTAGGTATGAGTATGTACTTGTTTATCTACCTACCTTGATATTAAAACTAAACCATACTAGTATGAGCACAGCATAGCATATAATCCGTGGGGCGAAGGAGGAGAGGAATGGAAGAGGAGGGTTAAAATCAATTCGTTAAGTATGTTAACTATATGAATATACGTATAATTCTTTTTTTTTAAAAAAAAATACCTACCTAGTTACTGGAACATGTCTGGTGTGTTTAGGGTATCTATATAATATAGATATATAGATATAATGTGATGTGATGGAATTGATGAGATGCGATGTGATATGCTGATATACCTAGGTAAGAAGGTGGCTGACTGACAGATGTTAGTCGGCAAGGTAGATAGGTAGATAACAGAATCCTAAATCTGAGCATAAGAGCAAGTGATGCTAGGTACCTACCTATTAACCTGCGTATCTGCCTGCCTGACTGCCTGACTGCCTGCTTGTCTATTGATCGATATATTATGCATGGATGGATATGTATAAATGAAATGTTGTGAAACGAAATGGAACGTTAAAGTAGTGTTATATGGCTTTTGTTGAAGAGTGGGATGATTACTACTACTGTACATCTGTACGTAAACACTCTAAGTTTTTTTTTTTTTTTTTTTTTTTTTTTGCTTACTTGATTGCTTGCCTGCTCGACGACTCTCTCTTCTCTAATCACCCTTTGCAAAGGCGAAGTTTATGATCGATGGCTTAATAAATATGATTTAGAGTACCATGCATGCATGGTAAGACTGTACTGTACCTATCAGTGTAGCGAGCTTTATCAAGGTCTATTTCATTTCATTTCAGAATTTTTGTAGCAGGGTTGGTTTATCAGGAACACGTCGAATCAAGGCAGAGAGAAAGCACTGAAAAAAATCGTTGGCTCGTTGCATTTCTACCACGTCTAAATAAACCGCTTGTGTTCATGATACATTGTACAAGACTAGTAGGTGGGAGAGTTTGAGCATGAGCAATATCGACATTCCCATGCCGTTCGCCCATTAGCCTCCTTTTGTAACGTTGCGAGATGGAAGACCCCATAGCTTATTTCCAGAACTTCTGCAGCGAAACCTCTTTGTCGTCGTGTTTGTTGAGGATCTTGGCTGTCGCGAGCTCGAAGTCCTCTTGCGTGACGTGTACTCTCCGCTCGCGCAGGGCGTACATGCCGGCCTCGGTACAGACACCCTTGAGCTCGGCACCAGAGCATCCGTTCATCTTCTCCGCAATCTTGGTGAGGTTGATACCACGGGTGAGATTCATCTTTCTGCTGTGGATGCGGAGAATATCGGCTCGGGCCTCGACCGACGGCGGTGGGAACTCGATCTTACGGTCGATACGACCGGGTCGGAGGAGCGCTGGATCTAGAATATCGAGACGATTTGTGGCCATGATGACCTTGATGTTCTTGGTGGGCTCGAAACCGTCGAGCTGGTTGAGAAGCTCCAACATTGTCCGCTGCACTTCTGAATCGCCACCGGAGGATCCCTCCACACGCGATGAACCGATAGAGTCGATCTCGTCCATGAAGATGATTGAGGGTGCGTGTTCTCTGGCCATGACGAATAGCTCACGGACCATGCGAGAACCTTCACCTATGTACTTTTGAACAAGTTCGGAACCGGAGACACGGATGAACTTGCAGTCTGTGTGATGCGCGACAGCTCGGGCTAGTAGCGTCTTCCCTGTACCGGGAGGGCCATAGAGTAATACACCCTTGGGTTGGGCGATACCGAGTGATTCAAAGAGTTCGGGGTGCTTGAGACCTAGTTCGATGACTTCCTTGATTTCCTTGATTTGCTGATCCAAGCCACCGATCATGTCGTATGTACTGTCTGGTACCTTTTCGACCATCATGAGGGAAACGAGAGGATCGACTGAGGATGGTAGGATCTTCTCTAGTTTGTAAGAGTCGGACAGCAGCGTCACCCGCTTGCCTACTGTGAGCTTCGCTATGTCCACGGAGTCGGCGACATCAACGACTGTATGGGATTGTTAGAGAAGAGATCGAAATAATGATGCATTTGGTTGAAATGCGCCGGTGAATGTGTGCATACCGTATTTTCCTTCAGGATGTACCTTGACCAGGACCTTTTTCGTGCCCATGACCTTGACCACCTCGCCAACGTATGAACCGGGCTGTTGCAGTAATCCTAGCTCCTCGCGCAATAATCGTACTCTCGAATTGTAGTCATTTCTCTGGGCTTCAAGGCGGCGTAAGACGGCTTGTCCTTTGATGATCTCGAGCTTCATAGCCTCGATCTTGTTGTGGTAATAGTTGTCGAGCGCCATGATTGCTGGTGCTCCCTCCCACTCTAGAGGCTGTCACCGGGCGGTCTGATAGCTTCAGTGATCGAGGACGAGGATACTGGGAGAATATCGAGAGATTGGAATACGATGGACCGGCAAGTGTGATCTCGAGGCGAAGTAGGTCGTGGTGATGATGGAAGTGGAAGCGGGAGAGTGGTGTGGTGTCGCAATTGACAAGCTCTGGTCTGGAGGTCTGTAGCGGTTAGGTAGTGCTGATGAGGCTCGGTACGTTGGGAGGTACATCCCTTTAGGCAATGGCGGCCAGTCAGCCTTGGGATGACGGCAATGCCAGCCAGGGTAGAGGAGGTATCTCTGGGTACATTGTGAGCCAATAGCTGTTCTTATTGCACTCATTGACAGGATAGGTACTTAGAGGTACATCGGTACTTGACTTGACCCCTGCGTCCACAGACGCTGCAGGCAGAGATCGCAGCAACGCGTCCCGGAGATCCGGTTATTCTAAATTCCGACTGCCAGCCAGCGTCAGTTCGCCCGCCGACCTACATCTGTCTACATTCCCTGCCTCGGTTCTATCAACCGCCAGTATTTGTATGTGCTTTGCATGAGCGCATAAGTTGATGTCTAGGATCCCTTGGCGTTTACGGCTACACGTGTAGGTAGACGAGACCAGCCCTTCCCTTCCTCGCTTCCAGTCTGGACCGTCGAGACTGCATTGCATACCGGCATCTTCTATCTTAGAACATGTGGTATACACCTATACCGCATGTAACTATAAGTGCACATGGAAAAGGGGATGTAAGCCAAGAATCTCGGTGTACGTGTATGCTTGAAGGTGCCTAGAGCAAGATGGCTGGTAGTATGGATGAGTCGAAAACAATATGTCGTCATTTTGGGCATAATTTAAAACATCATCTTACCACATACATGGTAAAACTTTCTGTCATTTATTTTGTTCTTTGGCCCCAGGCGCATCCATCTACCAGCTTGTGGTTATTGTCAAGTTGGCCCGTCTACACTCGTTGTGACGGCGAAATATGAAATTTGGTGCTGGAGAACATGGAATGAGATGTCATCGCCCTCTCCAAGCTCGAATACGCTGAAATGTAAGATACATCGTTTAGATACAGCGGAGATACAGTTTCCCCTTGTTGGTAAGTCATATGAAATATGCTTACTTTATCGAATGCGAGACTGAGCGTCATACATGCACTACATAAGTACTAAACGTCCAACCCAGAGAGGTCCAACTACAACGGACACTGCTTACATAAGCTAGATACTCTAGGTATTGACAAACCACCCTCGAGAGTTTCATTGGATCATATATAACGTACAATACCAACGGTCTTCCTCCAACGATAGTTATAATGCGTATAGGAGCAGCTTGCAATGGGGATGGCGATACATCTTGACGCGGCCTCTGGGAGGCTGAGTAGACGTCTATCTCTTCATCTCGACTCTACTCGCCGAGAATTGTCTTTGCTGCCGACGTCGGAGACTTGGAGAGATATTTGTTTGCTGTCCGTCATTCAGAGCGGCCTCGGGCACGAAGAAAGTGAACAGATGTCGTGGGCATTTGCATACTTACTAAGGCTATGTTAGGAGCTATTCTCGTTTACAAGCGATGTTCTATTCTCCCTATTGCTGTAGGAGCAAGTAGTTCGCGTTGAGATATCTTAATCAAGTAGGTAGTTGTCAAAATAATCTCGTGCTAGTGCGGATCTCTTGAAGGCTTGGATGTAGGATCGTTGTATGTACGATTGTATAAACCGCACGAACCACGTGAAGGCCTACATATAGGGGCTAGTAAACCAACCCCATCGATTCCATACCTAGAGTCAACTATGGCTTATAAAGCTTGGTATATAGTTCTCTAGGCGCCCAACCAAGTGCGAGACACCTTGAGCCTCTTACTTACGTCTGCTATGGTTCGTTATTTACCTGGGTACTTGTGTCAAACATAGTCCATGTGTTGAGTACTTACCTAGCAGATAAGTACATGCCTAAACAACTTGACTGTAAACAGAGAATGTGGTATTTACAAGATAGACAAGGGCCGCTGAAGTCCCCTAGACAACACGTGTTGGCGCCCACACGGGGTTTCCATGTAACGATGGGTTTGGAACCTAGAAGAAGCTGTTTGACAACACCCCAGTACTTTGTCCACCGAATTTTCTCAGGTACATGTGTACCCCAGAAAGTGCAGCGCGCCTGCCAATGTTGATACAATACAATGTGTACGATAAGCGATCACTGTCGAGGTTTTCAACGCTAACCACTACACACTTATGTACCTAGACAAAAACTTATGTGTGTGTGTCTCTACCTCGCTTCTCCTCTTCTAAATCTTTGTACCAACAGCAATCGCACACTAACGCTCCATGAAAGCTTCAAGACCATGGCAAACGAAGAACAACCCGCCTGGTCGTCTGTAGACGACGAGAGCTTGAATCTCATTCTCTCCCTCCTATCCGCGGACCTAGATGTGGTTCAATCAAGTGCCAAAGGGAAGCAGATCGAAGGGACCCTTTCAGATGCCGATCTCGCTTTGCAACTCTTCGCTGAGGAGCTGAACTGTGCAACTGTATATGCCTCGGACCGAAGAATGACAAAGAGCGTGCAGGATGCCGTGCAGAAAGACACCAATATTCTGCTGGAATCAGAGTTGCAAGAGAATGTGGCACGACGTGACCGAGAGGTTGCTGTAGCTCAGTCTGCAGGACGACGACCGCAGGGACAGGCTGAGGTACCTACAAACACCAGACCTTCAGAGACTGAGCTAGAGGCATGGGAAAAGCTTACATCCAAGTACATCGATGGGATTCATGAGACAGAGAACAACGACTCATACGACTCATACGACTACTGGACGGCATCAAGTGAGACAGATGGGCAGCCCGAAAGCTCGGCCTGGGCGGCGTCCCGCGGACAAAACTGCCCACAACTTGGCTCATGCATTGCCTGTGGAGAGAACAAGAGCCTCACAGACCTGGCTCGAGCACCTTGCGAGCACGACTATTGTCACGAGTGCCTTGAACACCTGTTCTGCCGCTCCATATTGGACGACAGCCTATTCCCGCCACGTTGTTGTCGCCTAGATATTCCCATAGATACGAGCCAGCTATTCTTGTCTGATGAAATGATCGACAAGTTCACGCAGAAGTCCATCGAGTTAGCCACGCCCAATAGAACATACTGTCATCAGGCAACCTGCTCGACCTTCATCCCACCGCCCATGATCAAGAACGGAGTTGCCCAGTGCCCCAAGTGTGAGAACAAGACGTGTGAAACTTGTAAGGGTGCCACGCACGGAGGCGACTGTCCTTCTGATACTGTCATGGAGGTTTGTCCCGGAGTGAGGCTAGATCACCAGTAGGTAGTACGCAGGAAGTAGATAGGTTGAAGGTATAGGTAAGGGCTTAATATTATTAATTCCTAGTTCCTTAAATATAAAGAGGGAGCTTAGATACTTTTATATAGCTAACTTTTATACTATTCCTACCTTTTAGGGTAACTTTTACCTTAATGCTATAATGTTCCCTAATAAAGTACCCCCTTTTATAAATACTTTACCTTTAAAGTATTAATAAGAGGTAGCTTATAAGGAGTATTATTTAATATAGCTTAATAATAGGATTATAGGTATATAAAAAATAGGTAATAATTAAAGGAATATTTTTATTTATATATTTAAATACTTAATAACTTTAAAGCTATTTATTTATTATATACCTTTTAATATATTATTAACCTTTTTAATGTTAATTTTTTTTTTTTTTTTTCTTTTTTTTTTTTAACTTTAATTTTACCATTATTATAAATTTTATATTTTTATTAAAAGGCTTTTAATATTAATTATTTATTTTTTAATTTTTTTAGCTTTTATTTTTATTTTTAAGTTAATTATTAATAATAAATATATAATAATTACTTTATTATAAATTTAATATTATATTTAAGGTTTAAGCTTTTTATTAACCTTAAATAAAATAATAATAATAATAAAAAAAATA